CATAGGGAACAAGCATATAATGTGTAGTTCATTTAAGTATTTAACAAGTCTCTTACAATTTATTGAAAAAAATAAATGCAAAATGAAAGTTATCTATTTTCTATCTAAGTGTGTCGCGACCTAGCTAGTGCCTACGCGGGTCTAGGTGAGCTAGACGGTTGCCAAGCGGTCGAGACGGGGCCTCAGTAGGTCTATGCACCATTTCTTAATTTTCAAATGTCTAGGCACTAATCAAGGCGGTGGCCAACCGCCTAGCGCCACGGAATTTTAGAACAGTGATTTACAATATAAATTTTATTATTGGATCTATTCAATTTTTAAATCTTCATTTATTGGTTATATAAAAGTTTATTTAAATCGAAAAGCATTTAGTCATTCAATATATTACTTTGGTAGTCACACTGTCCATTTGCTCTATTCATTTGGATGTATAAACGATATCTTTTCGAATTATTTTTATGTAGGATTGATTTTTCAAATAAATATGAAAAAATTAAACGACTCTGATTTTAAAATGTACACAAACGACCCCACCTAACAGAAGATTTAGAACAAACTCGAGCACGTTCTAAAATTTAAACAAGCAACCCCACTTAATGGATAGAACTTTACTGTTGTCGTTATGTTTATTAGTTCATAAAACACGTGATCCCTAAAACTCTATCCTCATCTTCTTTATCTCTTTAGTCAGACGTAACTGCTAGCCATATTTTTTTAGGGGAGAGTCATTATTCATACGAATGGCATTACGGTCCATTCAACCCAAAAAAAAAAAAATCAGCTAAATTAAAGAGCATTCACCATAAATTCGTGTCAATTTTTGTAACTGACGTATTTGTTGTTCCTATTTTATAAAATTTTAAAAGTTTAGGAGTTTTGACGAATAAAAAGACCAGAAAATAAGTTGAGTACAATATAGTTTTAGAATGTGCCTATCATGAATGATAAGTTTATGTATCTATGCTAAAAATGGGATGAAAACCTAAGAAATTGGGTCAATTTGTCTAGTTTGATGGATTTTGTTTATTGTTACCAACTGACTAAATCGAAGTAACTAGATTTAAAATCAACAAAATGTTATTGGGCCAAGCGTTGGTTCAGCCCAAAGCGTTTCCAAGTGTACTATGTGGGCTGCCCGGTGGTCTTGGGCTGTTCAGCAATGGTAGTCGAGTCCTATTGCAAGAAGGAGTAGTTTGGATGAGCAGATAGGTCGCAAAAGTCCTAATACGATAAGGGGTCCTAGTACAATAAAGATTCTCGACGAGCAATGAATATGGCCTAAAAAAGGGGTGAGATCAAAGTCCTAACAGGAGTAGGATTGGTCGAGATAGAGTTGGAATAGAATAAGAGGTCATAATCTAGATATGGTTTCAACTCGATTTTAAGGAGGATTTGTTGCTATAAATACAAGGCATCATGCAACAATCGAGGCGAATTCAACACACAATTGCCCTGCGCAAGCCTCTCAAGCAACTTGAGATTTTTCATTTTCTTTTTCCGCCAACACATCTTCAGTTTGGATAAATAGCATTGTGGAGGCAACCGGTGAACATCTTCAGTTTGGATAACCAACACTGTTACCGTAGAATCAATCGACCAAGGAGCACCTTCAATTTGGATAAGCAGCACTGCGTTGAGGCCGACTGGTTACCTATCCAAGCCTCGGTCGAGAAAGGTTTCCGAATCCTTATTGGCAGAGGTCATCTTATTAGCCTTCTTGGCGAAGTAGGGTGTTACGAGTTACGATATTCGGCACATTGAACGCCGAGTGATTATATGATTGGATTCACAAGTGAGTTTTAGAGTTTGACATTCTGATGGCCAAACCACATTTACCATCAAGACATACATCTCCTTTGAATACTTGTGTCCATATAGTCTGGTGTCGTTTCGACGTGCTTATACTCTCATGAATATAATAACTACGACCGAATTCGGTGCCAAAGATTCGTGAACTTCATAGAACTAGCAGCCTTGTCTTCAGGTTCGAGAATCCAAAGGCCGAGATTTGTTCCTTCCTTGGCTGCAATTGCGAAGATCAAGAAGTCATCAACGCGCTCAACACAACATCAACAAATTTTACTCCTCGGTCGAGCTCGGCCGACGAGTTGACACGCCCCGCATCAACCGAAAGACGTAGTTAGCTCATTAGTTACTTGGCCTGCGCGTCACGTAGGCTTTGTAATTTTTAGGATCAACAGTATCAGAAAACGAAAAATTTATTTTGGGCATGGCTCTCAATTTGAGAGGTTTTTTTATTTTATTACTCCTTTTTTTTTTTAAAAGGGGAACAACTGATGATAGACCACGGTTATCCATCTCTTTTGAGGGTCAGGAAGACTCACAGAAGCATTTCAGCCTCCCCTGGCTATCTTCCTATACAAGATGTGGTAGTTTGAAAAAAGTTTCATTACTCACATGAAACTGATGTTATTATCCTTATTTTATAAAATTTTGTTTTATTGTTACTAAATTGTTTGAATCGAAGTCACCAGATTTTAACATCAAGAAAATCGATGGTATATGATTTAAACTCTTTTTTATGTGTGTATTAAAAAAGAGAATTTTCTTTTACATGTGTTTGAATTTGAGTAATCTTTTGGTTTTATATTAATTCATGAAACACGTTATCCGTAATATTCTAACGCACCTCATTTATCTGTTTAGCGAGGCGACGGACATAACTGATAGTGATACCCATCCTTTTATAGGAGTTATGGTAATTTGAAAAGGAGTTTCATTACTCACGTCAGTCACGTGAATAACACTGCGGTTCATTCTACTAAAAAGACTAGCTAATTAAATGAAGGCAGATTGTCTGCCCTCCTGTTTGGATGTCATTCACTATTCTTTTTTATTTTATGCGGTCATGGTTAAACCACGTTAATATTTTATATTAATTTTTTTTTTATAGATATAATAAGATAAAAAATAATATAAATATAAAATATTAACCTAACTTAATCGTAATTTCATAAATAAGAAAGAATAGGAAGTACATCGAAATTGGAGGACAATCTGCCTCCAAATTAAATACCAGTTGCCAGTAGTCGTGTCAGCTATTGTAACTAACTTATTGTCCTTCTTTTATAAAATTTTAGTAGGACATCTGAGGAATAAAAAAGAACAGAAAATAAGTCATAGTACAGTATGGTATCAGGGTGGAACATGTATTTATGCTAAAAATGGTACAAACCCACCAAATTTGGTTATGGTGACTATACTGACTGAATGCATGTGACTAAATTTAAAATCAATAAACGGTATATAAAAAAATAAAAAAAAGAACAATTTATTTTACATGTCTCTCAATTTGAGTGGTTTTTTTTCATTTCGGTCGGATGTAACTGCTGGCCATATTTTGATAGAAGCTGTGATAGTTTGAATATGAGTTTCCTTACTCACATGAGCCACAATGTGCTCCACTCTTCTGAAAGAAGGGAAAAAAAAAAAAAAAAAAGCCAAATTCGATGGTGCTCACCATTGGTTCGTGTTTTGTAACTAACGTTATTCTTATTTTATAAATTTACAAAGTTTAGTGGAGTTTCAATGAATAATATAAGTTAAAGTACAATAAGGTATCAAGATAGCCTGTACCGAGCTTGTATGGTGAAGAGGATTAATCCACCATCACCTGTGTGGTGGAATATCTCCTTTATTAAAAATAAGCGAAAAATTTGAGGATCAAAGTGGAACGAATACTAAACTTAGGAAGCAAAATGTATTAATATTATGTTTGGATGAGAGAAATGAACTTAGAATTTGAATAAAATTTAGAATTTATAAACTGACACGCACCAATTCCCTTATTTGGGTTCATAAACACAAAAATTTAGAATTTTTGAGTGAAAAAAAAAAACTTGAAATTTGGGATCTCCAATTCCCAAGTAAAAATTCTATGTAAATAAGTATCATTTCAATTTCTATGATTGAGAGTTGAAAAATAACAAATTTCATTGTTCTTTTAAGTTAACTAAATGAGAAAATTCATAAATTCTAAAAAATAAAATTATGTCATTTCAATTTTTATTATTTTAAAATCCTTTAATAAGTTTAATTTTTTTCATCTAACGTACGAACCAAAGTGGAACGCATCTCAACCCAATGCCTTAATTTCTTGAGGTATTCATCTAAAACAGTGTAAACGTACGAACCAAAGTGGAACGCATCTCAACCCAATGCCTTAATTTCTTGAGGTATTCATCTAAAACAGTGTAAACGTACGAACCAAAGTGGAACGCATCTCACACCAATGCCTTAATTTCTTGAGGTATTCATCAATTTACCCCTGAACTTGTGGCCATTGGCCAATTTTCCCTCTCAACTTTAATTTTAGCCAATGTCCCCCCTCAACTCTCATAATTAGTCAATTTGCACCCTACTGTTAATTTTTTTAATTTTCATCTATTCTTCTGTTAAGTAGGTATCAGCATGACTGCCTTTGAAGGGCAAACAAAGTCAATTTGCACTCTACTATCATTTTTTCAATTTGCACCCTACTGTCATTTTCCGTTAAGTAGGTTTCCCTACATCTTAGCAGAGGTAGACGAGGCTAGAGGGAGGAGGCGATAGGGTGTGGGTAGCTACAAACTGCAAAAGCAGCATATCAAATGGACTGAGCTGCAAACAGAGGAGGAGGGAGGCGTTGGCGGTAGTCACGGGCTCGACTTGGAGAAAAGGAAGAAGAAAAGAAAGTTCAAAGAAAAGGAAGAAGATAGAAAGTAGTAGGGAAAATGACTTTTTGCCTTATAAAGACAGTCATGCGGATACCTATTTAATGGAAGAATAGATGAAAAATTAAAAAAAATTAACAGTAGGATGTAAATTGACTAATTATGAAAGTTAAGGGGAGAAATTGGCCAAAACCAAAATTGAGGGGAGAAATTGATCAATCCCTACAAATTCAGGGGTACATTGAAGAATACCTCTAATTTCTTACAACCCTCACCGTTCTGTCCGCGACTCAATCCACTTTTCCGTGCACAGGAGCATTTCCGTAATTGCACGTCAGAACAAAAACCCTAGGTGGTCACATTTTTGACCCCTCTCTCTCTCTCTCTCTCTCTCTCTCTCCATTTCTTGTCAGAGTCTGAGGATGATTGAATGATTTCAGGCGCGGTGGTTCGTCGCTCCCAATTTTGTTTCTTCGTCATTCTATTGGTTCCTAAGCTTTTTAGGGTTTCCAATTTTTGTTGCTCAGAAAAACCCCTTTTTCTTTATCTCTCGATTTCTTGATCACCATGTCCAAAAGGTGGGTTCCTTTCTGTTTTTCATATGCAAGGAACGAATTTGGATATTGAGTTTGTTGAACCATCCAATTTTTAGATGTTGTGATTTGCCATATTGAATTTGTTATCTTTTGTGTCTCTTAGGATTCTTGGAATAGCTGTTTTTAATTTAATTTATAATATATTTTTTAATTGTTTGGTTGCTGGGAAAATGGAGGAAATTAAAAGGAGTTTTCGCCGTAGTGGTAGAATTGGTTGATTGCCCTTTGATTAATTTACTGGGTAATGTGGGTTAGGAGTTCTCTGTGAGTCAATATTTTTGAATTTTCAACGTTAATTGCAAATCTTTTGTTTTGAGTCAGGGTATGATTGTGTAATCTGAATATTTTGAAGATATGTAATGAAAATTTATGCTTTTTTTTTTTTTTTTTATCCATAGTTGAAGCGGCTCTTCGCATGTATTAGAGATGATTGATTTTGTGAAATTTTATCATCTGCAACAGCGGTTTCGCTAATCTTCTTATCCGACAGTAGTCATATTACAATGAGGATTCAATGGCTTATTTATTGATTATGCTTGGTTAAGGTTTTTGAACTACTTTGTATTGTCATTTCTGATTACCTCAGGGTTCTCTGCAAGTTTTTTGCACATGGCGCGTGTTTGAAAGGGGAGCATTGCGAGTTTTCACATGATTGGAAGGCTTCACCAAATAATGTAAACTATTTATTCTACTTTAATTGCACTTGCATTAAGTAATAATGATCAACAATTGGTACCTTATTAACTTTTCTTTGTCGTCCATCATAACAGATATGTACCTTTTATCAGAAAGGAGCTTGTGCATTTGGTAGCCGATGCAGATATGAACATGTCAAAGCTTCTCAGGCTCAGTCTTCAGGCTCATCTTCATCAACAAATTCTCAGCCATCCCTTGCTATTGATTCTGCATCTCTGGCACTTCCTGTGAGAACCTTAGCAAGCAGATTTTCTCTTGCACCCCTCTCTCTTTCAGAACTCTCTGCTTCAAGTAGCCCTTTCTTACCTCCCTCTAAACCTGCCTGGAATGGTTCTCTGGAGGATGACTATGATAATGATGAAAGTAATGTTGGGGAGACTAGGAGTACTAGACCAGAAGATCGTGCTATTTGTTCATTTGCTGCAGCTGGTAATTGTCCTCGTGGAGAAAAATGTCCTCATCTTCATGGAGATTTATGCCCCAGCTGTGGAAAACATTGCTTGCATCCTTACAGACCTTTGGAAAGGGAGGAGCATATGAAAACATGTGAGGATAAGCAGAAGCAACTTGAGGCTTTGAAACGTAGTCAAGAAATAGAATGCAGTGTTTGCCTAGAACGTGTTTTGTCAAAGCCGACAGTTGCTGAGCGCAAGTTTGGGATACTCTCAGAATGTGATCATCCTTTTTGCATATCTTGTATTAGAAATTGGCGCAGCAGTTCCCCAACTTCTGGTATGGATGTCAATAGCGCTTTGAGAGCTTGCCCAATATGTCGGAAGCTGTCGTACTTTGTCATTCCAAGTGTCATTTGGTATAACTCAAAAGAAGAGAAACAGGAAATTGTTGAGAGCTACAAGGCAAGGCTCAGGTAATTTTCTGCCTGAGTATCTTGTTTTCTTTTGAAAGCTGGGAATTCAATTAGGTGCTCTGTGTTCTGCCTTGGATATATTTTCTATTCTTAGCTCAGAAAGGAACTATTATGGTTCAATATTTGTTTATAAAAAAGTTACTCAATTTGGAGGACAGAAATATCACCTTTCTATATTACTATTGTGATTTGAAGTTGGAAAGTCCTTAAAAGTGGGAAACTTGGGATCTCTTTCTCTCTTCCCCCCCCCCCCCCCCCTCTCTCTCTCTCTCTCTCTCGACTTCATTTTTTGTATTGTATTGTAATTATAATTATTTATATTGTAGGTCAATTGATTGCAAGCACTTCGATTTTGGAAATGGGAACTGCCCATTTGGAACTAGTTGTTTTTATAAGGTAAAAAGATGTCCTACGTGGAGTTTTTCAGCTGCAACTGTCATTTGCATTGGTTTCTCTGTCATGTTGAGTGCAATTAACCATGTCAAGAATCTAATGATGATTTGGATAAGTATATGATGGTTAGTCTACTTGTTGAATCTGTTAATATCCCATATCTTGAGCTCAAACACAACAACCTAAACACTGTACCTCTTTTGTTTTTCCATGTGTTTGTGGAGTCATGTGGTATGTTATGTGATAGATTTGGCTTAGCCCCATGAATTTTATTTTTCTTCTTAAACATACTTTATTTTTTCCCTCAATTGTTGTTCTGATTGATTGCTGGGCGGATGCCTTTGTTTTGGTGGAAGTGGGTGGAATTTGTAATGTACGAGGATATTGAGTTATAATATACTTCGGGTTTGTATCCTTTATGTTCGACCACATATTGAGTTATAATACACTTAGTTTTCTTGATGAAAATATTATTTCCATGTCACCAGCCCAAATTACGTGGCTTGTTGGCTGCAGTTTAAGTATTTACTTGTTTAAGTGTATTGGTAGGTGGGGATAAGGCAGTTTATTGTTCCATATTAATTTTTTAATAAATTTACACTTAAAGATGTGGTCATTTAGACCTTTGCAGTCTGCGTTCAAGTGAAATGTTTGATTTATTCCCATGCTCATTCTTGTGCAACAATAACTAATGTTAGTTCTCCCAAGGGCTTGCAGTGGTGTCTGTGTTATAGGATTGGCAGTCCAATGGCTTACTTTAGTTTCTTTTTACCCAACTCAACTAGGTATTGGTTTAATAACATGGGGCTACATTGGATAACAAATTGCTTCAATCTAAAATTAGTATTTGTGATGAGGACCTTGCCAATTTATTATTTATTGTTTTAGTACTATCTTTGTTTGTTTGTTCCTTTTTGTGCTTCAATTGTACTTCTGGGGCCTTAAATTTGGATAGTTTCTCGTCTCTGTTTTAGTATCATTCTTGTGATAGTGGTGATACCAGATTGTTGATGGTTTGCGAAGCAGTTTTAGTTTATAATATGTTCTTTTTCTAATCATTGCAAATGGTTTTGCGACTTCAATGGGTTTATAACAGTTTTAGTTTGTAACAGTCTCTCCCTCCCTCCCTCCCTCCTGTTTTGTGACGTAGTCTATCGTAGAAAATTAAATTGATTTATCAGTTGTACTGTGTTATATTTTGTTAGGAGATGCATTAAACTAGATTCTCCTGAATGTTAGCCTTAGAATATGTGCCTTTTGTTTTTCATTTTACTATCTCGGGGAGGATCACAAAGCTAATCACCTTTAATGGATGGAATGTTTGTTGTATTCCAGCATACGGTCAAGCCTGGCTCATATGTATGGAAATTTCACAGGCCACCTCCTAGAAGGCCTCCTCCACGGCGATATGATATTGCGCCTATGGATGTCATATTTCATATGTTCGAGCACTTAGAAGAATTGGATGATTATATGTTTGAAGATTTAGAAAATGAAGATTTAAACCCATGGGAGAGGGAGATATTAATGCAGATGGGTTTGGATACAAGTGACTCGAGTGAAGACGAGATAGATTTATGGCCTTGAGTAGATTTAGCCGGTTGTATAATCTGAAATTTCCTACTTGTTTTGGAGTTGCTGTGTTTTGATTGTAGTTTGTATTTAACAACTCCTATTTATGAATGATGTATAGATTTACCCTTTATAAAGGGGGTTATTTGTTGTGAGTCTCGAATAGTCTTCATTGGTACGATGTGATAGTTATGCTAATGATACAAAAGTTGTATAAAATTTAAAGGCCACTTTAACTAAAAAAAGGGAAAAGGAAAAAAGAAATTGTTTTGTGGTTTTGATTTCTGTTCGTGCTATAATATTTTAGTTGTAAGCTTATCTGACCAATTACCATGTTGCTCCATTTTTGAGTATCTGGTGGCTACAAATTAGGTGCACGTAACAATTGCTACAGGCAAACAAAGTACTATGTCAGGCATTCTGTCTTCCTCTTCGAATTTTATCTGCAATGCGGCTTTTATTTTAGGTCTTTCCAATGTCATGTACACTCCCATCTCAAGATATGTTTGATTCTACATTTTACTTTCTCTGCCGGTACATTGTCTGTTGTGGTCTGTACTGTTATCCTCTTACTTTTTTTTATCCATGTCTTGTTTGCATGCGCTATTGTTTACCGTGCTGGTTTAGATCCTTTTTTACAATAATTGGGTAATGAACTTGGCTGTTGGTCTGATTGCAGCATGCGTACCAAGATGGCCGTTTAGAGGAAGTAGCACTCCGTCATCTTGGAAATGAAGATGGTCAAACAGTGATAGCTACAAATATTAGGTTTTACCCTGTACCTTTGATCATTTTCTCCATTTACTTTTCTTTTCATACTAAAGCTGTGATATTTTCAGGTTGTCAGACTTTCTGTCTGATCTACACATAAGGTGAATAATGCTGTTTCAATGTTCCAAAGTAAGTTTATGCAGTGGTTGGATTTTGGTTATTTACTACTACTGTTGTTTATAACTGCATTTGTCCATTTGGGCCAAACCTCTAATGTAAAGGTTAAGTTGTCAAATAACACATACTAAGTTTTGCACAGAACAGGATGATGTATCAGTGAAGCAGTGGTCATGTTTATGATAGGGAACACGCTGATACCATATTGTACTGTTAACTTATGGGCAGCAGTAAACTAGACTGTAACTTAGTCAAACCGTGCATTTAAGTTGTATGGTCGGAGGTCATTAGAGTTGCACACTGATGATTTTCCCTTCATGAGGCTGGTAGACCAGTGTCCTTTTTCAGTAAAACAATGACGATGTGCTCAGTTTTGCCTAAATGTGCAGGATTTGTTTTTTCATCAAGAACACATGCGCAGCTCTCATGCTGGTTTTTCAATGGAAGGTGGAATACTCCGGTGGTTTGCAAGGTGTGGTTCATGTACTTTGAATGTTTTTAATGATGATAGAAGACTGTTTTCCATAATAATTTCCTTTAAATTATGTAGGAGATATGTTTTTAATGTTTTTCTTTTTTGTTTCATTCACAACTTAAATATTGAACATGGGGCTGAACTCAGAAACTTTTATCATCCAGTTTCTCTTGTTTTGCAATACTGATCGTGATGTCAGTCTCATTTCGTTAGTTCCTGCTACTGGTTAATTTTACACTGAACATGGTTAATCTGGGTAAAATTTAAATGCAGTGACCAGCATAATCTGGATTTTTAATTGTAATTGTGCTTTCTTTTGGCAATTTATGAATATTTAATATCTGACTTTATACTGTATTCGATTCTTGATGTAGAATTGGTTGCTGGATGGCTACATCCGGTTGCAGGAGCGACGACGTGCTTGGTTATCGTGAACTACAGTTAACAGAATTCTAAATAAAGTTATTATTGAGTGGATGAGTGTATGTTCAGAATTTTGACAATTATGCAATGTGCCGGTCTGGGACTTGGATGAATGTCTTCAGATCGGGACATTAAGATAGTCTGGATAAGAGCATGTCGATATCGAACTGGTTGGGGGCTGTGTATATAACATTATACAAATGTCTAGGTCTTTAAAGGAATTTTTTATCGACAGCGGTAGACATTTTGATAAAAGAAATGCTTTTTGGAGGATGCCTTCGGGGTTATTAGTCACATTTTGTTTTTCTGGTCAAACGAGAATGGTACTCATTCAAGTAGAAGATTCAACGATGGATGCCTGCAGGCTGCAGGTAGAGTACTCCATCAATTTCCCAATTTATTGTTTTAGCATAGTTGCATTCAGAAGGTTACATGTAGTTTTACTTTTTAGCAATTTTGCTTTTGTATTTTACAACTGTTGCAGTTGAGTGCCAAATCGCGTAATTTTTGTCAATTTGTTCAACGGAATGAGCACGCCAAGGGGCGCATACATGCGTATGAACTGCTTTTTGCATGTGAACTGCAGTTGCATATTATTCTAGTTCCTCGCGTACTAGTTCTGCTGCATTTGACATGGTAAAATCAGATGCTCTTGAATCCCAATCTACTGCATGACGTTGCAAGGGATCAAACAATAGTTAGAAATTGGACTATAGATCTAACAAGCATGAATACCCGCGCATTGCTGCGGGTTTGGGTTTTAAGAACACCGTTTAAGACAATACTATTTAACATAAAATAATTTTTATATATCAATATTTACATGTCTGTTGTTTGAGAAGGTAAATTAGCAACATATTACCGTGATAAAAAAATTAACAGCATTAAACTGCTAATTATTCAAAATATTTTGATAGACTACGAACATGTTATTGAATCTAGATTTTCCTACTTCATTGTTTCCGGCTCATCTTCATCTTCATTATGTTGAGGTTTAAGGTTTCAGCTAGTTCCTCCAAATTTTGAAAAAAAAAGGAGTTGTTAGTTCGTACATATAAGAAAACAAAAGGGGGACATAAAAGTAAAACTGAGACATAGTTCATTTGTGAATCTGAAGGTGCAAATTAAATTTTTGCTTTCCTTCTATTTTCATTTGCTCTATCAGATGCAAAAAGACTAAAATGAGTGCATTCAAACCAATCGATTTTTCGCACTTCAATCCTATATCAAATATATCTCAATGATACTAATTAGAAAGAGTTGGGGAGTTCAAATAAATTACTTATAGCAAAAAAAAAAAAAAAAAAAAAACAGTCAAAAGGAATGTGCATGTAGAAATTAAAATAGTAAAGAAGGTATCATCATGGCGAAGATGTAATAATCTAATGTGAATAATTTCACAAAGATACCATGTATAAAGGAATCATGTGAAAACAATGCAACATTAGAACAGTAGAACATGTAAGTAAACAAATGAGGGACACATAACCAAAAGCTAAGACGGAGTTTTCTTATGGTAATGAGGAAGCATATATAATCCGTTTTTCACTCTTTTTTCATCTGCTCTATTAGATATAATGTGTGACAAAAGGAGTGCATTTAAATTAGAAAGAGTTGCGTTAGGCATAATTGGGCAAAGAAAAGCTCTTTATAGCAACAAAAACGAAAAACTGCTTTATAATTGGACAAAGAAAGAGGAGAAGATAAGAAGAAACAAAGAAAAAGCCCTTAAAATTTTGGCAGATACATTCAGCAAGCGAACAAAAAAAACAGAGCCATTTCCAAACAGAAACTCAATATCAATATGCAGCGAAAAGAAAATAATGCCTAAGCAAGGAAAAAAAAAAAAAAATTATATACCGGAGCAGCGACGTAGAATTCATACGAATGCAATACTTTCCCTTCAAATGAAAACCTGTAGGAAAATCAAAAACCCAAATGAAATAGCATGGAAGAAAAATTGAGGGGGAAAATAAATTAAAAAAAGTAAATAGAAAAACAAAGAGGACGAATGAAGTTGTCCAATGTACTTAATTTCTTTCGAGTATAAAGACATCTTACAAATTTCTTAACCATATGAGATCAGTAGTTGATATAATTAGTCCAGCCGCAAAGGAACTCAATTCAACTGCTTAAACCTAGCTTATCATTGCATTGAAATGACTAAGAAAATACATATTATATCCATCCTTTCAATCATTCATTAGGTAGATGTGTTTGAATGTCACTGATACCAATGATAGATTTCAATACTCTGCACATAAAATTGTTTAGCCAAAACAATTGTTCATAAAAAATTAAAGCATCCAAGTGCATTAAATGAAGATATATCTATATCTAAAGAGGCAGGCTTCTGATAGGCTTCAGGAATCTGTAAAATGAAATGTAAGTACATGAATTCTCAAAAAAAAAAAAACAAATTGAAATTGAAATTCTTATTTCTAAAGAAATTGAAGACAAAATAAGATTAGATTATAAATTGAACGTATAATAAAAGTAGATTCAACATTACTCTCTCAGGAACTAAATTATTATGTATCAACGCTCCTTCTCACCTAGGATCAGTTCAATATTTTTAACAAAGTAAGGTGTTGCAGATTGTTGCTTTTGATCATCTTGCTCCTTTTTTTTTTGGCTCGACCATTGCCATGGTCATCTCAATAGTTGGTGCAAAGATGCAGTTCCTGCAGTAAGGAACAAAAAAGATACAGATTAACCCTTACGATCGCTGCAGCACCTATAAGTAAACAAATATTGTAGAGACATAAGTTGAATAATTGCAGCAAGCAAACAAATACAAAATTTACTCACTTTCAAAATCCAAATTAGAAAATAAAACAAATGAATGGACTATGAAAGAAAATTTATTAATTAGAATCAAACTAAAAAAATTGAATTGAACAAAACCCTAACTCAAATTTTTTGAATTAGAATCAAATTAATGAGATTTAATTGAACAAAACCCTAACTCAACTGAGCCCTTTTTAAAAACCCATCATTGATATTAAAATTATCTTTGTATGAGTGAGGGTACTGACCTTCTCCGGGCATGTTGTGTTCAAAATTGGAAGAGTTTGAGATGTGATTTTTGTGGAAAATGGGCAGTGCTACAGAGAGAACCATGTTTATGTGGAATTGAAATTGCAGAAATTAAACGATGTAGATGAGGATTTCGAAGATTCCAATTGCAAGAAAGAGAAGAGAAATTTACCTTTGGGGAAGAGTGTTGGCCACTGCTGTTGAAATTGAAGAGATTTTGGCAGATGAGTCAAGAAGGCATTGATTAACCATTGAAAGAAAAGCTTTGAGTTGAGCGGATGCCATTGTCTTCTTTCACTTCCTTAAAACAACCACAAACCCATGTCGATGTGGATTTTGGAAAGAAAAAAAAAGTTCAAAATCTAATCACCAAAATTAGGAGAAAACAACTAAAATTAACAAAAATTGAACCCTAGGAAGATAATATTTTTTGAAATTCAAAAAAACCCATATGGAAAAGTGAAAAGTGAAAAAACCATATGGACTGAGTGGATGACAGATAAAATTGCAAATCTCGAGCCAAAATAAAAAATTTCAAATTCAAATGGGTTTATAGTAGTAATATATTGACAAGTCTTTGTTTCTATTTTATTCATGGGTAATGCTAGATTGATTAAAAAATTTAGATAAAATTTTGTAAATTAAATGATATGCAAGTTAATGATTGGATATTACTTAAGTATTGATTTTTATTGGTGACACATTATTTAGTTTGTAAATTTAATTTACAAATTTAATACTAGGCTACCTAGCATTACTCTTTATTCATCAAATGATCTTTTTTTTTTTAAAAAAAGTTACTTTATTAAAGGGAGGAGGAGAGTTCGAAACGTTTTACAATAATTTAAAAAAAAAAAAAGATAATGTTAAGGTTACTAAATTTTTTAAACTAATTTTGAAAACCAAGTGATGTGATTGTAGATGTTTGGATTATTAATTAAATGTCAATTATCATTTTTTTTTATTAGTAACACATCATTTGATTGCAAATTTAATTTAAAATTTTGGTCTCCCTAACATTATAAGATCATCTCCAACCCTTGACCTAAAACCTAAAATTTTTAGCCCATAAAATTTAAGTTTTAACCCAGAAATAGCTTTTCTACTCCAACCCTTATGACCTAAACTTTTAGCCCCAGATTATTAAAGAATGAATTTAGGTTAAATATATATATATATATATATATGTAGACTATCCTAAATTAATTTTATGAACATTTTAAACTAAAAATATTTAAATTCTAATAATTTTGAAAAATCACTAAATCAATACATGAAACACTACGGAAGAATATGAAAATCATGATAGAGATGTATAAACATAAAATACATGAAACACACAAGACACACAAAACACATATGAAGCACATACAAAAAACATGATAAAGATGTATAACACACCAAATATATGAAACACATGACACACACGAAATACATACAAAACACATGATAGAGATGTATAACACACCAAACATGTGAAACACATAACACACGTGAAACACAAACCAAATACATACAAAAGACATGAAACACACATGAAATGCAAACATTCAATCATCCTCTATATAAACACAGGTTGAATATCAAACCATCACACAACATATTCACCAATCTTTCAACTTTCAAAGTGTTTTTGTTTTCTAAAAATCCTCAATATCTCATCAATGGATGATAGAAGAAGGCGTAGCATTGGCAATATAGATGGCACAATACCAAACAAGTCTTGACAATGCAGATGCAGAAATGAACAACGCAAAAGCCGAATTTGCAAACTCGCTTATGCAATATGAGCACTATGCCGAATCTTAGATATTATGGTTCTGTCACTAGGACGTTCATTTGTGTAGCGTGATAGAGAAGAATGTCATGACCAAATGAGGAAAGATCATTTCATTGAACATCCGAGATATCCTACTCATGATTTTCAGATGCGGTTTTGGATGAGGAGAGAGCTTTTTGAAAGCATCTTGAACATAGTTGTGAATCATGACCACTACTTTGCAAAGAAGATAGATGTTGTAGGCCGACAAAGTTTGTCACCTCATCAGAAGCTCACATATGCATTTTAGATGCTAGCTAATGGGTGCTCTGTAGACTCAACTGATGAGTATTGCGACTTGCGGAGAGTACTGTTATTGAGAACCTGAAGCGCTTCTATAAGGCAATTGAATCCATATATGGAGCTACATACCTCCGTAAGCCAAATCGTACAGATTTGAAGAGACTTCTACGTAAGGCAAACAAAAGAGGCTTCCCCGGCATGATAGGAAGTATCGATTATATGCATTGGGAGTGGAAGAATTGTCCTACTAATTGGGCTGGCCAATTCAAGCGCCGTCACAACAAGACAACCATCGTGCTCGAGGCTGTGGCATCTTACGACACATGGATTTGGCATGCATTCTTTGACGCTTCTAGATCAAACAACGATATAAACTGTTTTTTGGTCTTCTTCTTTGTTCGATGATGTTGTCAATGGATGGGCACCAGAATGGAGGTACAAGGTAAATGGTAATAGACATGAGCTAGGTTACTATCTAACTGATGATATTTATCCTAGTTGGTCTACCTTTGTGAAAAGTTATTCTCATCCAGCTAGTGCAAAGAAGAAATTATTTTCATAAGAGCCTTACAGGAAAGATGTGGAGAAAGCGTTCGAGATCCTACAAACTCAATAGGCCATTGTTAGAGGGACTACACAATTGTGGCATGTTGAAGACCTCTATTCAATCATGATGACGTGCATAATTTTGCACAACATGACTGTGAAAGATGAGCACGTTGAAATTGAAGAAGATTCTGACGAAGATGTGGATGATAACCAACCAACACATGCAAGAGCTATGTTAAGAGATTTTGAATATCTCACTGCAATCACATATGAGACCCGATAGGATAGGGTCAAATTGAGTAAGTATATGAGACGTTTAAATAGAATTCAAGCCCCTCAAGATCATGACACACTCCAGCAAGAATTTGATTGAGCATATACTGCGCCGAGAATGTGAAATCCAAATGATGTATTGCTAATTTTTTTTTTTTTTTTCCCTAGCATAATTGGTTGGGTTTGGTAGCACAATTTGTTTTACTTTCTCAACGGTCATTATTGAAACTGGACCGCTATTGCTACCAGAAGCTCCACATTGGTCATTCTAGTTTAATACTTTGGTAGCACAATTTGTTTTACTTTCTCAACGGTCATTATTGAAACTGGACCGCTATTGCTACCAGAAGCTCCACATTGGTCATTCTAGTTTAATACTTTTTAAGATTCGGTCTCGACGAAAGCGTAGTGACTTCATAATATATTTTGGCAGTGGGGAATTGGTTACTTTATATTAATGCTTCGGGGACTGATAAAATTGCAAATGGCTTTTAAAAATAGAACATAACGTCAAGGACCAAGCTGGCATTAGGAATATGTTGACTAGTCTTTTGGTTTAATTCATGGAATGATGTATTTAATGGTTGGATGAGCTATTGTTCGCTACGCAAAACCATATTCTTGTTTACAAGCTTTTACTTTAATTCACTTCACCTGTGTTTTTCTTGACCTGAATCCAAGTAATGGCGGAACGAGTCCTCTTTAATATTGCAGGAGGGATCATTGGAAGGCTAGGCTCTCTTGCTTTCCAAAAGATTGGATTCATTTGGGGTGTTCAAGATGAGCTCCAGAAGCTTGAGGAGATAGTTACCGGATTGCAAGCTGTTCTTCTTGATGCTGAGCAACAGCAAGCCAACAATGAAGTCAAATTGTGGCTCCAAGGCGTAGAAGACGCTATTTATGAAGCCGATGACGTGCTGGATGAGTTTAATACTGAAGCTCTACGAAGACAAATGGTGCTGGGAAATACTAAGTTGTCAAAAATGGTTAGTGTCTTCTTCTCTAGCTCAAATCAATTTGTTTTTGGACGAAAGATGGGTCGTAAGATAAAAGATATTAACGAGAGGCTTCGTGTGGTTGAATCTCGTAGACCTTCTCAGCTAGAAGTAAATCGTGATGATGCACGACTTATAACTAGAGGGAGGGTCACTCACTCATTTGTCCCTAAGCAAAATATTATAGGGAGAGATGAAGATAAAAATGCAATTATTCAACTTTTGTTGCATCCCATCTCAACTGAGCATGTGTCAACTATTTCCATAGTTGGAATTGGAGGGTTAGGGAAAACTGCACTTTCCCAACTCATATTCAACGATGACGTGGTTCAAAATTATTTTGAGCCAAAAATATGGACATGTGTCTCTAATGCATTTGAGTTGGATAAAATTGTTAAGAAAATCCTTCAATCCGAAAAGAATGATATAGAACAGTTGCAAAATGATCTTAGGAGAAAAGTAGATGGAAAGAAATACCTTCTTGTGTTGGATGATGTGTGGAATGAGAATCGAGATAAGTGGCTTAGCTTGAAGGACTTGTTGATGGGTGGTGCGAAAGGAAGCCGAATACTAATAACCACTCGTAGTAAAAGTGTTGCAACAAATTCAGACACAACTAAGTCATACACCTTAAGGGGTTTGAATGAAGAGCAAAGTTGGTCCTTATTTAAGAAAATGACTTTTGAAGATGGAAAAGAGCCAGAGAATTCAACGATTAAGGTAGTTGGTGAGGAAATCACAAGAAAATGTCGGGGAGTTCCACTCGCTATAAGGACGATAGGTGGGGTGTTGCGCACCAAGGATGATGAATCAGAATGGTTGAATTTCAAAAATAAAAAACTTTCGAAAATAAGTCAAGAAGAAAATAATATTTTACCAACACTTAAACTAAGTTATGATGTGCTCCCATCACACTTGAAACATTGTTTTGCTTATTGTAGCTTGTTCCCACCTGATTATGAGATCTCTGTGGAGAGATTGATTAAACTTTGGGTGGCTCAAGGGTTCATTAAGTCATCTGACTGAAAACGAGTGTTTGGAGGATGTTGCGTATGAATATTGCAAGGAATTGTTGTGCAAATCTTTTTTTCAAGAAGAAGAAAAAGATGAGTTTGGTAGAATACAAAGTTGTAAAATGCACGATCTCATGAATGAACTTGCAATCTAGTGTCGGGCTTTAGTAGCACTATAGTCGACTTGGATCGGGTGAATTTTCATGAAAAGCTTAGTCATGTATCTTTCAATTTTCATGTTAATTTAAAGAAATGGGAAGTGCCAACGTCTTTGCTAAGAGCAAATAAGATACGGACTTTTCTTTTTCTTAGGCAGGGACTTATGAATTATGCAGAGGAGTCATTATGTAATTCACTTTGTACTACAATTGTTTCAAATTTTAAGTCATTACGTATGTTGAGTCTTAGTGAATTTGGAATTATAACATTACCCACTTGTCTGAAAAAACTGAAACATTTAAGATACCTTGATCTTAGACATAATCACATCAGGAGACTTCCTGGTTGGATAGTTGAACTTTCAAATTTGGAAACACTAGATCTCTCTGGTTGTAAATATCTTGTGGAACTGCCTAGAGGCATTGAAAAAATGATCAACTTAAGGCATATCATCTTGGAAGACTGTGCTAAGTTGACTCGAATGCCACGTGGAATTGGTGAATTGAATGGTCTTCTTACATTGGGTAGATTTGTTTTGAGCAAAAACAATTCCATGCTGAGAGGCAGTGCTGGTCTTGGTGAACTGGGAGGCTTAATGAATTAAGGGGAGAGCTACGGATTATAAATTTGAGGCACGAGAAAGATGTGATGTCAAAACCAAATGGTGATGCACCTCTGGAGGAGAAACAGCATCTCCGTTCGTTGAGTTTGTCCTGGAAACGTGGAGAAGATGTAAACGCAGTTGATGAGAAGGATCTTATCAAGTTAATGGAAGTATTGAAACCCCATTCAAATTTGAAGAAGTTGTCCGTGTCGTATTATTGTGGTCTGAGGTTTCCGCGTTGGTTTTCTTCTCTCGAAAACGTTGTTTATCTCAAATTGTCTGAGTGTGAGAGATGCCAATATCTTCCACCCTTGGATCATTTGCCTTCCCTTAAGTTTCTTCATCTTTATAAATTGGAGAAGTTGGAGTACATATCAGACAATGAGAGGGGTAATAGTACCAATAGATCGAGTGATGAGATGTCATTCTTTCCCTCGCTGGAGGAGCTCTCTATATATGGTTGCCCTGTTCTGAAGGGATGGTGGAGGGCGCACACTCATAACAGTGCTTCTTCTTCTTCATCATCAACCGAAACGTTCCCGCTCCCTTCGTTTCCTTGTCTTTCTATATTGGATATTAGGTCGTGTCTTAATCTAACTTCCATGCCTCTGTATCCAAATGTGGATAAAATAGATCTCATTTGGACCAGCTCCAAGGTCGTTCCTTCCTTGTTTGTTAGAGGAGCATCTGATATTACACATGATGTTGGTGTTGATGTTTCTGCCTCTTCTTCTTCCCCTCATCTCTCCAAATTAACACGTCTGTCACTCCGTGGAATTGGGGATTTAGAATGTACAACGTGGGAATGGATCGGAAACGCCACATCCCTTCAGAAGCTTTCAATTTTTTGTTGTGATGGTTTGGTATCACTGCCAGAAGGAATAAGCAACCTCGCATCCCTTCAGGAGCTTAGAATTGAATATTGCTCTGGTTTGGTATCACTGCCAGAAGGAATAAGCAACCTCACATCCCTTCAGGAGCTTACAATTAGTCATTGCGATGCTTTGGTGTCACTGCCAGAAGGAATAAGCAACCTCTCGTCCCTTCAGGAGCTTGGAATTGAATATTGCTCTGGTTTGGTATCACTGCCAGAAGGAATAAGCAACCTCACATCCCTTCAAAAGCTTACAATTAGAAATTGCTCTGGCTTGGTATCACTGCCAGAAGGAATAAGCAACCTCACATCTCTTCAGAATTTTATAATTTGGGATTGCTCTGGTTTGGTGTCACTGTCAGAAGGAATAAGCAATCGCATATCACGTTAGAAGCTTACAATTGGATGTTCCTCACATCTCAATCATTCGTATTTACGCCCATTGTTAAGGTGCGTTTTCAAATGCCAACCTTGGTTCTTCATTTTCTTTTTCATTTATCATTCCTTTTGCTTTCGTTCGACGTTCATTACCAGCATTTTATTTTTCTTTTCAGATGACATAGCATGTGGATCAAAGATTTCGTCCCCACTTAGAACATCTTATGCTTTCTGATTGAGCAACACTGGTTTCACAGCAAAGTGGTATGCATTCCATTACCTACTCATCCCACTGACTTCAATTATTTTCTTAATTTCTTTTTTTTTTTTCTTTTTTTTTTGAAGTAACATCTTATTTACATTAATAATTTCGACTCAAATGAATCCCACATTGATAGGAGAAAGAACCTTGCATAAGCTTATAAGTAAGTTGAGTTACTCCCGAATTCATATTGCCAATTGGTTTTATTTGGAACTTTCAACTTCCTTCACATTTTGCAATATGGTGTTGTGCAGATTCAGAACAATCTTCAAAACTTCTCTTCATTTTACATCTATTTTTTCAACGTTTTCTAAATACCCCTCTTACTCTCCCTACTTGTCCTTTTCAGGTACTACGTACTATGAGAAATTAGTTTTTTAGATCACTACTATTATAGCTATCAAGCAACCGGCCATAAATTTGTACTTCATTCAATACAATTATTATATGCACAACCCTTTTAATTTTTTTTTAAATTTTCAAACTATATAATATGGCTTCAAATTTTTTGGGTTTCGGTTTTGCTTCTTAATTTAGTTTCATGGATATGCGGTACTGATTTAAAGAAGAACAGATAGGATGAAGATGAAGAAAGACAATAACCATACTGCTTTTGCTTATACAGGTGACTCATTTCTGTAGATGTGATAAATATTTGTCAGGATGACTTGATATTCATGAACCAAATTCAGATTGATCTGCAGATTTTAATCATACGTCTTATTTTGTTTTTCTTTGGTTTATTGTATTGAGTGTGGATTTTCTCAGCATATCTTTGTTTGCTGGTTTGCTTGCTTTGTTATTTACTGTGGTTGTTTTTTTGTACCTTGTTACTTGCATTCATATCACTAGAAAGAGCTCTAAATTAGGTTTCGAACTTGCAGTGTAGGGATGGCCGCGTATGTTATACTACACAATGTTTGTTGTTGAGCTTCAACAGCGGATCAGATGTCTCAGTGCTGCATGGAAGCATGAGAGGACGTGTTAAATTCTTGAGCTCGAGATCACATCTCAGTGATTCCATGATCTATTCTTGGAATTTCGGACGAGACAAATGTGCAAGATTTCAAGACTGCAGAAGTGTGGTGGGACGTGGATTAGAGCGGCTATAAGAAAAACGTTTCCCTGCCCTCGAGCCGACATGGAGGTTGTTCATTTACCGTTCCTTTTAAACCTCTGTATGTCTGATCGTGTGGTGTCGTCTGCTGCTCCGACATGAATGGAAAATGTTACAGTTGATCAGTTCGTTAGTGGCATTCGCTTTCAAGTTTGTGAGGAGAATTCTTAGGGTATGGGTTTTATGTTAAACAAAATTGATGTGCTTTGCATTCTCAGTGCGCTTAGATGCATGGAAGGCCTTCAAGAGCGCCTAGAATTCATGTGGTTCTTTAGATTTCCCTTTGTGCTTTTCAAGTTAAAAGTTAATAGGGCCGGCCCTGGCCTAGTGCAAACAGCGGCGTCCAGAGCCTTTCTTCCAGACCAGTGCCCTTCTGTCGCAGCTTTCCTTATTGGCCTCTTGACCTCCACTTCAGAAATCGCCTAAAACTCGACTGAATTTTACAGCATCGGCCGCCGTCGTTCACCATTGCAGTCCCTCTGTCCGCAGCTCATTGAGCCTTCTGGTTACTCTTGCTCCGAGCACACTGTGAGTACCATGCTAATATTTTACTAAAATTGCCCATTTATATGTTTTAACTGTTAAATTTGTGATTAAAGTAACTTTGAGATACCCAGATTGCTAAATTCACTGCTGCTCGTTTTCCAGATTCAGACGAAAGATGGGTACTTACTGGGTTTGAGATGTGAAGGACTAATGAGGTTGCTTTGGTGGGGAGTGTTCCCCATAACTGATCCGTGAGTAAAATATTGATTCTCTGGACACCTGGTTAGTGAAAAGCCTTACTTTTATAGCTCCTCCCAATTTTTTCAACATATTGGTCGCACTAAGTTGATTATTTCAAAATTTGAACGTATAGCTCACTATATGGTGCTCCCTGATCTCAAGTTTCCAGGTTCTGTTGAAAGTTGCTTTCTTGAAACGAAAAATGATGAACTTCCGTGGGATATATATTTTAAATTAGGCTCTAATGTGCTTTAAACTCAATTGAACTTGGTTACTAGCTTTTCTTGTTCTTAACCAGGTGACGCATGGTTCTTAAATTCTCCAGAAGAATAGCTGGGATTCGTCCTTGCAGATGAAGGTTTCGATGTATGGGTAGGGAATGTGTGTGGAACACGTTGGAGTCATTGACACAATCTTTATCAGAAGAGAATCAGGTTTATACTTTATTGTAGGATTTTTGGGATTGGAGTTGGCAGGAATTGGCTCTATTTGATCTGTCAGAAAAGACGCGCTGCATATATTCGAAGCTCCAAAGTCTATGTTGTTGGACATTCACAGTTCGTACACCTCTTCATCTACTTAACATATCATTCCCTTGCTGCTGCTTTTGGCGTTTACTCAATTTATTCATGTTATTAGGGAACAATAATGTCTTTAGCTGCTCTCACCCAGCCGGACATAGCAGAACTGGCTGAAGCTGCCGCTCTTTTCTCTCCAATTTCGTACTCGGAACATATCACTTCTAAATTTGCACCTAGAATGGTCAACATATATATATTGATCAGGTATTCCTTATCTTCTTCAAAGTATAGCGTATGAATAGCTTCTTTAATAAAATTGATGCAACCGTTCATCTTTTCAGATGATTCTTTTTACTCACTGTTATGAGATTTTATTAGTAGTAATATTTTTATCTTATGTACACTATATGCAGTGAATGGGGTGTCAACCTTTGGATTCAATATGTGGTGGCCATGCTGACTGCTTGGACTAGTTGTATATGATTTTGCTTTTGATCGTTGGGGTTTAGGTATTATGTTCCCCCTGTTGTATATTTTCTCTTTTGAGTAATATAATATGGGCGTGAGGGCCTAGCCTCCCAGCTTTGACTGGGTTCCAGCCCTCTTTAAATATGTCTTTTTAATATATGTTGGTGCATCGAAAAAAAGGCACATTTTCACCCCGAGCACCTAAAAACTCAGGACTAGCCCTGCACCAAACATGTCTCTACTCTCATTGAGTGAAATGCTTTTCACACCATCAATTCCAATCTGCTCTATCCTTTGAGGCATCCCCTATCCAAAATCTGTTTCATAAAGATCCACCTTCGGCGACCCGAGGACCACGACGTGGTGCCCCGACCAGCGAATCTCCTCCCACCTCGAAATCCACTTCTCTATCTCTCCCAAAATTGCCTTGTCTAAATTTTAAATAGTGTTTCCGATTGTCTTTACTGCAACGACAATTCCTTTTTCCTAATAACGCCTTCCCTACCGTCATTGACCGGCCAAATATGACACAATTACTGGCGTATGCAATCGGTATTGGATGGCCCAAACGACTTATCTAGCCCGCAATAATTCTTGTGACTATGATGATCATTTTCTTGGGTTTTAAGCAAACAAACCCATACAAATTCACATGTTAGAACATATGGTGATAAAATGTACTGGATCTGACTCATTTCTCTTGTTGCATAACTCAATAATCCAATTTTTAATGCTCTCCATTTGGGCCAAGTTCACCAAAAACGTAGCACGATCCATTTTTGGTGAATGTCATTAGCAGTGGCATTATTATTTACCAAATCCTCGAACCAATCCTTGTGAAGAAATTCGCTTCCACCACTCCTTCAAGAAGACATCCTCCGGACCAAGTGGATGGGGTATTCAGTTTCTACCATGCGTTTCAGATTCGAAATTCTTCCATTCTCTAAATTATTGTAATAGTTTCGAACTCTTCCACTCCTCTTAATAATAGTATTTAAAAAATAAAAAAATAAAAACTACAATGGGCAATACTACTACTTGATGCTAGCTCAAGCATAAGTGTGGAAAACTCTTCCGCATCTCTTTGGAAATTTCTCAAGAGATAAAAAGTCAAGAAAACTAATGAAAATGGCTTGAAAACTTTGAGTTTTAACCAAAAGAACAAAAAAAATGTTGTAAATAAATAGTACCAGGAGTAACTTTTTAGAGTTAAAATGTCCTTAACGTTAAAAGTGAACAGTACCAGAAGTGTTTCATTAAGACTTCCAAAAAAGTCACGTCCGACTCAACGACAGTCAGCGAAACTTGTGCGTAGAGGAGCTCGGGTTTTTCAGGTTCCTGGCCACTAGGGATCTGGCGAAACGGTAAAAGTGTTAGAGAGTGCTTGAGGTTTGGGAGGGTGATGGAACTGAAGTGGAAATGGGAAATGGGAAATGGGAATTCATAGAAGAGGTAGGCTTGGAGAGAAGAAGAGACATGGTATGTCATGGAAGGTTAGAGGGAGAGGGGGTTGTGGAGCAGATGATAAGTTTGGCCGGGGGAGATACTTGGCATTTCTCAAGAAGTTTGGTTTTGGAGAATCCTGCCATGGATCACAAAAAGAGATCAAGTGGAAGACAGGAGCATGAGTACAATGCTAAATTGTGGAGGTTGCATTTTAATCGTGACAAATGATTTGTCCCAAAAAAAAAAAAAAAAAAAAAAAAAAGGTAAATTATACATAACTATCTTAATCATGGATCGAACTACAATCTCATATTTTATGTTTTAAACATTACAATGTCATACCTCAACTGATGAATTCGTTGCAATGTCAGACCTTCGTTAAATTATCTGTCAATTTTTACCTCAACTGATAAATTCATTGCAATGTCAGACCTTCATTAAATTATCTGTCAATTTTTCTGTTAAATGATGACGTGGCAAGAGTAAGGCACACTCCTTCTCTATTTGAAATATTAAATTAATTTTTTATTTAACAATTAAAAAAAACAATAATGCTATTCTTCCTATGTTTTTATACCATATTTATATACCACCTTATGTGGTATCTGATATGGACAGCCATGTCATTTAAATTCATTAGAATTTAATTTAAATTAAAAAACCATTTAAAAACCCAATAATTAAAAAAAACAGGAATTAAATGATGATTGTGGCAAGGAGTCTTCTCCTTCCTTCCCCATTCAACTTCTTCCTCCGTTTCTTCTTTCCCTCTATTTTTTCAAGTCAGTCAAATCCACAATCACCATTTAATAGGGAAGGAAGAAAAAGACTCCTTCACTCTACAATGGCGTGAAAGAACTGGGGTGGAAGAAGAAATGAGAGAAGAAGTTGAATAGGAAAAGAAGAAAAAGATTTCTCATATGCTACATTCATCATTTAATTTTAGTTTTTTTTTTAATTATTGATTTATTAAATATTTTTTAATTTAAATTAAATTCGTTAATTTAAATGATCTGGATATCTACCTCAAATGCAACATAAGGTGGTATATAAATGTGATGTAAAAACATAATAAAAATAGCATTAGGAAGAAAAAAAAAAAAAAAAAAAAAAAAAAAAAAAAAAAAAAAAAAAAAAAAAAAAAAAACCTCTCTCTCTCTCTCCCCTATCACTTGTCTCCCTCACTCACTCTCTGCTCTCACTTGCAGCGCTACAATGGTCTCCTATCACTTGTCTCCCTCACTCACTCTCTGCTCTCACTTGCAGTGCTACAATGGCAGCCATGGCCATAGATCGAACTGGAAAAACAGTTCGCCTCGAGCTAGAGATGTGAGAAAATGGGTCAAATGGTTCACCGTTGCGGGAATCCCGCCGGATAAGTTGAATCCCTGCACTCGAATTCCGGTTCTTGGGGTGGCAGAGTTTGTTGGAGTCGCAGGAAGCGGGTATGGTGAGGTCTCGGGTCAGGTTCGTGCAGGTGGGTGAGGAGCATGGGATGAGGGAGTAGGAGGTGGACCGGGTGGAATCGAATGTGTTGTTATAGTTCTGGGTTTTGTTGCAGTGAGTCCAGGAGAGCTTGCTTCGGGTGTCGGTAACAATCGAAACGTTCTACGGCGAAGTTCCGACTACAGGGGTGACTTTGCGGGTGACATTAGGAGGGACTCAGATGGAGTTTGTTGGGTTTTGAGGGGTAGAATGAGTGATGGAGTTTGGAGTTTGGATTCAGTGAAGCAAATGAGGAGAGTGACAGAGAAGAATAAGAGAAGGATATCTAGCCATGGCTGCCATTGTTTTTCTGCAAGTGAGAGCAGGGAGTTGAGTGAGGGATTTTTTTATTAATTTTAATTGTTAAATAGATAGTTCATAAATTATTAATAATTAATTAATTTAATATTTCAGTTTGAGAAGGAGTGAGTCCTGCTACTGCCATGTCATTATTTAACAATTGAATTAACAGAAAATTTAACCGAAGTCTAAAATTGTAATGAATTCATAAATTAGAGTATGACATTATAATGTTTAAAATATGAAGTATGAGATTGTGATTCGATTTATAATTAAAGTAATTTTGTATAATTTATTCAAAAAAATTGTGAAAATTAAAAAATGTAACATTTGATGTAGAAAGCTCTCGGGTGAGCTCTTTCACAAGCAACCTTCAACTTCATAATTATTTAAAAAGTGTCGGTAGGGGCATGTGAGAAGTTTAATAAAGAGAAATTATAAATACATATTTTTTAGTATTTTACGTTCATGTTTAATTTTGTCGGTTTTTTCATTTAAATTATTTAATTTGATTATTAAAATAAAATTTAAACAAAAGGCATGTAAAAAGTTAGAAAGAGTGTGAAACTCACTTCTTTGTTGAAATGAAACTCCTTTAGAACTAATATATTATTTGAAAGACATGGTTCGTTCAATAAATATATAATTTGTGTTAAAAAGTATGCCATCCGTCCAAATATAATCAGTAGAATACGATGGACTTATAATTTTATAGACATGAGGAACTCATGTGTGATGGTCAGAAGATTATTGAGTTAGAATATTCGTGGCATAAAAAATGGACTTTAGTAGAACTTTGTTTTTATATTTCTAGTTATATTATTTCTCAAAACTTTTGAAACCAGTCAGTCACTATATACTTGTGGATCTCATTATATATGGTTTTGAAGACGGACATTTTCAAAATGATTGTCGTCTTTTCTTTCTGGTTTTATCAGATATTTTGTAATGAACTGCATATCTTTGTCCAAGTTTGATATAGGTAGAGGGCACAGGAAATTAATTTTGTACCTACAAGAGGTTCGCAACTTCCATTCATGAATCTACTGCTGGATAGGATACATTTGGATCGGTTAGACTTTGTTTAGTGTGCGCGGCCTTTCTAGTTAACTGTTAAGCAATGTAGTTTGGTTTGATCTGAGCTAAAGTAAGGGGATAAACCGAACCAAATAATTTATTAGGCCAGAAAAGGTCTTGCATGAATTTTAATTAAGAATTTTATGGTCCGGTAAAAATTGATATAAACTGTGAGTATTTCACGACTTTTATATAAAAAAATGCAGCTGTTGAGTTTTTACAAGATCTTTTTGCATGCGTAATCAAAAAATTGTTATAAATTGTTTGAAAGTGATCTTACCATTTATTTAGTAACATAAATAATAATAATGCAAAAGCGAAGATGCCACAAGAAAGTTTCATTTCGATTTTTTATTTATTTATTTATTTAGAACTTCATAAAATCAATTATGCAATTGTTGTGTCGTCGCAAAATTTTTGTCCGCTCAGTAAGAGAAATATTCCAAGTCATTTAAGTAACTATAAATACGAGCTTGAAGTTGTCTTTATCACTATACCCACAAATTCTGACACTGCTACGATCCTCATGCACCTAAATATAGCAATCCTTACCCAATTGATGACAAAAAAAACAAAAGAAACTGCTAAATGTGGAAAAGAATAACTTACATACTCATATTCAACAAAACATCATGAACCTCTCCCATACGAAAATCACTCCCAATCCTACCACATTGCTCGGACTGGACTCTCAAGTCCAAGGCATATATTCTTACGTTTACATGATCATTGATTTCATTAACACATTTAGTTCTCATGATCTTAATTGGATCGCTTATGAGCTAGCTTTTTCCCTAACAAAACAACACCTTCCACCATGGAAATGAAAATGAAGAAGATTGCTTGCTTAGTCCTTTTCGCCGCTGCATTTGTGAGTGTTGCAATGGCTCGTAAGAAGGGCAAGGACAAAGACGACGAAGCACCAAAAGTTGTAAAACCTACAAAATCAAAAAAATCGAGCAGTGATGTCTCTGCCGGCCTGCCCACCTGGGGGTCATTAGTTGGTGCCTGCCTTGTGTATTACATTACCTACTACTTGCAGTACTAAATGAAGGAACGATGTATGCATGAGATCTATATCTTTGAGGAGCTAGTTCATACGCACGTAGGAACAAGATTGAAATTTTTTTTAATAAAAGGATTATGAAGATTTGGCAAGTCGAGTTACACATAAGGCTTGGTCATTGGTGGAACAAGATTGAATTGGATGAACTGTGTTTCTCTTCCTTTTTTGTGTTTTTAGAGTTCTTCTCTTCCTTCTCATTTATTTTATTGTGTTTGATTTGTGATAAAAATACAATTTGATTAATCAAGGAAAAATAGCAGTACAACATCCCTTCTATTACCTGTGATAGGATGGTAGTCTGCGAATCGGAGAATTGTTACAAGAGAAATGATTTTGGCACATTTTTCTTTTCATGCACACTCTTGTGTATTTCTGGTCTTTGGAGAGAATAAAGCAATGGAGCATCAAATGACAATATTGAAGGATTGAATCAGTTAGAGTATTTGATTCTCCTTAACTGTAGGATCGAATCAATGTAATTATGTGTATAGTTGACTTCCTAAATATGTTAAACTTTGGATATTTAGGGAGTGATTAGCGGCAAGATTAAGGAAGAACAAAAGGAATTTTCTCTTGTATTACAGTCTGCAAACCATAGCAGCAAAACTGATGATTTTTACACACACATGCATCACCTACATTCATCTGCATTCTTATCAGAATTGCACGGTGGTACATGTCCTTCAAATGGACTGCTGGATACATATATATACATACATATATATATATATGAATCTCAGCCCTACACTAGTATTAATCCTAGCCTTACATCTGTTCTCAAAGACTAGAACTTACTTATTCAGTTATTTATCAGAAAACTAGCCATTACAACTTATATAAACTAGCCGTTGGATGCTTCAAACCTTTAGGCCAGACTTCGAACCCTCAAGGCTGCAAGCAGCTTATATTCTAACAGAATAGCTATCCTTTGTACAGTATAAATCATGTATTTTGGTGTACAAATCATTCAGTTACACTTGAGATTTCATTCCCAAGTTTTTCAGTCATACCCTACGATCTGCAAACGCTAGTAATCTTAAAATGTTAACATGGTATCAGAGCACCACTCCTGGTGACTCTGAATACCCACATAACTTCTGCAAACACAACCACAACATGACATACATAGCCGTCATGCGCGAAACCCAGAAAAACAACGAAACATCTCCAGATGTTTCAGATCCATGCACTCTACATCACTCGGATCAGCCAGGAACTGTTTTAGTCTCCAAACTACTCAAAGGAGACAATTATAGCACATGGAGTCATTGCCATGCGAATCAGCTTGAGCGCGAAGAATAAACTTGGTTTGGTGGATGGAACCATTGAAGCTTCATCTGAAACTGAGAAAAATTATGCCTCGTGGAAGAGATGCGAGGACATGGTTCTTGCCTGGCTTCTGAACTCAGTACGTGGAATCATCTTGGGCAGCGTTTCCTGTTCCATGACAACATCAGAAAGAGTTTGGGCAGATTTGCGTGATCGTTTCTCACAGAGAAACGACTCACGCATATACCAGATTAAGCAAGAGATCGTTGAACTCAGACATGAACAGCAGCAATCCATCTTCATAAATACAGGACGCTCCTGTGACTTGCTGATTCCAGGAGTAGAATGAGTTGTTGATGGCTTTGTCTAAGGTGTATGGTTCCCTTCCTCTCTCTCTCACTATCTCTCTTATGCTAATCTCTCTCCTTTCGCATTCAAAATTTTGTCTGCAATATTTCCACTCTAGTGAAGCCTGGGCTCTTACTCGCCTTCCTCTTGGGCATTGCACTATTGGTTGTAAATGGGACTACGTCACTACAAGATTAAATACAACTATGAAAAATTAATCACTGTCCGTTGTCTCTTGGTCGCTGCCTCTATCCAAAGTGGTCTATCCATCAAATTGACGTCCGAATATGTCTTCCCCCATGGCGATCTTCGTGAAGAAGTTTATATGCATTTGCCTCCTGGCGTTCGTTCATAGGGGTAGTACAATTTATGTCGACTCAACAAGTCCCTGTATAGACTTAAACAAGGTTCTCGCAGCTGGGTCCACAAATTTTCTCATGTCATCACTAAGCTGGCTATCAGCAATCTAAAGTCGACTATTCCTTATTCGGTAAGGTGCAGTGGAGATTTTTATTGCCATCTTTATTTATGTGGATGACATGATCATCACAGGCAACCACGATGGAGCCATTCTTGATCTCAAACAATATCTCCAGACTAATTTTCTTGGACATAAATGTAAACCTGACATTTTTGAAAGAATGCAACACATTATAATGGCTAGTTGGGAAGCTTATCTATCTCATAATCACTAACCGAACATTTCATACATAATTTTCATGTTTTTAGCCAATATGTGCAACAGCCGAGAAAACCTCATCTTGATGCAGTCCACCGCCTTTTGCGCTATTTGAAGGCCTTCACTTCCCTTCTAAGGGAGAATTAACAATGAATGGTTTTTGTCATATGAATTGGGCTCGATATCCAATAAAGTGAAGATACGCTTCAAGTTATTGCATCTTTCCTGGAAGTGCACTTTTGGATAACTAAGAAACAATCCACTGTTACTCGATCCTTGGCTGAAGCAGAGTATTGTGCCATGACCTCCATCACATGTGAATTCACTGGATGAAATATTTACTAGATGACTTTGAGAGTTGACCAGTGAGTTGATATTGTTATAATCAAGTTGCACTTCACATAGCTGCAAAATCATGTATTCCATGAGTGTACCAAACACATCGAGATTAACTGTCACATTGTTCACGAAGAAATGTAAGCTGGTATTAACAAAACAGCCTATGTCCCAACAATATTGAAGTTCGCTAATATACTCAGCAAACCCCTTGGACATAAGATGTTTCGTTTTCTAATTGGCAAGCTGGGTGTTATTTACATCCACATGAACTTCAGCTTGAGGGGGAATATTGACAATTGAATATGAATTGAATCACATATACATTTACATTTTTGTTCTCATTGCACATGACTTACATGTTACTGGTATCAGTGACGGATAATGTCACCGCCATTGGTGCTAGAAAAATTTTCTGGTCGCCTGAAAAATTCTAGTCCATGTTCAATAGTGACATAAAAATAACGATTGGTGCAACTTTTTCATCTTGAATTATGTTTAGTTGTGCGCGTTTATTGTTTTTCCACACTATATGTACAAAATAAAATTAGAGAACTTAGCAAATTCATCAATTAACATGACTCACTTTTGGAAGTAACATTGAAGCGGAAAAATTGATCGGTCGATCGCTGAAATTTTGATGGCTAGTCACGGGAAAGCGTTGACCTATCAACAACGTGGTAAGATTAACTGACAATCATTTTGATTTAAAATAGTATTTACATATAAAAAGTTGTCAACTTTTCCATTAATACCTAAAATGTCACCAATACAATAATTCTCTTGGCATTGTTTTTCTATACCGTTTTGGATACATTACCAACTCTTCAACAAAACGCGCTCCGTACGTGCACCCAACTCGCATTTTCTTTAGGAAGAAAATCCTTTCCGAATCTACTTTGTGGGGGGATCTGATCCCCACATTCTAACCGTTCATCGTATATCGTACGATCAGTTTTCGTCAAAAGTCATTTGTGTTTAATTTTAAATAAAAAAAAAGTTAAATGATTTCTGATCACATGATACACAATGAATGACTATAATGTAAAAATCCTTAAAATCCCCCCAAAATAAAAAAATGGCCAAAAATGGAAAAGAATACATGTCCTTTGTAACATTCCAAAGGACAATCATGAACCGTCTCCTATATATACTTGATAAATTCCTCCTCAATCCTACCAAACTGCTCAGCCTCAACTCTCAAATATTCCACTACGTTTTTGCTCATCAAGCCTAAAAGACACCGCAAGGCCACCATGGAAATGAAGAAGATTGCTTGTGCTCTCCTCTTCGCAGCCGCCTCTGTCAGCTCTGTGATGGCTCATGAAGGCCACGCCCACGCGCCGGCCCCGGGACCAGGAGCAGCCCCAAATGATGCCTCCGTCAGCCTCCCCGTCCTGGGGTCCGTGGTTGGTGCCTCCGTTGTGTCATTCATTGCTTACTACATGCATTAAAATAATAAAGAAGACATGACAACTGAGAGAGATTCAACTGAGTAATTCAAAAGAAGGGGAATGAGATTGATGTTTTCTTTAGTTCCTGAATAGAGGGTCTCTCTTGGTTCTCATTCTTTCAAATTTATGTGAACCATATATTGTAATAATAACGTAATAAAATAGCGTTTTCCCAATCTTCATACGATATTGTTGGTTACCTAGTGAAAATTTGTTTACTGTTGAAGTACTTTTTAACTTCTAACTTTCTCTTGCAAGGTGCAAAGTGACATATTTGTAGGAGAAATAAACTGCAAAAAAAGAAAATAATGTGCAGAAATCATTTCTTGTAGAAATCAAGCTCAAAATTTTCAATTAACGTCCAAATATTTCAATTTTGATCTTTTTTTCTTAGTATATATATAGGAAAAATCCTGAAATTAAGATAATTAAAGAAGGAAATTAACTCTAATATATTGTCGCGTTGATCTGTTACCGCGTTTTGTTGAGAAGTCAAGGATATGTTACCCTATATTTATAATATTTCTCCATTAATTCGAGCCATTTTCCTGTTTTGCTCTTCATTATGGAATATGATTTGAAACTTGGTCCTCCCATGCATTTGTTACAATTTCTCTCTTATTCTCATATTTTCTAATGGAGAGCTGCTAGATTCATCTTACTATCTTTTTTCTCATTCACATTATAAATTTACTCTTCATAAAAAGTTAAAAATTGAAACGCTATTTTATTACCCACTATTATTTCTAAAATAATTACTAATATGTTATTTCTCTACCCACTATTATTCCTAAAAAAACTAAATTATATTTCCTCAACAACGAAGTCTCCTTCGATGGTAATCTACCAACAAATGAATAACTTGTAAATGCTCCGGTGTGTGATTATACACTCCAATAACTACCATCAATATTCAATCATCATCAATTACTAGCTTCTTAACCTTTAGTTGAAAAGGGCATCCACACTTTTCATTCCAAAACTCGTTTTATCCTCTATTGTTTTTTCACAATCAAAATAATTCTTGGTTCCTGTTACCTTTTCACACTCAATCTATTATTATTATATGTCTATTAAGATATTTATCTGTCATTTTACAAATGGACAAACTTATAAATAAAAATTTCATGAAAAAGTGGGTGAAGAGGTAAGACACTGTGGATGAGAATAAAACACTCTTTTAATATTATATGAATGTTCTGCCATATGGTTCTCTTTACTAATATTTTTCTCAGTTGTATGTAAAAGATTTTAGGTTTGATAATCGTGTCCATTATATGGTTTAAACTAAATCTCCTACACAATGTAAATATATAGATTTTTTCAGATTTTTTTTTTTTTTATAGAGATGATGTTTTACTAGAATCTTAAGAAATAAACGGTTTGATCATCAAATTATCCATCTACATATGGGAAAATTCGTGCATGGGCCATGGCGATAGACCTAAAATTTTTACTCAAACTTTTTGTGCTTAAGTAATTGAAAGGACCGCGTACACCATTAGACAATGATGCAGGCAGCATGTGGATTGTGGAGATGTGGTGAGCTTTATCTCTGAATATATAATATTGCAGGCCTTATGTAAGCTTTTCTCTCTGAATTATATATATATAGGAATGGATAGTGTTATCTATACTCATTTTTACTTTTCTCAATTATTGAATGAAATGAATTGAGAACAATGACAAAACATTAATAAAAATGTGTAAACAATAAAAATAGGTTGCGAATGGCACTATCCAATATATATATAGCAGACTAAAGGCCTCGATCGTGTGAAAACCAGGTCACGGGAGGGAACTTCCCTTTTCATGGAATCATCAATTTCATGCGCAAAACTTAATTATATACGAGGCATGAGTTGGCATCTGCATGAATCGCAAGCTGCTTCGATATGGACCAAATTCCAGTCCATGTGTCTACCATGCATTGGAACTCTAAAATTGCACTCAACCTCAACGCATCATTCTGCATAAACCCTAGTTAGCTAGCTTCTCACATATATAGCAGTTTGGACCTCTGAATCAGATATAGCTAATGGCTTCTACTAAGGCATTCTTGGTCGCAGTAGCTCTTATTATGTTTCTTGCTATGAATTATATCGCAGCCTCAGCCTTTGGGGATGGGATTGCTCCGGCGCCGGCGATGGCCACCGGATCAGCTTCTACTTCTTCTGCTTCAGTCGCTTTGCCAGGGTTCTCTTTTGTCTATATTTTTTGTGTTGTTTTTAATGTAATATAACTAGTACTTGTAGGTTCTAAATTAATAATCATTTCAAGTCTTCAAGACGATGTATTCTCCTAGCTTGCTACTCGATGTATAATTGCACTTGCTTTTTTATACACACTATTCATATTAATATTTCTACCCTAGTTATCTGTATAATATTGTGCGTGTCTTCTGTCTGGATAGGTAATGTTTCGCACGAGGTCTTGTGTCTAAATAAAATAAATTAATTTATAATCATGTAATTACAGAGAGATTTTTCATGTATCCGTGTTATGAACACCACATTTTATTATATAAGAAAAGTTTTTTTAATGTTCATCTCTAATTGTATAATAACATGTTGAGTGTTTCACTCGAATTGTGAAAACATTGAAAAATCTCTTGTAATTACGTTATTGAGTGGGAACTTGCTCAATGTGCGCTATTTTCCATGCCATACCTTTAATGACAAACGGGCTGTAGCATCTTTTAGTGCAGAGGGAGATGAAGATTGAAGTAACAAGAAGGTGAATTAATCTGGATCGCGAATATATGAATTAGAATGCAAATGGAAATGATAGTAATTATAAACTTAAACAACACCTGAACCAATGGGAATTGGAAATCGATGCCGAGTGCAGTCTTGGCGGAGCTAAAATTAACCGCAACTTCAGCAACATGCGTTTTCGGACTTGGATTTGAGTGAGGGCACTGGATATGAAGTGCTTGGATGTATATGAAATTTGTGTGAAAAATTATTTGGGGTTGATCATGGATATCTTCCTCCTTCATCAGAAAACTTTGTCATTTGATTTTGGATGAACTACAATTGGGATGATGATGCCACTTTTCTTTGCCAAAATTGTTCACCTGCTTTCTTATGTCCAAAGTTCATTCATTTTCCTACCAGGTACAAATTGATCATCTTAAAAGTTGGAACACGGGGTAACATGATAATTTTTCATTAAAAGCATGGAGCTACTCTGTTGAAAAATATAATCTCATATCAGTCATATGACAAAATAATATACAATTTATATGGAAGTTTTCATGCACTCTTACTTATCTTTGAGGTCTATGATACAAACTCAACATCTAGTAATATATGATTAAGTTAGGACAATATCAGTAATATTAGTGGTGAACCATGATGAGCCTATAAAATTTATCATGGCATCAGAGCAGGTTTTGGCCTGTCTCAATCCCTGAAAAACCCTCCCGCAGGCAATTGCTATTTTCATGCACCGATTCTTGCACGGTTTCAGTCATTTGGGTTTAAACTCTTTGATACCACTTTTTCAATTTGGTCTCAGATGATGGAAAGTCCACGCAACGGAGTTGGGAAAGCAGCTATTTGACTGAAGAATAAAATCGACTCTAAACTCTCAAATGTAGATTGAAAATGGAAGACTAATGCATGCTTGTGGTTGCATGTAGAAAATGGTTTAAAGTGTTTTTTGGATGTACTTCTTCATAACCACTTTCAAATGCTTTGTTGGGAAATACTAGATTAAACAAAAATTTCTTATAAATTTATAATTAAAGTATAATTTATGAAAGTGCTTTGGAATGAATCAATCTCAAACGTGGCCTTATAACATGAGTTCCTTTTCTTTTGTTTTCTTAAATTAAATTAAGTTTTAACGAAACATTCTCGGTTTTGTTTACTTTTAACGAAAATGATATTTTTACTCTAAAAAATCACTTCTGGTACAATTCACTGACAACATATTTTTATCCTTTTATTAAAATTCAAAGTTTTAAAACTTTTGTGATTAGTTTTGCTTTAAATTAATGCAACAAGCACTGTTCCCCAACAATCCGATAATCCTTTGCTGGGTTTGAACCATGGTCCGATTGAAATTTATTTTGGGCCAAACCTCTACATTTCGGCTCGTGCCCGAGGCCCGCGCCTATATATGCCCAGGAGAGGTACGTAAACGCCGCCTAGAAGGAAAAATCGCCCTCCCTCCCTCCCTCCCTCTCTTCAGTTTGTGGTTGAACAAAAATGGCCACCATGATCACACGCAGATTCAGCTCCAAGCTTTCAAGACTCAACGATCATCATCATTCATCATTGTCTGCATCCTCGACCTACCTCGCCGCCCAAAACCTCCAAAACCGTAAAACCCCAGACCACTTCACTCACTCCTCCAATTCCACTCTCTGCCCAAATTCTTTCAAATCCTCATCAGACCCCACCACCATTATCGATCATTACATAAAATCATCAAATCCAAAACCCATAAACCATAATCTAACTTGGGTACCCAATTCAAAATCCATTACTCAAAACCCTGAATTCAGAAAACCAATCTTGGTATTACTTTTACACAATCGTGTTCAAGTTTCAGTACCAATTTGTACAGTCCTAGGTTTAATGGGTTATTAGATCAGAAACCCAGATTTTTTTCAACTTCTTCTAGTTCACCGTCACCGGATCCAGAATCTCAAAATCCAAACCCAGAATCTGAAAGGCCCCAAACCCAATGAATACCCTAGTCAAAACCCTAACTTCAAGCACCAAGAAATCGAAGGACCGACGGTGGAGCGAGACCTTTCGACTTTGGCCAATGAGACCAGAGAAGTTCTCGAATCGATGGCCAAAAACATGTATAGTCTGAGCAGGGCATTGGCTCTTCTGGGTTTGGCTCAACTCGGCGTTGGAGCTTGGATTTCGTACATTACCAAATCGACCCCAATGGCGGAGGTTTCAGTTCAGAGCATATTGGCTTTCGGATTGCCCTTTACGCTGGCGTTCATGTTGAGGCAGAGTTTGAAGCCAATCTACTTCTTTAAGAAGATGGAGGAGCAAGGCAGGCTGCAGATTCTGACTCTCACCCTTCAGGTTGCTAAGAATTTGAATGTGTTCTTCGTTCGTGTTCGCGGCGTTTCATTCTTGTGCATTGCTAGCTTGTCAGTCGGAGTGTTGTTCGCCGCGCTTACGAGATGAGTTTGTAACTCCCGCTGATGAGATTTTTATGTTGAAGTTTGATTGTTGGATTGTTGTAATGTGTAACTTGTGCGGGAAGAAAAGATTAATCTAATAACCCTATTTGAGTCTTTTTTTTTTTTTTTTTTTAACATGGCAATATTATATTCTAAACTACTTTGGTCTAGAAGAGATTCGAACTCAGAACCCCTCAAGCCCGCATCAAATTTCACGTTGCTCGCTAATGTAATAGAAGTTTCATTGTTTTCTCAATAAACCCAACAACGCCTCGTCTTCTCCTTCAACTATGTTGGTAGATTTCTTCTTGTAAGAAATCTTAACAGTCTTCAAACTCTGCGTTTCATTAGCAGCTTCGCATCAATACGAGCGTTCAGCGATGATACAAAAGAAATTAAGAAATATGAAAGATATACATATGCACACACAGATAGTCCAATTATGATTTTAAATGACCATCGAATAGGCCTTAATCAGGACCTTGAAACACACGAAAATTAGGTACCGCAGTACCTTCAGTACGCAGGAGCAGTAGCTCAAAAGCAAAATATACCAAGTAGCCTTGTGAATAAATAATATTCTGTATCTACAAATTGTTGTAGATCGTAGAGAGTCAAGAGCACACCAATAGCATCTTCTGGAGCTACATTGTTCAGCAGAAACTTCATATTCGGGAGCAATTTCGCCTGTAGAAATCGTTGCCATTGTAACAAAGACAACTTTGCTTTCATCCTTTCCGCTTCATTATACATGTTAGAAAGCTCCTTTAAGTGCAGAAATCAAGAAGAGAGAATGTTTCGCAGCCACTTGAATATGGCAATATGCACTTATGGATGCAGAACCCCCATCTCTTCTTCTCATTGATAGAAATATGGGTTTCTTGACAATACATTCTCAGGAAGCCTCAAACGTTTTATGTAGGGGATCTTAAAACCTGCCACACAAGTCACAAGTCAATTAAAGATCCTGTACAAGTTACAGAACATACCCTAAACCCTTTGTCAAAACATATTAGTAGTTGTTGGGTGGATGGAAAAGCCTCCAAAAAAAGCTTCTTAGTTCTTCGAGGAACGTAGTTGAGGAGAATGCAAATTCATAGCATGCAAACAAGCGTAGAACATGTACCTGACGGACATTGAATTTCTCCAGTGATAACAACGTCTGAATATACCGAGCCTCTGAAAGCAAATATGCCTAAATGGAGAAGATATAGATAGAAGGTAAGATACAATGGCGGGTAATAAACATTTTTATGTAATTCTTGATTTTATTTGAAGTACCTGGAAGGGACTATGAGAATAGTAGGCTTGAATGTTTCCTCTTGTATCACTTTTTATCAGGGAGCTAGGATCCTCCTGTCTCCCAACCATATGTAAGGGACGTGAGCTATGGAGCGCCAGTATCGACCTTTACCTGGTTTGCATCTCGCTTCTAGCAGAGGACAACGACGGATACTAAGTTGTGTCAGTGGAACAAGCTGGCCCTCATATGGAATGGATTCTAGCTTGGGACAAGTCCAGATGTAAAGAGATTTAAGAGATGTGAGGAACTGAAAGCCCTTGCTGGACAGGTACCGGAGATTTGGGAAGTCTTCAACAGTGAGTCTAATGAGAGATTTGGGGAGCACCATCTCCGTAGGTGGAAAGAAGACTAGATCTGGATCTTCACCGCTGATCCACAACTCTCTGAGAGAGGTTAGTCTGTGCAAACCACATTGGAAGAGTGGCTTACAACTCTTGAGGTTCAGAATTTTAAGTGATATTAGGTTAGGGGGAAAGCCCTCTCCTATAAAGGACATGAAACCATCACAATAAGGGATTCTTAATATCTCAAGAGAGTTGAGGTTGTGCATGCCTTTGGGTAAGGCCTCCAGTTTATCACAATTAGTGATGTCAATCTCTCTCAAATTGGAAGCTATTCTCTCAAATCCTCCCCGCTGGAACGAAGCAAGACTTCTACAACCATAAATACTCAACTTCTGAAGATTGGGAAGGTGGCAAAGGCCTTCTGGTAAAGATTTGAGATTTGGGCAATACCAGATATGAATGTATTCAAGATGAGTGTTGTGGTCGAACGTATCAGTTATGAACTCCAGTTGTTTACAAGTGTGTATCTGAAGGTGCTTAAGCGCCTTGGGCAGCTGGATTCGAGATGACAAAGACGCCAGAGATGGACAACTCCATATGCTCAAGTATTCAAGACAAGATTCCTCATCTTGTGTCAAACAAGGAGAAGAAGATGATGATGCAGAACCATCTCTGTCCTCCACTAATGATTTCAAATTTTGGCATCTGTTTATCTCTATTCTTCTTAAACTTGGGGGTAGACGATATCTTGCAAAATGCGTGAGAGAATCACAACCTCGAATCTTTATTTCCTTAAGAGAAGCCGGCAAGTCAACTTCTGGAAAAGAAACTAGGCTTGGCCATTTGTCAATGTGAAGCTCTTGAAGTGATGTCAGGTGATGCAATTGAACTAGGTGAGAATTACCTTCAATTGTCAAACGGTGAAGAGAAGTAAAGTATTGCAGTAATGAATCCTCACTCTGCAACGACGGTGTCAGCTCTGCACAACCAGTTATTTCCAAATCTAGCAACTGAAACTCAACCGCACTCTGATACACCAAGCCTTTACAACTGTGGACGCACAACGCACAAAGTTCTCTGTAGTTGGCAACTGAAACCACCAACTGATCGCATTCACGAATCACAAGATTTTCCAATGAAGAAATGTTCTCAGGTAACGTACCCTCCAATTTGGGGCATGCATCAATGGAAAGCATTTTCAGGCAAGGAAACTCTCTAATTCCCTGAAGTCGTTCACAAGGAAACCACTCCTTCCATCGTTGCATATTCTGAAACGAAAGGGTCTCTAGTACCGGAAAAGGAAAGCTGCCCTCTCCATAAAACTCGGAACCCACATTTTCCACTTCAGACATTCCTTTTATAGAAATCTCTTTCAGAGAAGGCAATTGTCCAAGTGGTGGCAAGAATTTGCAGTTACAGCAATCTTGTAAGCGTACAACAACCATATTAGTGAATGAAGGATTTCCCACCCAAGTAGAAATCTTCACACCACCATATCCCCTGATGGTGAGTTCCTTGAGATTTCTATGAGCTTGTAGCAAGTCAAGAACGTCTGCCTCCATTTCTCTTGTGCCACTCCCTTCCGACCATTGTAGTAGCAAGAAATCAATCCCTTCCTTGCTAATTAAGTCAGCCCTTCTTGCATCTTCAACTTCAGTCACATTCTCCAATCTTGAGAGGTGTAATGTCCCCCGAAGATGCAATAGGGGCCCTATGTCCTGTCAACCTTGACCCGCTACCTTTACCCACAGCAAAATTAGCTAGTGTCTGCAGATTAGTCAACCGCCCTAGTTGCAGAGGCATCCCTTTCAGAGAAGGTACATTTGAATTGTTGAGATGACGCAAATTAATCAAATTCCTCGTGTTTATGGGCAGTGCCTCCAAACGTGAACAATTCTCTAATAGCAATACCTGTAAGTTACAAAGTGTGCTTGTTGATTCAGGTAAACGTGTTATCAGTGTGTGAGAAACATCAAGGTAGCGTAGAAACTTCAGTTTACCAATCGAATTTGGTAGCTCAGTTATTTGATAGCTGTTCATAGAGAAGACCCGTAAGTATTGCAATTTTGGCAATAAATCAAGAGCAACCTTACAAGTCACATAATTCTGGGGGTTTTCTGAAAGTGTAAACGGTAGGAAAGTCCGCAGGTGTTTGGCCGAGAAAAAGGTGCCAAATTTTTCAGCCCCATCAAACTCTCCAGAAATGTAAGAAGAATGACGAGCTTTTGGAGTACATCTGAACTGCTGAATGCTCTTATCCACATTATCCTCCAATCTAAAACATACTTTTCCTGCAGCCCACCGTGCGAGTTCACTAATGAGGTCATGCATTACATATTTTGAATTGCTTTTGTTCGATTTCTGAAACAATGACCTGGATAAAAGCTCCTGAAAATACTCTCCACCCAAATCTTCCATTTGTCTACCTTCTTCCGAATGCTGAATCAAACCCTCTGCCATCCACAGGAGGATCAACTGCTTCTCACTAAATTCGTAGTCATTGGGAAGTATTGAGCAATAGGCAAAGCATCTTTTAAGGTTTGAAGGGAGAGAGTGATAGCTCAATTTCAATACTGGGAGAATGCCACTCTTATCTGATAGACTCCATATTTTGCTGTCTAATATTTCTTCCCATTCGCCAATTCTTTTACACCGTAAAAGTCCACCAAGAGTTCTCGCAGCCAAAGGCAATCCATTGCATTTTGCAAGGATTTTCTCCCGAAGTAACTCAAAATTGCGCGGTCTGCCGTTGTTATGTCCAAGAATGAATGCTGTTCAAACACTTGCCAGCAATCATCATTTGATATATAATTCAAATTATGAACTTGAATGGCTCCCATAATTTTCGCAACTGTTTCATGACGTGTTGTCACAAGTACCTTGCTTCCCAGTGCTCCAACCCGAAATGGGGACTGCAACTTTGTCCACATATCATAGTCACATGTGCTCCAAACATCGTCCAAGACAATCAAAAACTTCTTCCCAGTTAATTCCTTGCTCAGATTATCCTGAACTTTACTGAACTCCTTCAACTTACAGTGCTCGGATGTGATCGATTCAAGAATTGCCTTTGTCACTCTTACGATATTGAAGTCATCCGACACATACACCCATACCTTAAGATCGAACTGTTCCATGGCATCATCGTTGAATACATGTCCTGCAAGTGTTGTCTTTCCGATCCCCGCCATGCCAAGAATGGAAACTACATGAAAGTTGCTGGTACAAGGCTCCGATATTGACAGCAACTTGACGATCTTCCTTTTGTCTTCATCCCTTCCGATAACAGGTCCATCCGGTTGACAAGAACTGGGAGGCACTCTATATGCCTTAGTAGTGTATGCCGAAGTCCCAGTATCGTTCAAGCGAAGCTGGTCTTTCCGTTCAGATATATCGACCAGTCTATCCGTAATCTCCTTCATTTTCATGTTCATACAAAAGTTGAATTTAGCTTTAGGAATTAGACTCCGTACCTTGCTTGATCTAGTTCCATGTCGCTGCTTGACCTTGCGTCGTAACGTCTGAACGGAGAATCTGTCCAGTATGTCTTCCACATCATAAGCCAGGTCTTTGAGATCATCCAGCCACAGTCTGATTGCCTCACTTGTGAGCTGTTTCTCTTCCGCATCATACAGCACAGCTCCAATTGCAGACAGTATTGCACTCCATTTCTTCAGTTTCCGATCGACAATCCGTAGGCGACCGAAGTTGAGGATACCGCGGGGCGTCAACCTGTCGAGCAGCACCTGCAGAAATGCCCCAAGAAACAATTCTCCAGCTACCATTGTTTGTTTTGTTGAATGAAGCTGCCAAATCAAACTAGTGAAAATGAAGCTTTGGTTGGGCGGTTTCTCCTATCTCTCAAGCTATCAATAACAAGACTTGGTAGTTGGTACGCCACAAAGTCAAAGTCGCCCTTTGCAGCACATGGACAAAGCACTCATACAGGAAAATATCGAACGACTTCGTTTAAATTTGAGAATTGTTACAAACAATCTTAAAATATTTTACCACAAAAAAATAAGAAATAAACAGGGCTTAGGATAAAACAAAGGACAATACTCGACTACTCAAAGATAAGGAGAACTTTTACTTACTCAAAATTTCTCAAAATTATTCGTTGTCAATTTATAAAACTTTGTGTTTATAATCAGAACTGTTCATAGTATATAAATCATCATATAAAGATGGCTTTTGCAAAAAATAAATTAAAACTAAGGTCGTTTAATCATGAAACTATTTAAAAACAAATAAACGGTATTAGTAAAAGCATTATGAACCGTCTATGTATTTATTACAATAGATTGACTAAACGATCTTAGTTTTAATTTAATTTTTGCAGATAATTTTTACAACATGATTCATAGTATGAACGGTTCTAATCATAATCACAAAGCTCTGCGATTAAAACACTAAGAATTTTGACTTTTTAAGTGAAAATTCATACTCATCTTTGAAGTAGCCAAGTATTGTTCTAAAACAAATTCCTTGTGACAAGTAATAATTTTTTATAACTGATAGAATAATCTACAATAAATTTATCTGAATTGTCCAAATTTCAAACTTGGCTACATGAGGTAAAAAACTTATGCTTGAAAAGTATACAAAGAAAACAACACGAGACTCGATCAGCGAGCACAGGGCGAACTAAACGGAATTTCGAAGCAAATAACAGGAAGCTGCTACTGCTAAATGTACAACATGCAATACTATACAAGGCAATTAATATCTCCTTTTTCCCATTTTATCTTTTTTTTTTTTTATCAAAATATAAATGTTACGAAACAGATTAATAAAGTTAATATCCTTCAAAAAAGAAACCATTAATCCGTCCGCCTATACACAAATTTGATCCTAAACAGTAATATCTTCGTCGAGCTGACTACTACTCTTGTCTCCAAAAATGTTTTCCATCGCTTTATGATCCCATGCCATAATTTAACTCCCTTTTATCTCCAACCCAAAGAATAAAACCAAAATTTGCGAGTGGGGAAGCCTTCGCCTTCACTTCTTCCGCCTCCATGTAAAAATGTTCTCGACCATATACAAAAAGAATACACCCCAATTTATTGGAATTCCGAGGACCACAAGCTTTTCATGTCGGGCATATCGCAGATGGTAACGTCATATACGGGACTAGTTTCCATCTGGCTTAGGTTCTGTTCGAACATAGGTTAAGACTGCGAGCTGTTGGTGTAGGAACAGCAGTGGCAGTGACAGGAGCACCCGTCCCACCTGGACTGGCCTGAGTATCACGCTTCCACTGCATGCTCCTGGCACCAGGTTTGATTAGGGGGCGAGGCCTATGTGCACCAGATATGCCTCTCTGGAATGGGGACCAACCAAACCTCGCAGTGGCAAATGGAGTGCCCCGGGCAACCCTTGGCCACGTCATGCCAGGAGCTGCTTCTTGATGTGCAGCTCCCCTCTTTACAACCTGCGATAGGATAATGATACGGGTAAAGATTTCACTCCTACATTTAAACACTAAAAATTACAAATGCTAAATGTAAGGATTCATGATCAGTGTTGATAACGTCTAATGGCTGATGAATCAAATCCCAAAATGCAATGACACATACAAATCCTTACATCAAAGATTTACCATGAAAAAAAATCATATGTTAACAAGGAAGCTAAATAGAGTTCTGTTCTCAAATACCTCACAATAGCAAAAAGTCATCACTAGTTCTAGTTACCACAATGATTTACCTTGAGGATCCGTGACATGAAAGAGGTTCCATCCAGAGATAATGCATTGTCTGCCGCCTCCCTCCGTGTGAACTCTACGTAAGCTGACCTGCTCAAGTAAAGTTATTTAGCAAAGACTAACTAAGGAATATGTATTGTCCTCATATAAAAGGAAGGACTAGGCTAAGAGCTAAGAAGAATTATGATGAGACATCTTACCCTTTAGGCTGCCCAGTTGCTGCATCAGTAACTATCACTACTTTTAGCACTTCCCCAAACTTGTTGAAATGTCGAGAAAGACTATCTTTTGTAGCAGCAAAGTGGACCTGTGCATTCATAAAAAAATATAACTAAAACTGAAATTGCACAAAACCGAGACAAAACCTCAAACATTGAACAACAAGAAGGAAGCTATTACATTGTTAACAAAGATAGTTCGAGAATCTGCATCCTCCAATGGGCGTCCACTGGCATATAGACCTGCACGATATTCCATAATAAAAAAAATTAATAAAGATGCATATTTGGATACTACTCGAATGACAGAGATCCAACACCAGAAAGAGAATCAATTATTTGACTAACTAACAAAAAGTAGGGGTTTTACTTCTCTCATCTCTAAATAGAGGAAAGCAGTAATAATGCGGAAACAAAAAAGAGGATTATTTTAGAAGTTTCAAAACTCACCAGCAGAAGAGGAAAGCATCTTAGGAGAATCTGCAGCAAGTGTTACCTGATATCATAAAAAGACATATTCAATAACAGCCTCCAAGTGCAATGAAATATCAAGTGAATTTAATGTACAAGTGACGATAGAGGAGAGGAAGGTGTGGGCGTGGGCGTGGGCATGTGCGTGCATCTTACATTTCCATTACTTGCTCCAACAGGATTGCCGTTCTCCTTCATCACATGCAAACCAGATTTGGCAACCCCTGCCTCACTATTCTGTAGGGATTTCCAATCATCACCAGCAACTTCTCTTGGCTCCTGATAATGGTGCGCTTTCCAAGTATTGACATTCACAGATATATTCACAATCTTATGAGAAGAATTCGCAGCTGCAAAAGGTTGACCGTGATCTTTATTCCTGGATAGCTGCATAACATGATCAACATTCTTCGCCACATTGTAACGCGCCATTAGTGAATTTTCACCCTTGCTTCCACCAGATGTCCCAGTTTGAGAAACATCAGTAACTATATGACCCATAACATTAACGTCATCAAACCCTTCATTGTCCAATACAAAATCAGAAGCCAAACCAGTTTCACTTTCTAACATAGCATTCCCTACATACTGTCCACTGTATTCACTTCTAGCCGGATATGACGATCGTTTTTGCTCACGAAGTTGGACGACATCTTCAAATTCAACATCCTCGGTAGCAGCATCTCTGGATGGTGCAAGAGGCACACTGGTCTCAAAAAACTCCATACCACGACCTAGTCGGTCAAACACACTCCCTGAAGGTTTAACTCTTGTTACATCTTCAGCAGCTTCTGCAACAGCTTTCATTACAGTTGACATGGGATTTGGCACCCTGGCGACAGACTGTATCCGTCGAGGACGATCAACCCATGATGAGTCAACAGTGGGTTTAGATACCACAGAACGAAGACGCTTCAATGTGGGCTGAGTTGCTGAATTGGATTGCCTTGAGGTCGTTAATGCATCACGCATAGCAAATTGGAGTAGCCGTCGAGGGGCATCAATATTCACTTCAGAAACTGGTTCCCTCTGTCAAGAAGAGGATAATCGAGTGAGAAAGTTGAATAATTGTTATCAAAGTGCATACACTCTATACGAAAGAAGTCTCCAAAATGATCTTTCTTAAATTGCATACTCAATCAACCCTTGCAATAAGCATAAAATACGTTGTTTTGGGGGTGGGGATATTCTTTGTGTGGGGAGAAAAAGCAAAAGAGGATTGCCAGAGCGTGACAAAAGAAACAGTATGCACAATTAAAACCATTAATATGTCCAAACGCAGGTTATAGCCTATAGGCACCCACACAAGCACATGAAAACTAATTCGTAAAACATTATCAATAATGGGCCACTGATAGATTGAATAATACTAAACAAGACCAAGTACTTGAACAAATCTTCCAATTTCAAAAGTTATTAGTATGAAAAGGAAAAGTCCTGAATACAGAAAGGATAGTTCCAATACTGTATAAGTGCCTTGAATTCTGTAGTATAGCAGTCTACACCATACTTCAGGATAAAAGAAGTTATTTATATCTATTTAACAGAGACAAAAAAAATTTGCCTATTCCATACAACTTCAAAATGGATAATTATCACATGAATCAATATGCCCCAATACAGCAGCAAGATCCACATTCAAATTATTAGAATCAAATTCAAGTACCCCCTGCTCAATATCATAAAAGAAAGAAAGAAAAAAAACACAAATTCAAACCTCTGTATTGTGTCGCTCATCAGGCCGAATCCTTTTCCTTTGAGCTGCTGGTTGACGCGAAGGAGACTTCACATCACTGACTTTGCTACGACTTTTTTCTTCTACATGAATATCTCCGATCTCGGAGCTTCGAAAAGGAGGGGGCTCAGCTGCATCCCTTGTTAGCCCTTTCCATTCTCTAGTGTGCCAGGCTTTTAGTTGACTTATTAAACTTCTCCCTTTCTGGCTCAGAACCCAAATGATACAAATCACTTTTTCCTGTAAGGTCACCTGATGTGGTTTTTCTTTTACTCACATCTTCCATCTCAGGATCCTCTGATTGCAGATACAAATCCGAATTTGAAGCCAGATGACCCCACAACCTAGTGAAAAAAACTTAAAACAAAAAATTAGAATGTTGCCACAATAAATATGTACGTTCCAAACTAAACAACCATTATATGTGAAATAACATTGCTCATACAACCATTATATGTGAAATAACATTGCTCATAAACAAGGAAAATAATCAATTACCACGAAACAAAAGAATCACTGTCATCCCCCAAAAACACGTTCAGCTCATTCTTTGCTTCTTCTTTGCCCCTGCCATTCTTTAGAAGGACAATAACATATTCCTGCAAGGAAATTAGAAAACTTAGCGAGAGTTCTAGTGCCATTATTTTTTTCTGTGGATATATTTACATAAAGAAAAAAAAAACCAGGGGTTGAACCCAAGTAGACAATTGAACACAAACTTAAATGAAGAAGACAAGAAAACATCCTCATATATGTTTCAGCTTTCATCTCATGCATATTAAACTCCACTGACAGATATATAAAGGGCACAGAAAAAATTTCTAAGGTTATAGATGGCAAGCATGGAGTACAATCTAGTCTGAATTACTTCATAAGCTTTACTGGTTAGACATCCGACAGGGAGGAGAGGGGAAAGAGATATAATATTGAATAATCCAGATGGACCAATTTCAGCCACTAGAGAATGGGTTCACATAATCAAGACTGTAACAAGATGACAAGAACTCTAGGATATCACTAAAATTTAATAGTAAGCCTATATCAACTCTCTTGCAATGGCATCACTAACAAAATTTTGATCACTCATGCCCTAAGGGGGAGAGAGAAAGAGAGAACCTTCTTCTTACCTATAGAACCTATTACTAGTAAAAGAAGGGAAAAAAAAAAAACAGTTCTTACTAACTAGGACTGGCTACTAAAACCATTAATTATCAGAGATATGTTTCAGAAGTTACAGTATTGTTCGGGAGATGGAACTGGATAAAACATAATGGCTATGCATCATTTGGAACTAAATAAATGTAAAATTAAACCACGGAGTGCCAACTGTATACATGTAGACCAAACAAAAATATAATAATGTTGTCATTTGGTCCGTTAACACAAAGATACTGATATCATATTTCCTAATAAATATGGGGCCCAAGAAACAACCCACATATGAACAAGACTGTAATCTCAGGAAAGACAGAACCACACACATAATATGACAGTTTGCTTATAATAACAATAACATCTGAAAAGCCATGAACAATAACAGAGACACGTGTACCTGTATGTAGTTCTCATGTGCTGTATAAAAAAGAATGATACAGGTACTTCAAGACAATTTGTGTATTTAAATTTCATGGTTGTATTGCTTCTCTAAGGTTAAAAATAAGGACCATGATAAGATCGGAAAGCAATCTCAAATTGTCCCATGAAAGTCCAAGATGTACTGAGATAACACTGTGTTTAAATTTTCTTTTATGGACACCTTAAATAGCCATGTCCTTTCACCTTCAAAAGCATGCTCAAACTTTATGCTTCCTTGCCTAATACCAAGAAGAAGTAGCTCAATATGAAACCCATAAATACACCCATAAATACACCCCTACAAAATTAAAAGTCTATATGGAACCGTTCAAATATATATGTCAGGATATACACAACAAAGGACCCAATGTAACCCCCCCCCCCTCTCTTTTTTTTCCTTTTTGTTTCAATAGTTTAGCAATCAGCAGCAGTCCACCTGAATCTGGCAGCTATTAAGAACATCACATTATATTTCCTCAGTCATTAAGGAAAAAATCAGCATTTGAAAGATTTGGGGAGGGCATCAGCATCTTGTAAGAGGACTTTTCAAATTGGTATGTTGTCCCTCCCTCTTGAAAGCCTTCCGCCTTTAAAAACTCCCTACACGGACAACCACCTCAAGGAATCCCATGCAAAAACCCAAGCACTGCAGTCACAAACTTTGTCTCAAAGACCTGACAGCTCACATTTTGAACAATGGCATAAACTCCTTAAAACCCCTTAATAAGGTATTCAAACTTTTTTTTTCATAAAAGGTAGCCAACCTGAAGCAAGAGAACTGCAACCATTCTCTACATAATCATATCAACTAATAGAGAGCTCAAAAATCTAGGCAACGATTTAAATGGAAACAAATTTCCATAGTTCGGCATATCTCCCTGTCCGACCTACATTGTCTACCCTAAACCGAATGGCAACATCAACAGTTCATACCAATTCATGGTCAGATCAAAATCCAAGATATTCAATAGAGTTTCTTGACAGTGAAGACGAAACCAAATCAAAATCCCAACCTTAACTCCATACATAAACTAAGAACCACGAAAACAATAGGCAATCACCCCAATTAAAACAGAAAATCAAACAGGAAAATTCTCCCCAATCAAAGCACTGAAAACTGGCTAATAATCAGCATAAATTTCAGAACAATGCGCAAGAAATTACTATTAGCCGAATGAGAGAGTCGGTACCACAAGAGTGTCGTCGGTGTAATCCCCCATGAACTCCTTAAGCTTCTCTCTCACACTCTCTTTCAACTTGATGACTGAATCGCCCGTCAAATTAACCCTAAAGGTCCTATCATCAACTCGATCCACGCTCCCCATCGCCACGAAACCCTAATTTCGGCCGAGCAAAACCTGCCGCCCCAATGCTTCGGAAACCTCCACCAATCGTAAAACCCTAGCTCGGGTTTATAAATATCCCCGCAGCCGATCAAACCCCCTCCCCGCCGGAACTCGGGGATAACTGTAGGGGATTTCCCCGGAAAGTGACGTAAATGATTTCTTAGGAAATTGGGTTATAGGGTTTCATGGAAAAATCCGCCGGGAGAGAATTACCGGGAGAAAAAGAAATGGAATCCTTGATTGTAAAAAAAGTAGGAGAGCGGGGCTTAACGTATGATATCGTCGGGTTTTTTTCTTTTTTTTTTTTTAATTTTTTGGCTTATATTTTGTAGCTCTTGTTAATTTATACAAAGTCTCATTTTATTCATTACCCTTTATTTTATCTTTTTTTTTTTTTAAGTCAATCGATTGATTTTATTAAATTAGATATTAGACTGGTCTTCGAATAGATTCAAATCCACACTGTTATGCAAAAATTTAACTCATTTTCATATAAAGGGCCACTTGCACCCTTTATTTTATCTCAATTATCCTATGTGTTCATTTTTTGAAATTTTAATAAGAAAGAGTAATTTGGTTATTACGAAAGTTTTATCCTTTTGCCTTCTTCTTTTTATACAGAGAGTTTTAATGAAAATAGCTTAGACTAAGACTATTTTAATCAAAAACCACCCTATAGTTTTCTTTAACCAAAAGCACTTTAAAATTAATCATAAGGACAAGAGCCTCTAATTTTACATAGGCTGAATTACATAGCCCAACATAAACAAAAATAAGTTTTCATAATTACCCCAACAAGGAGGCGCAGGTCTGAAACTTGTTTGTTCTCATGAAGGAGAAAACTCACGTCAAGTCCAAGCAGAGCGTCGATTAGCGTTTCGTTTTCTGGGTTTTTCTTCCTTCATTCTTGGTGCTTATATCAGTTTTTGAATTTCCTTGTCCAAATTAGATTCAAATTTGGAGAATAACCAAACTTTGAGAAGAAGAAAAATCCCAAATTATTGAATCCAATCTCCAAAAGTACAATTAAAGAGAAATGAATAAGAAAAGAGTTGTGCAATTGAATCAAAGAGAAGGACACTCAAACTGAATCCATTTTCCATAGAACTGGAAAAAACCAAAAATTCCAATTCCTTGCACCCATTTCTCCATAAAACTAGAAAGAAAAATATATATCTATCTGTGATAGAACCACCTTCCCCAATTACAAAATCTAGAAAAGAAAAAGAAAATAGAAAAAGCAGATGAGAAAGAGAGAGAAAAGTGACTTCAACCATAGTGTTCAACTTTCATAACACTGTTTCTGGAAAAAAAAAAAAAAAAAAATCAGATACAGTGTTTGTTTTGTCTGTGCACAAACAAATACTGTATCTAGAAAGGAAAAAACCAAAATCCAGAAATAGTGATTTAAATTCTAAAAACAGTGACTTAAATTCCAGAAATAGTAATTTAAATTTTAAAAACAATGACTTAGATTCCAGAAACAGTCTATGTTTTAACCTTTGACTATTTCTTTTCTTTCATGCATCAGTTAATTATATTTAATAAGTAGGGTGCTTATTTTGATTTAAATTCAGATACAGTGAATTTCACTATTTATTTTCTAGCTTACATTTAAGAAACAGTGTCTCTATTTCATTTGAATCCAGAAACAGTGATTTAGATTTCATAAACAATAACTTAGATTCCATAAACAGTGACTTAGATTCCATAAACAATGTTACTTAAAATCCAGAAACAGTTTATTTTTACAGTCCAGAAACAGTGACCCGTCATTATTATTGAATAGCATGCAGATCTCAAATTTATTTTTTAGAGAAACAAACGATGAACTCCATTGACGATGAAAAATTGAAAAACATTACCTCGAATACACTATGAATAATAACAACAATCACATTTCTACGAAATAATACAAAATATAAATTAAATAGCATGAGGATCTATATTTTTGTTTCAAAGAAAAAGAAGTAGGTTTGCAAAACAACGATGAACTTCATTAACAACAAAAATCTGGAACTCAACCTAAAAAAAGTTAGGGGTAAAATCGACAAATCATAGTTTATTATAGTTAGATCAGTTTTAGTTGAATTGTTTTAATATGGGTTTTGTACTAATTATTAAACAAAACTTATAACATGGTTTTTTATTAAAACTAAAAATTTTCAAGCCATTTTCATTAGTTTTCCTTTTTATATATAGATGATGTGTCACATCCTGGCCCAGGCCCCCACCATATCCCGAGCTTGACTCTAACGTAACACGATATTGTTCGCTTTGGGCCCCGACCACACCCTTACGGTTTTGTTTCTGGGAACTCATACGAGAACTTCCCAGTGGGTTATCCATCTGGAATGCTCTCAGCGCGAATTCGCTTAACTTCGGAGTTCCAATGGAACCCGAAACTAATGAGCTCCCAAAAAGGCTCGTGATAGATGGAGATAAGAATATACATATAAGGCTTACAGATCCACACCCATGGCCAATGTGGGATGTTACAATCCACCCCCCTTAGGGGCTTAACGTCCTTGTTGGCACACTTCCAGCCAGGGGTTAGCTTTGATACTAAATTATCACATCTTGGCCCAGGCTCCACCACATCCCTGGCTCAACTCCGCCGTAGCACGATATTGTCTGCTTTGGGCTTCGATCACGCCCTCACAATTTGTTTCTAGGAACTCACGCGAAAACTTCACAGTGGGTCACCCATCTTGGGATTGCTCTCGCGCGAACTGCACTTAATTTCGAAGTTCCTATGGAACCTGAAGTCAGTGAGCTCCTAAAAGACCACGTGCTAGGTAGAGATAAAAATATACATATAAGGCTTACAAGATCCACTCCCCTGGGCGATGTGGGATATTACAATCCACCCTCCTTAGCAGCCTGATGTCCTCGTCAGCACTACTTCCGACGAAGGATTGGCTCTAATACCAAGTTGTCACATCCCGGTCCGGACCCCCACCACATCCCACGCTCAACTCTACCATAGTACGATATTGTCCGCTTTAGACCTCGACCACAGCCTCACAGTTTTGTTTCTAGGAACTCACACGATAACTTCCCAATGGGTCACCTATCCTGGGATTGCTCTCGCGTGAACTCTCTTAACTTCGGAGTTCCAATGGAACCCGAAGTCAGTGAGCTCTCAAAAGACCTCGTGCTAGGTAAATATGAGAATATATATATAAGGCTTACAGATCCACACTACTGGGGGATGTGGGATGTTACATGATGTGATAAGAGCTTTTTCGTGGTTTCAAAAATGAAACAACATGTGAAAGAAATTATGAGTTATACGATAATGTAAGGGCAAGTCTTCACTGTGTTCGACTCTCCTCCAACCTCCATAAGTAAAATTGAACCAGCTCTTGCCCTACCATTAGAGTTGCAATGGCAACTGATTGAAGAAAACCCAAATTTATCACCTCGTGTCTTTCCAACGATTTAATGCTCATTTGAATGTCCTTTTTAAAATAACTGAAAGCACTTTTAGTAAAAATATTTTTAGCACCAATCTTTAGTAAAAATGCAAGTAAATCATGAAAAAACACTTAAAATTTGTGGAAAAAGCACATAACTAGTGCTTCATGCATAAAACACTTCAAGTACTTTTAGAATCCAAAATATTTTTTTTCTAAAAGCGATTTAGGTCATTTTAAAAAGCATATATAAACAAGTCATTTAACCTTTTATTGACATGATTCTCATTAAGCCCAAAATATGACAGTTACTACTCTTTTTGTGGTATGCCTAAATATGCAATTTATTGAAGCGCTTGTCGAAGTTGAAAATTAAAGTTCCGATTATCAATTATAATGGCTAGAGACAGCAAATCAACTCATTACGTTGTTAACGAGTAACTATTAATATCCAAGTCGTTACCGACATCACCACAACCAATCTCACCATCATATTATAGTGAAATCAAGCCACGGCTAGTTTGGTATTGCTCCATTTTTATAAAACTAGTTCTGTTATGCTGTAAAAATAAACGACTATGAAAAAAAAAAAAAATGTTTGACAAATTGTTAGGTTAAAAGTGCTTTTAGCAAAAAAAAAAAAAAAAAAGTAAAAAGAGAAACTAGGGTTGTCAATATGAAAGTTTTGTTAACTAATGGTGTTCACATGCCTCTAGTCAAAAATGATTTTTTTTTTTTTTTATTTTTTTAAGCATGGGAGAGCAAATATGAATAGAGTTGTTTCTTCTTTGTGCTCTTTCACACTCATGATTTTGAAATAAAACACTTTTTCCTTTTATTTACCAAAATAATTTAACTCCAATTTTTTTAAAAGCTGCTTTTTAAAAAATTTAAACGACTCCAAAATTTTAATGGTAACCCGTTAACATTCTATATTATTCCTACTTGTATTGGGATGCTATATGAGAAACTGACTAAATACTGGGCAGCGCACGTAACATCGAGGGGAAAAAAAAAAGCAAATAAAAAACAAAACAATATCGGGCACGCAACTCACTTCCGCTTCTTGACGCGAAGGATCGTCTGCACCCGAGTCTATGCATATTCCGTGTCTTCGAGAGTCCAATTGGTCGAATACTTATGATCTCCCAAATGCAGTCCATTCCTCTTTCTGACTGATTTCCCGCTCCCCCAATCAAAACTAGAAACGTAGGTTGACTCACGACACCACGGAAACACCTGATCATTGCTTTGGGTCACCCCCGCCACGCTCTCTCATCGCTTATAAAGTCGCAGCTGGAACATATGGCTTCTGCTTCTCCTCGTCTGACACCTCTCTCTCCCTCTCTCCTGTTCGCTTTAGGGTTTGTCTCTCTCTCTCTCTCTCTCTCTCCTCTCTCTACATGTGTGTTTGTTTTTCGAAATTTTGGTTGTTTGATTATTTGATTATTGGATTGTTGAAGGGGAGCGGATAGGAACCATCTCTGTGTGAACTGCAGGAGCTACTTTGAAGAGGTTGGTTCCTCTGCGAACAGGTGAGTCGTAGATTGTTGTTTTTAATCACTATTTGCTTCCGGGTTCTGCTTTTTTCGATGAATTATGTTAAGGATGGCTGAAGAAGCTGAGCAGCTTATGTATGTGATGAAAGATGTGAAGTTTTCAAATGAAAAAATGGTACTTTGATGGTGGGTTTTGGATTCTGATGGGAGAATAGACCTTAATCCCAGGTGCGAGGATGTGAAGAATAAGAAATTAAGGTTTTTTTGTGCAGATTTAACTGAATCGTTCTCAAAGTTTGAAGCTTGATGAGTTGGTTTAATTACTTGTGTGTTTTGTCATTAGCAATTGGTTTGAATTAGCTTGAAGAAGTAGATTTAATTGCATGATTAATATGTTTATGTATTAATATGAAACTTTTTAAAAAAAGCCATAACTTAGTGCCACCACTAAGACCATCCTCCTACTATCCTTATTTCCTTTAACAATATACATGTATATATGTGTATATATACATATATATATATATAGAGAGAGAGAGAGAGAGAGAGAGAGAGTCATGGAATCATGGGATGTCTTGGTCGAAAACGGTGGAACACACTATTATATGATTCAGGTTCAGATTGGTTAGGTGTCATCTAACTCTGTGGTTTTACCTTGTGAAGAGGTGTATTGTTTCAATTGTGGTCTTGAGGCTTTATGAAAATCAGTGGTTCCATCGACTTTATAGAAATGCCCATGGTATTTTCATAGGGTGTTGAATACCCCTTTACCAGGTATATTAAATTTTCTATGACTGAGAGGGCAACTGTTCTGTCAGTTGTTGTCTTCTGATACCTCATATCCCGCATGCCTATTGCAGTGGGAAGACAGCAGCTGCTTTAGTAAGGCCTAGGAGTCCAATAGTTAACTTCAACTAGCACTTTTGGATGTGCATCGGGTTGTGACAGTAGGCTCGAATGACTTTTGTCTTCCCCAATCTTGAGCTAAAGATGTGGTTGGTGTTTATTTTACTGTGTTTACTCTTTATTACAAAATCATTACAGCCGAAGCCTGTTCATATTGTTATACGGACTGTCACCTTTACAAGGAGGTAAGACAGTGCTTGTTTGCATTAATCTCAGATTTACAGTAACGGAACTCCTCAGACAAAATGGCAAGACTGCAAAAGCTCATTCCTTGGTTTTTTATGGGGGTTACCCTGTTTAATGATTGTAAATTTTTTTTTTGCTGAATAAGGAAGTGGGCTTATTTTCTTTTACTTAAAACCTCTGCCTTCCAAGAATTATTATCTTTCGCTAGCCTGTCTTTGTCTCTTTCTATCTTCATATCTCTCGAATGGCATTTTGTTCATAAATCGCCCTCCCTGTGTATGAGGTGAAGGGGGAAATAGATTGGTGGGATAAAAACTTCTTCTGTGCCCTGGCTTTTATTACTAGAAAAATAAAATAAGAGGAAGTGGCAGTGGCAGTTGAGCTCTTATGGTATCACTTTGCAACCCTATGGTTTAAGATATGATTCTTTGTCTTCGTGTTGCTTTCTTTAATAAGGTTTGCTCTCCTATCATGGAGGCATAAAATACATGTTTTACAAGCTGTCGTATCCGTGGATTGTTATATTTTCAGTTTAACTGATTGAACACTTGGGCAAAGAATACTACTCATACGGTCACACCCAACGGTGTAGTGCACATTTTCCCTTAACAAAAAAAGATAAAAAGTATAAAGTGAGCTTTCTTCTTTCTCATTTGTGTTTATTAGGTATGTCTAGTTCAGTGGAACTCTCCCAATTATATACGATTTCATCTTGAGGCTTCAGAACTAGAATTGTAATCAGAGCTTCAATACTTATATCAATTTTATCCAACTTATTGTCATACATGAAGCATACTTCTCTATACTGAGGATAAAGGGAAGTCCCTACTACTTTTTGTTGGCGATCTAACATTCCATCTTTCTTATGCTAAGATTCAAATTACTGTGCTGATTTTAATTTAATGAGTTGATGGTTGAGTCTGCTTGTTTATACTGTTGTAATTGCTTGGCTGCGTAATATTGTAGATGTCTGGTAGGGGGAGATGTCTACCTTGAGCTGTGTTATTGTATATTTTTGGAGAACTTAAGGGAATTAAATTACAATGCAGGAAATTCTAAGAAAATGGAGCACAATGAGACAGGATGCCAAGCTCCTCCTGAAGCTCCCAAGCTTTGTGCCAACAACTGTGGATTCTTTGGAAGTCCAGCAACCATGAATTTGTGTTCCAAGTGCCACAAGGACTTGGTGTTGAAGCAAGAACAAGCTAAAGTCGTTGCGGCATCCATTGATAGTGCGGTGAATGGCAACCCCTCTGAAAGTGGGAAGGGGCCTGTTGCTACTGCTGCTGTAGATGTACAAGCTGGCCCCGCAGGTGTGATGCTTATCTCAACACAGGCATCCTCTACTCCATCTTTGAACATTAAGAGGGAGGAGAAGGTGAAAGAGACTCCTACCAGGTGCGGCACTTGCAGGAAACGTGTTGGTCTAACTGGGTTCAGTTGCCGATGTGGAGATCTCTTTTGTGCAGTTCATCGGTACTCTGATAAACACAACTGCCCTTATGATTACCGGACTGCTGCTCAGGATGCAATAGCCAAAGCCAACCCGGTTGTCAAGGCGGAAAAGCTGGATAAAATCTGATAAAAGTCTTGGAATTACGAGGGTTTAATCTTTTCATGTATTGCACACATGCTCTCATTTCTACCCATGTGGCTTCTGCTTCTGTTTGAGTTGATCTTGTTATGTTAGGTCTCGTGTGTGATAGATGGTTGGAAGCTGTTGTGGGCATTTTCAAATGTCAGGAACGATTGTGTGTAATAATCCCAGCCGTTCGTGAGGGCCGTGAGGCCGTCACGAGGCTTTGGTACCGATGGTGTTTTGGACCTTGTTTATTTTGCTTGTTTGGGATGTAGCTTGTCAGATATAGGAAGGTGCCAAGGTAGGTAGCATGCTCAAGTAATTCACGATAATGCTCATAACTAAGGTTTTCCCCATGTGTTACTTGGGGTGGGGGAATTGGAATCGAACTCGGGACCTCAAGGTGGAAATGTGAATGTTTTTAGCGAAAACTGAGCTACAAACCCTTTGCAGAGTAGAAGTATTTTAACTTCTAAGTTGGGACCTCAAGGCTAAGTTCATAGTGTGAAACCATCAATATAATTTTCAAAATTTATTGGACTAAGTAGCTTAGGTTTGAGTCGACTAGTATTAAAATGAAGAAGATGTTGTAATATGGCACATACTATTACTATTTGGTTCATGTACCATGAATTTATTAATTAATATTACACATACTTATATAAAATTCGAAGATTTTGATCCGAAATTTTCAAATTCAGTATTATAAAGAACATCATGCGTATTCCAATTTTATCAAGTTTATTATTTAGAATGCTTTATTATATATAAAAAATAAAGGGTATAATTATACGTATTATTTTATTTTATCTAATATGATTTTTATGTCATAAACCTTCATGTAACGACCTAAATCTCTTCCTTCCACCCCAATTCCCACTGCATATTTCCCGACCTTTAACTCCTCCCATTTTCTTCTTCTGGTTTCTTTCTCTGCGGTTCTGTTTGGTCAATCGCCGTCGGAGAAGAAGGCAATGATGTTAAGGAGAAAGATATAGTAAGAAAGTTAAAAAGAAAGAGTGATCTTATCCGTACAATTTTACGTGAACAATTTAGATTATTTGATCTGAAAAAAAAGATAGTATGGATTTAGAGAGGATCATATCCTAAATTATATGATGGAAGATAGACGGCATAAGGACCCACAAGCCCACCCAACCCCTTCTCCGCCACTTGGAATCCAACAAGGTACGTCCGCCACGTTTGAAGCGCGTGGCGCCCAATCACAGCCGTCGATCACACCGTGTTTGACATTCTGATAACAAGTCACCATCGATTGGACCTAGTGAGGTGGTGAGATCAGCCCACCGGTTGTGCAATCAACTAGAATTAGCATTAGTTTACTCGTTAATCATTACTATTAGTGCTGCGATAGAAACAGCTGCGCTATTTCTAAACCGTGGACCGGAAAGCGACTTTTGCACTTCCCCATGAATCTTCCCTTTTATTGGCTTAAGGACCATATTTATAACGTGGACACTTTGCTTAAAAATTAAATACAAATATTAAAGAGCGTAGTGCATGTAGATGAACTATGCATCGTATCATCAATTTAAGGTATGTTTGCTTCGGATCCATATAAGAAATAATGAGTATGAGATAAACGTTTCTTTGATTATTTTGTGCTTTTATTTTGCAAGTATGTCGTATCAAAACTAATGGGACTCACCCTTTTTTTTTTTTTCAATTGTTGATAAACACAAAGTAGGTATGCTTTTAATAGTCTTATCTCATCGGTGAAAGTTCTCATTACGCACTTAAAAAAGCACTTAATACCTTGGATTTAGGCTAATTTAATGCAATTAATACAAGAGCGTCGCTGGAAAACTATACAAACGTAAATTTCCATTGTACTGTAAACCAAAGGAGAATGAAAGAAATGGTATGCATCGTCTCATATCCCAACATTCCAAATACGTGATCGAAGACATTTCATCACCATGTGTTGGCGATATATTAGGAGTTTCAATGTCAAGGAACTTAATAATCTAAACAGTTCGTTCTCTTGAGAATAGACTTAGTGGTTCTGAGAACTTATGTACTCGAGATCCTAACAAATAGTTTGTGTATAAAAAAATCCATGAATAACTTATACAAATGCTTGATACTTTTTGAAGAAGAATGAGCATAAAATCTGATGGGCGCATATTTTCATATATTATTATCATATATTTTCCTTGGATTTTGTATATATCAATGTGTTAATTGCACTTATTTATATTGTTTAAATTTATAGGCATTCAATATGGGAGTTACGTGAAAAATAAGTGAAAAATGAGCTTTTTTGATGTCTAGAGTAATTCCAGTGGAGCAAGAGGCTACTTAACTGCGCCAAGGCATGTGCATTACAACAAGAAGATGAGACTGCAACGATTTTGGAAATCAAATGACATAGGAGTGCTATTCAATGGATTTAAGAAGAGACATAATTATTTTTTTTATTATTTCCGTTTATTTTCTTTTTATTTAATAAGAACTTAAAGTGCATTAGTTAGGATCTTAGTGGGGTTAAATTAGTTTTTTTTTCTTGTCTTTGCCGTGGGTGTAATAAGGAGATTTCTTCTCCTTGTGATGCATTACCACCAAATAATATCATTTTTCATAGGGGTTGCGCCAGGAAGAGAAGAGGGGAGATTTTTTTTTTTTTTAGTTTCTTTTCTTTGCTAGGGCTACGATGTAGCCTGATCATGAATACCTAATTTCCTTGTGGCATTGTTGTGTTCAAGTTTTTCTTCTTATTGAATATCTTTTGTTATTCGTAATGCGCTTGATTTTTGTTTAGATGCTTGATCACCATCTAGATTTAAGTTAAGTTGGTTTGATGCAAGTTAGAGTAGATGCCAGACTGAACTTGGGTTTAGCTTCCTGCAATTGATACCATAAACACCTATTTGTAGATACCATGCAATTAGGATTTGTATGCTTTTCCAACAATTCCATAGAGCTTAATGGGTTCTTACTTGTTTAAATCCATCTAGACGCCACAAAGGGTTAACGTGTAATGATACTTTTGATGCAACAAGATGCCATGGTCGTTGAATAATTTAGGGAAATCGATCATCAATATTAGGGAACTACTTGAGCATAACATAATAAAGGAATTAAATAGGATTGGTTATGGTGAATTCGGATGCCCTAGTATTTATTTTCTCATGTTCTAAATTTTATTATTTCATGCATTTTATTTTAAGTCATATTTCATTTTTGGCTTAATTCAAATCTTCTATCTTTTCTGTTAAAGTTTCTCCACTATAATTTGTTTTCGGTTTAGTTATTAAGATTTTAGAATCAATTTGATCTTTGTGGGACGATATCCGTGCTTATATACTATACAATCATCTGATTCGTATACTTGCTATCACTAAAATTCGAGACTTAATGAGTTTAATTTTTGTTATCTAATTTTCGCAACAAAATCTATGGTTATAATTGTGGGAGCAAATTCCATCGCACATTGAATTGACGAAAATTCACACATAAAGAGAATAGCTAAACAAATATAGACTAACACTGGTGTGGTGTTAGTCAAGGGGCCTCCAATACCCAAGTTAAAACGATTATAAGTTAATGAGGATCCTCTCCGAATCCTCTTTGTGAGGATCTTGGGGATCCTTCAATCATATCCGTTCATTATACATTATGCAGTCATAAATTATTGAAATTTTTTATATTTAAAATTGAATACTAACAATACATCACGATTGGAGGTCCGGATAGGATCCTAATTCATAAGAAGTAACAAGAGTATGTTGAAAGTTCTTGATTATTGTAATAAAGTGGCTAACCTTGGTTATTTACGAAGAACTGAAAAGTTAATCCTAGTGTCTAGGTTCGTTGAACCTATAAACAGAGCATTACAAAATTATCCAACTCTATTCTTGTAGATTGACCGTTTATAAGGAATTTTGTCTCCTTTATATAGGCACTAAGTAAGCCCCAAGAGTTTTCACTGCCTCACTAGTAAATGGGTTGCACACATAAGCATGAGGTGTAGTTTACTTCTCCAATGTCCAATAGACACGTGGAGAAGAAGTAACATTAGTGCAACTTGCTTGGCTTTCCAAGTCGACACCCTCTTGAGTAGCGCTTATACAAGGCTGGTTGGAACACAATTAAGTCAAGAGCTAATTCTGAGAACATTCATGCTATTGTATAGACTTCTCTTCTTATCGCTGGCCAACGCATGACTTGGAGTTGACGTTTGGAAATACTTATCCTTGGAGCTCAGTGCTAGAAAATTGTCAAGTTTGCCAACTAGCTTGAGTGGTTAAAAAATAATTTAGGTCACCATGCTCTCTTTTGTCGATAAACAATTCAGGGTCTTTAGGGGTCATTTATGATGGTCTTTAACGTAGCGCTCAGTCAACTGAATTCCTTGGGCATAGCCTATGAGCCTAGCATCTTAACCTTTCATCGCTTCGTGAGGTCTCAGGGCTCATCTCTAAGATTTTAACAACTATACATTATTTTAATGAATCTAGAAGGATTTTGTATTAGCAAGTGACCCTTTACTATATTGGTGGAAATGTGTTGAGCCTTTGCATGATGGTATGTGTTCAAACCCCGTCGGTGACTAATCTAACATCTAATTTAACAAAATATATCGATTGACAAAAACCAAAAAAATGACTGTGTATTAACATCTTGCTTTATAACGAGTCGGAACTCAAGAGGAGGCTACTGACTCGAGTTGAAGAACATGAATTGTGAACTTTACATAAACTACAGACTTATATATTAATTTATTCTCCTATATCAAATCAATATTATTTCCAACTCAATCGTGCCAAGCAAACTATAAGCGAGTAGATTAATTGATTGTGACTAATCTTAATGTTACATATGAAAGTTGGTGAAACCGATAAAAAAAAAGTTTATCTATTTTGAACAAACGATATATCTATATTAAGGGAGAGATGGATATGCTAAGGCTCACAATAGGTTAGCAAAAATGTGATTCAAGTTCGCTTTTAGCGAGAACCGAATCTAAAACCTCTCACTTATAAGTAAAGAGAAATATAATTAGACCGTAGTACTAAGTGGTAAAACTTATAAATATTTAACAAGCAATGTTGAGTACAAATTAGGACTCATACGGGTACACGGTTACAAGGAGAGACAGCCGACACGTGTGCGTCACACGTGTACGCCGGACGAGGACCGAGACCGACTTCTTTCTTTCCGAGAAAACGAAAGGGGTCAGATAGGGCGGCGGCTTGGGCTCGTAGCAGCTGGACGCGTGTAATTACCCACCGGTGGTTTCTATAATTTCCCCCTTTTCCCATTTTGCCCCTCCACATGCATTCTTCTAGGATCCGTCATTTTAATTTTTTAAATAATTTAAATTCGGTTCTCTTTTTAGTTTTACCCGTGCACCAACATGCACCAGCAAAAACAATATACTATTTGCTTCTTCTTCTTAGTGGATGACAGAAAATATCCCTCTGACACCAACAAAAACAATTTATAATTTGTAATTTTTGAGAACTTTCGTGTTTAACGGTCAACCTATCACGTAATTTTATTAGTTTATATGTTATAAAACGATGAAATAGATATATGATTTGGTATTAATTTTCAAATCAATAATATGCTATGTGATTGTGAAGTAGTCATATTGAAAAACTACTTTTGATTTTAAAATTTCATTTTGAATTTTTTGTCACATTGATGCTTAACTCGTGGGACAATAATATAATCGACATTTTTTATCCTTTGAAAACTCATATCGTTTTTTGCGGAAGCTAAAAGCTGTATATACTCGCCTCTAGGCTTGCTCATTGCCTCGTGAAACCTCGCTTAGCGCCGCAAGGGTGTAAGCATAGTAGGTGGTGGAGAGCTTGACAACATGTACCTCTCATTTTAAGCTTATATTCTTGATGGTTTTGTGAAAAAAAGCCTTTTAAAAGAGTGAAGAGAAAGAAAAGGAAGATGAAATGCTTTGTAGGGTAAAGATGTGAGTGACCTTAAATTGGCGAGGCATCCATGACCATGAGATGAAATGCAGCTTTTGTTCAAATGTAGGAAATTTAAAGTTCAAAGGAAGCAAGATATTGCTTTTGAAGTATTCTTTTTATATAATAGCTTTTATAGCAAATCATGAGAATAAGTATATATTTGTGGGTTTCGTAATTAAGAGTCAATTTATAATAGCTTTTTACAGCAAATCATGATTAAAATCCTTATTCGGTTGTCACTTAGTACTACGGTTTAGTGGTATTAATATTCACTTGTAAGTGAGAGATTTTATGTTCGATTCTCGCACAAGATGAATTTGAATCATATTATTGATAGCCCATTATGAGGCTAAATTTATTATTATTCCCCTTAATATAGATAATATTGTTTGTTAAAAAAAATCTTCCTTCGGTTTTATATCATCATAATCCCAAGAAGCTTTTTGCATGCGGGAGTGTTACTATTTGAACCATTCATCTTAATGGTTCAATAGATATTATGAGGAGAAGTTCCGAATGTCGACATTGAGCCAATAATCAATCTAAGAGCATCTTCAAAGGAGATGTCAAAATTGCCACGTAGGCATAAAATAGTAAAAAAAATGATAGCAAACTCTCTCAAACCGAGTCTTCAATTTTTTATGTGGCGCTGAATCATTTGAAGGCAAAAGCCTTTTGCTGTCAAATTCACTAAATGATTTTTTAATAGATTAATATAATATATAATAAATCGCTTATGTGGCGCTGAATCATTTGAAGGCAAAGCCTTTTGCTGTCAAATTCATTAAATGATTTTTTAATAGATTAATATAATATATAATAAATCTTGTTATGTTTTTGAAATATTTGATTGGTTGGCTTAATTATTGGACTCTACAAAAAGATAAAAAGTTTATTAAATGACATTACTATTTAACATATCTGGAGCAAAATATTGTATAAAATGTCAAATTGCCACATAAGCTATCAACTATCATTTTGATGTTTAAAATTTGACATTTCCTTTGAAGATGCTCTAAACTTTCTTTTTTTTTTTTCCTTCTAATATTTATATTTTTGTAAAAGTAACAATTTGGTCTTACATATAGAGATTTAATAAATTTTTACCGTGGTTAAATTTGGCATAAAATTTGTATCACTCAATTTGCAGCCGGACCGCTAAACTTTATCGTAATACTTATGTGATCGATGAAAGATTACCAGTGCAGATTAAAAAACTATAAAACAAAACGTAGCAAATTCCTTCTTCTATAATATTTTGAGCTTGAATCGATTGAGCTACTAGATAGATTGTGAGTAAACAATCTCATAACTATTATTTTAAATCGTAATAATAGAATACCATAAAACTAGAGAAATTAGAACATGGGCACCCAATAGAATCCATGGGACGGCCGCATGTTGATAATATGCTGCATGTGGGTAAAAAATGGGGTCCCACCGCACCTTAAAATAAGCTTTGTCAGGATATTTACCTTTTCTCAATAATGACGATTATCCACGTCAGAACCAATCTTGAACGACCAACTCAATGCGGCAATTCCACGCCCAAGAACCAAAAAAAAAAAAAAAAAAAAAATCAATTATTCCTTCTTTCTCTTTAATTTTTTAAGCAAAAAGGTGATCATTAAAGAAAAGTAGGAAGGGCATTTCGGTAAAACTGAAAGGCAAAAATGGTCTATACGCGTCTAGATGAGGTCCATAATTTATCGCCATTACCGACCTTTCGCTCCCCCATATTATCCCCCTCCCCCGTTTCTGTCTCCTCAATCGCCCACCCAAACCTCTCCTCTCCTCTCCTCTCCTCTCCCTCTGTCTAAAACCACAACTTTTTTCTTCCTCTTTCTCTCTCTCTAGAAAACAACAACCTCCAATTTTCTTCCTTTCCATCCATCTATATCTCGGAAAAAAAACAGAAAAAAGAGAGAAGACTAGAGAGATCCATCTCTCGATTGTTCAAAATTTGAATGAAAAAAATGGCACAGAGAGCGGAGAAGGAAGAGACCGAGTTCAAGGTCCCCGAAACGCTAACGCACTGCGTCAACAACTGCGGCGTCACCGGCAATCCCTCCACCAACAACATGTGCCAGAAGTGCTTCAACGCCGCATCGGCCGCCGCCGCCGCCACTTCATCGTCGTCAGCGGCGATTCTGAAGTTTTCAGCCGAGAAAAGTCCGAGATCTAGCTCATCCTTCAGCTTCGAGGCTGCTGCCGAGACCTGCCGTAAGACGACGGCGTCGGAGATCGCGAGATCGGACGAAACGCCGAATCGGCGCGTGGTTAATCGGTGCTCCGGTTGTCGGAGAAAGGTCGGGTTGACCGGATTCAGGTGCCGGTGCGGCGAGCTCTTCTGTTCTGAACACCGGTACTCCGATCGACACGTGTGCAGCTACGACTACAAGGCTGCCGGTCGCGAGGCCATCGCGAGAGAAAACCCCGTGGTCAAGGCCGCAAAGATCGTCCGGGTTTGATAATTTATATATCGATTGACTTTGTAGAAATGAAGCAACGCAAAAAGTCACGCGAAAATTTGAAGAGGAATTTGTGGCTCGATCGGTTGTCATGGCGCGTCTCTCTCGGACACCAAAACGGAATTCAGAGACGGGGAGAGATCGCTTCGTTTATCAAATTCTCTCTGATAATTTTTTTTTTTTTTTAATTTTAATTTTTCGTGTTCTTATTTTAAATTTTTATTTCTCTTGGATTGGAAATGATAAAATTATTGTGATGATTTAAGATATTCGGCGTGTTTGTTGGGGTTCAACTTTTTTTTTTTTTTTTTTTGGTAGTTTTAATGTATTTTAATATTTTTTTTTCTTTTGTTCAAACTGTGAGCGGCTGTTGAAGGGACATTCCAGGAAGTGACAGGGTGTTTTTCGTCATTTCGCGTATTTACAACTTGAAATACAGTTGGCGATGGTTGGGAAACAGCGGGCCCAAGGTATGGAGACGGGATGGGGGCTTTACAATTATTTATTTATCGCGATAAATTCGATTGGCATAGGAGAGTTGGAAGGAGAGCCTATAGGAAGGGGACATGTGAGCACGGAGTAGACCATAAAAGCTGTAAAGCAGTTGGAAGTGAGGTGAAGGGGGAACATTTGCGTATGATAATTGGTCGCTGTTTTGAATGAAAAGGTGGGATATGTGGTGGGGATCTCGAGGGTGTGACGAGATCGACGGCTGAGGTTGTGTGTTGGTGGGTTGTTAGAATAGAATAGGTGACGTCGATGAGTGCGTGTGTATATATGGACTAGAATTCTCAGCTCTTTTTTATTCATTCTCTCCTCTTAAATTTTCTTTCTATAAAAAATTAATATCAAATGTTAACGTGATCTAACCATGATAGTTATTCTTTTAAATTTTCTTTTTATAAAAAAATTAATATAAAATATTAACGTAATTAAATAAAATGAAAATAAAGAAAAGGAAAAAATAAAATATAAAAAAGAATCCAACTCCTGTATATATATAGGACTTGCATTGTGCGGGGGGCCATTGTGGGTGCCCGGACTACTTGGACGTGTGGGGCCCCGCGTTTTGTGACCTTTGAGGGACATGAAAAGCTGTCAGACACATGGCTGAGGCTTACCTTGATACAACCATTGACTGACACATGTGAAATTTAAAACAATAAAATTTAAAAAAGTAAAGCATAAGAGCACGTCTTAATTAATTATTAGAGCTACAGAAAAGTCAGGGTGAAGAGATTTGGTTTGGTGTTAATGTGAAAGTGTGTATGCCTGTACGTGACATGATGCCGAAGGCTCGAAGAGCTGTGTTTAGTCTTACATCGTTTAGGGGAGTTTGGGTTGATGGTTAAAAATGGAAATGTGAAGTGAAACTGTTAAACTAAATGGTAGTGTAGAACTTGAAAAGGTATGTTATGGCATTTTGTTTTGTTATCTCCTTATGGGCACGTGGATGATCTCTAACTCTAATGAAGTTATAAGGCGAGGTCTTGATCTCTACGTACCATGTTGTTGGTCCAAACATTATATTGTGAGTGTCAAAAGGTAAATGGGATTAGTGAAAATAACACAAATATTATCCATTTTTATTACTTCTCAACACGAAAATAAACCAAAGCTATAAAAAGCCTTGAACTCCTTGGATATCGACGATTAAAACAATCGCTCATATGATATATTGAGGGAGAACTCTGGTTCATTAACTCAAGTCTAGTTAAAGTACGAACGTCATTTTGCAAACTCATCTACAAAATTAATCTCACTAAAAATTTAGACGTCAAATTTGTAGGACTAGATTGAGCCCAAATCCAACGCTCGTATGGATTACGAGGTAGCGTGCTTGATCCAGAAGTCTATTTATTTTAGCAATGATTTTTTTTTGTTTTATTAAACTATTATGATTTATGAGAAGAAGAACAAAAATATCAAACTCTCACGTGTACACAAGGGATGACACTACCATAATTAGCATAATTACTATTATTTTTAAGAGAATGACTTGTATGGTATCGGTATATCGACGTATGACGTCCCATGTCAAAAAACAAACAAACAATGATACCTGGCAAAACCTTACACATTTATTTTCTTTTATCGACACAGAACATCATTATAAAAATATACATGTATTCGTACCATATAAGTCATTCTTCTAGTTTGTTGCTTTGGATATGGATAAAGATGGGAAAATGTAAAATGAAAACCAAAGTGTTGAGGATTTAAGTCAAATTCAGAGCCGTAGCTACAATTTCACCACCCCTTTGGCTGGTTCTTCACGAAAGCATTTTCCTCATGAACTAATCCAACATTAAGACCTAAATTGGACAATAATCCCACAAATCCTTCAAAAATAAGATAAAATTAACACACTTGTATTTGTGTCATGTCATATGGGCTTATTTTATTTCATTTCTTGTCGGGTAAGCTAAAGCCTTCAATTGTGGTCTATTAGAAAGAATCTTTTTTTTTTTTTTTTTTTTTTTTTTTTTTACCAACGATATAATCTAAGGATGGAGGAGTGGACTAAGTCTCATAATAGACTAACAATAATGTGCTCAAATTCGTTTCTGGCGAGAATTGAACCTAAGTCCTTTCATTTACAAGTGAAAAAACATGACACTAAACCGTAGTACTAAGTAGCAGAACGTCTTCGATATTTTCTCTCCTTTTTTTTTTTTTGTTTTTTGGTTTGTTTGTTTGTTGGTTGGAGGGGTCGATGCCAGCAATCGGGTGCATTCTTGAAGACAAATGATAGAACCAACTTTTGGACCCCTTTTGTTTTTTTTAAATAAACTAATTTTTTTTGAAGGGCCAAAACTAAATATTTTAATGATAATCACCAGAATAAGTAGCTTCTAGTCTTAGCTTTTTTATTGTTGAAACGTTGAATTTTAAGGATGTCTGTGGGTTTTAAAATCATGATATTTGTCTTGATATTGTTTTTTATTTATTTATTTGCCACCTTTAGTGATCTAGATTCTAGAGAGTTGAATTTCTTTTATTATAAACGTAGTGGAGAAGCAAAATCAGCATACAATCCAAAAAGTTAATTAGCTTTTCCTACTTTTAACTTTAAGATGGAAAAATGAAATCAAAAGTTTGTTCGATCCGAACGATGTCATTCTGTGTAAAAGAATTTTCACAAAATCCCCATATTTTCACAAAGGGATGTGATATCCACTATCCCATTTTACTTCTCACACACCTTTTTAATTTTTGACTATCGGATCAGATGAATTGAAGAAGATTAATAGATATAAATTATCAAGGCGTGTGTGTGTATAGCACACCCCTTATCCACACACCCCTTTCACAAAATTTGCACTTACAAGTGGGGATACTAAACCGTAATATTAAGTGACAGGAAAAAAAGTTTGTAGTTAAGGATAGGGCAGCTTGAGTCACGTTCAAATCTTCCGCATCCATTTTGTGTGTGGCCTCTATCATTAATTGAAACGTGTCAAGTCCATGAAAACAGAGCTAAGAAATGTTAAGTTTATAAATGCGTGTCAATCAATCATACAGCCCAGAGAGGCAACACACAAATTGGATGTAGAAGATTTGAACTTGATTGAGTTTCATTTTGTAGAAGCATCCAATAATTCCCATAACAAATTTCTTAATAGATATCTAAAATAAATGGAGTCATAAACATCTTAATGTTTTGCATTAGTCACTAATCAAATATGCATGATATTTAAAGGCCAAGGGCATAACCATCCTAAATTGTGCATGATGTTCTAAAAGGTACAACCACCTCATCACGGTTTTCTTGTCAGCGGTGTTGTGAGGAGAGGCACGGCAAGGTCTCCGGTTTAGGCACCATCGGGCTGGCTAAAAGGGTTCGCAATCTCATCTGTGCCATCTGTCGGCGACACAAGCATTACAGCAGTTCCCCTGCAAACCTGACACCATAATATTGCACACTCAAAACTTGTTGTGGAGCACAATCTCAGCAAAATAACCAATAATATTATACTAAATCCGAATGAAGGAAAACACACAAATCTGCCCAAATGGCTAGAAGTTCTGGGTAGTTCACCGGGCACAAGCACTTTGCCAAATTGCTAAAGCAGAAATTGAGGTAGAAGTTTCTGATTGCGTGGGAAAATGCATATGTAGGATTATTTGGATTGGAAAACTAGTTCCGAAACTCAGTGGAAGCTTGTGAAGATTAAACCGAAAAATACTGCCCTTCAATGGCAGAAAAAAGTTTGAGCAATTTGCTCAACAAGGAGAAAACCGAATATGCAGACCAACTTTTAGCAGCTGATTAAATGATGGATTTGTATCAGATATTCCACTCACTAAAACAAAAAAGAAAGGACCACAGACAGGTATTTTATGAATCATGTAACCCCTCTAAAACGATTTAATATCCCCTCCTGGGAGAGGAAGGTGCATACAACGATGTCTTTCCTGGAAAGAATGTGTTGGTGCAATACCTATGAATACAGCTGTTGTTCAAGTTTTAAAGTGAGCAAAAAGAAATCAAGATGGGAGGACGAGATACTACCCAAACTAATCAAATACACGGCAGATATGTTCCTAATATGACCATGGTGAGAAAGGGAAGAGATGGTTCCAAAATCAGCTTTCTTTCAGACTCTTATAAGGAGGTCAGCAAGTTGAATTTTAGTTGTCACTCTTCCAGGGAGAGGTGAAACTGTTCCTGCACACAGCCAGGATGAAGGGAACAGCAGAGGATGACGAGAAAGAAAATTATACTGGAGTAAGTATCTCATGAATCTTATGGAAAAATATAGTATATGGGGAGTCTTTGGTGTTTCAACATGTCATGACAACGGCCAAGGTTGAGAAGGAATATTGGAGTACATTTAATGGGCTTGCATTCTTTGTCGTCACAAAATTAGCTCTTTTATTCTCAAGGAGGGTAGTAGTTTGAATATTGTTTCAAAGATAGGTTGAAATTTGAATTTGGCTACTAGATGGGGAAGGAACTGAGGAACCAGTCAATTACAGATATTTAACTGAATTACGTCAAGAGAATATTAATGAAGAAGTTATGTGCGTCAAGGCGCCTACAGATGCATGTCACATTATGTTACAAATATCATACTTGTAGGATGACATGATGCATTAACTAAAGCCAACAAGTATCAGTCCGAGTAGTTAACCAAGAACTGAACTTTACAAGTTTACATACTATGAGATAAGTCACTAAACCCCAAGGGATCAAATGAACTTTTCACCTATCATAAGTCTCAAGTTATGAGCAAGCAACGGGTAGTTATGTGGGTCACATGCCCAACAGAAAATATTTACGCTAATATACCAGCTCTGGGTTTCGCCCTAGATGCCTCAAAATTCCATAATATGCTATGGAGATGAGAAAAGCATTCAATAGGAAAACTAAATTAAAAAATTAACACAGTTTTTAAGCAGGATTCCCAACCCAATTGAACTTCTCAAACGAGCTGATATCTGCACTGAAACTTATAGTTTCTGAGCTTTTCTTATATCAAGGGTACTTTGGTCGTTTCAATTTCATCATAGCAGTACCTGCTGATTTTATGTGTACTTGTTTTCCTATTCATCGGAGCAGTACCTACTGATCATACATGCACACTTGTTTTCCTAATCTTCACAGCTTTTCCTATGGTTGGATCAGCTTGGGGGGTATTCCCCTAATCCTAGTCAAATATAGTTGACTAATAGAGCAAGGAGATTTCAGCCATTTTCTTAATATGCTAAGCTTTTCTTGGGTCTGATGATTATTCTTTCTTTTCTAATTTTCTCCTGAAGTATTCATCTCTCCCCTTTAATATGATGCCATCAGATACACAGAAAGTGTCACAACCAGGCATACCACAAATCCTAACAATTTTAGGCATAGTTGAATACAATCAAACATGGATCCTACAACAGCCAACATCTATATATATTAAGTTCCCGTGCAGTTTTCTTAAGATCCTACAACAGAGATAAACTACAAGAATACATACTATGAGGCCAAGGCGCCTGGTCTGATCAGTGGTCTTCAATGGATCATCAGAATCTGCAACACAAGGGAAAGATTCTCAAGTCAACTAAGCATTCACAGCTGTAGAAAAGTTCCAAAATCGTGAATTTAAAAAACATAAGTCGTAAACGATTTCAAGAATGCTGTGAAACATTTACCTCTTAGAAACTCCACTGCTTCATCTAGAACAAGGTTTAACAACTGGTCATAACCTTTAAGAGTCCCCGTCACTGTAACCAAATTCACAACAGTATATCACATACTGGATATATAATAAGTCAAAAAACTCTCATTGATGTTTTCTTAACGAGTATGACATAGATCCAGTTGATGTTATACTTGAAGCAAAAGAAACAGGACGGTCTATTTCTACTCAGCTAGTGCCTCTGCAGTGTTGCCACATACCCTGGATCATGTCATAACACATTTACTGTACAACTACAACGAGTGTACATTTCTACATTCTAAATCTTCGAGATTGCTCGATTAGAATCTTGCAACCTCTTCTTTCTTGTTTTAGATAGAACCAAAAAACTGCTTGAAGCGTGAACCCCTAAATTGAACGGTAATCAAACAACCAATAACCCACAAATCCACGAAAAATAGAACAAACTGCTAGACCTACAACATTGTGCACTAAATCCAGAATCTAAAATTAACTAACTAGAATTCATTTGAAAAATTCGGCAAATTATAGTAACCTTGTCTACCGCCGGTGAGCTTGACTTGGACACCCTTGTCCACAAACTTGGCCAGGTCCAAAACTGTTTCTTTCCTCCCTGACTGAAACACAGAAACACAATTTCAAACTATAACAAAAAATTTCAGTTTTATTTTTATTTTTTATTTTTTACTTTTTTATAAATATTCGCGGGTCTTAAACTTACCATCTTATTCGGCTCCGCTCAGTTCTTCAATTCGCCGATGAAGGTCTCTACTCAATAACCCTAAAATGCTAAAACAAAATTGGGAAAAAAAAAAAAAGAAACAAAAAGTTAATCAATTTAATGAACCAAATGGCAGCACATCAAGTGAAATTTGAGTGTAAAAACTTAGAAACATTTAATCAAAATCTAGGGTTTCTGAGAAATCCAAAAAACCCAAAAGAGATCGAGGACGACTGAAAGATATAAAAATTCCCACAAAGAAAAATTAGCATAAAATATTGTAAAATTTAAATGAAAGTAGCATAAACTATTGTGAAAGTCAGTACCTTTGTCTCTGTGCTTTAGGAAAACAAGATAGAGATGAAACAGTGAAGAAGATGAGACGCTATGGCAGCTTTAGCGGGAGCCTTAAGCTTTAGTACAGGGTTTTGAGTTTTCTCTTTTTATTTATTTTATTATTGGTAATTTCCATCATATATTGCATTAAAAAAAATCCGTCACTATTTGTCACATAGACCACACATCTAAAAGAGTAAAAAGGGAATTAGCTAAAATAAAAGTTTTGAAATAATTGGTTAAAATAAAAGTCTATAGTAAAAATTGGTAAATGGCCAAAGACCTCTATCAAATAAAGTAAAATTTTATAGTTAAATCTCAAAAATGCACCCACTCAATACTACGATCTGGTGGTATTATGTTCTCCTAGAAGTGAGAGGTCTTAGATTTGAATCTCATGAATGACGAATTCGATATTAAATTAGGCTGCTCATTGTGTGATTTAGCTGAACTTGCCTTCTCCTGTAGCCACTCAATACTATGGTCTAATGGTATTCATGTTCTGAGAGGTCTTAGGTTCAAATCTCGTAAATGACGAATTCGATACTAAATTAGGCTGCTCATTGTATGGTTTAGTCGAACTTCCCTTCTCTTGAGTGTCAAAGATATTGATGTACTCAAAAAAAAAAAAATCACACAAATGCATGATGAAGTATTGAAGTCAAACAAATATTGTTGTAGACATCGAAATGTCAGTGAAATAAATGTTGATCATTGCATTAAAATTATAACCTTTATTCATTTCATCTACATCATACACTCATTTCACCTACAAACTCCACTCATTTCACCCACAACTTCCACTTACTTCACCAACATCACACATTTACTTCACCTACAAACTCCACTCATTTCACCTATAACATCTACTCACTTCACCAAAAAAAAAAAGGATAGTGGTGATTCATTCTCAAAGCCTATAAATAGGCTTTTACATAAAGGGATAAAGGGGGGAAGAGACCAATTCACATCACACCAAAACCTTGAAGCTTTGAAACTTTAAAGATCTCAAGCAAATTCCGAAAGATCAAGAAAGCTCTATTCGTTCTTCATCAAATCCTCCTTCAAGATCAAGCCTCGACGGCCCTCGAAGAAAGTGTTCATCGTTCATCATTTGTTCATCCTAAGATTAAGCCCCAACGGCCCTTTGGATCAACAACATCAACAAATCCACGCACCCATTCTTCAAGATCAAGCCCAAAAGCCCTTGAAGATCCGTTCATCCTGAGATCAAGCCCCGTCGGCCCTTTGGATCAACAACATCAACAAATTGACACAATTGTTCATCCCTAGATCAAGCCCCGACGGCCCTTTGGATCAACAACTCATTCATAAATCTACACCTTACAAAGATAGAATCAGAGGATCAGATTGTAAAAGAGATTGTAACCCTAAAATCAATACAAATATTATTTTGTACACATGTTCTTGTTTCAGGAAAATTCGTGTTTACAATTGTCATTCTTTTTAGTTAATAGGGGAAGTGGTCTTGAGTTTTCGTTACATGCCATCACTTTATTGGTTCTAAGATGACACAACAACTACAAACTGGTGTCTAATTTAGTTTCTCTCTTAGACTAGGTTAAGGACTTACCTATAATCCACAGAGGTGTGTACCACTATCACCGTCGATATTGTACTATCATTCTACGTATTATAATACGAGGAGATGATATAGTTAATAACTTAACATGTCACACTTTTAAATATATAAACAAAACAAATATACATGTTTATAATTTAAGTGAAATAGTAACATCATGTGACAATATTTTTATTATGCCAAAAAATTTAATCAAAATGTGGAATTCTGCTGTAGTATTTAAACCAACAACACGACGCCTCATATGTTTAAACTTTCGTAAAATTGAATATCGTTATATTGACATTTCTTTCATTTTAAATTGTTAGTACTACGGTTTAGTGATATTCCTCTTCACTTGTATGCGAGAGGTTTTAGGTTTGATTCTCGCCTAAGAAAAATTTGAAGGCTTAGCCAACTCTCTCTTCTCTTAGTGTAGATAAATATCGTTTGTTTAATAAAATTTAAAAAAAAAAAAAAAAGTTGTTATCCTACATTTGGGCTACGGTGTTTAGTTCGGTCTGGCCCAGTTTTTTAACACAAGCCCAACGAAAGGATTGAAGGCAACTAGAAAGACAAAATTAACCTGCATCTTGTTCATAATAGCACGGACAATGATGTAGTTTTGTTGGACAAATGAGGGCATTTTATGAGAAGGCGATCGTTAAAGCCCGAGGGCTTATGCTTATTGAGCATCCGACGGACATCAGGGAGGCGGAGGTGAGCTCAGAGCTTTAACAATGGCGGAGAAGGGCAGTGGCAAGGGGAGAAAGGAGGAGGTCGTTACCAGAGAGTACACCATCAACCTCCACAAACGCTTGCATGGATGGTAAGCCCTCGAAATTTTACTTGTTTTGTTCTAGCTAATTAGTTTAGATGAGTTGAAGGAGGTTAATTTAATTTAATCTTTGGATTTTTATGGTTTTATTTTGTTGGTTTTTTGAGCTAATTTTTTTGGATAATTGTTTGATTGATTGCATTCTTTAATTTATTGGTTTAGTTGATCAAAATATTAGTTTTGGAGTGATATTTTAGGGTTTTTAGCTCTTGTTCATATATATATATTTTTTATAGCTTCATTAATTTCCTAAATATTTGGAGATTCCCTTTGCAATGATGGTTTTATGGAACTAGGGTATTGATTAGTTGCTTCACAAGAACATTGTTTATGGTTTGGTCTTAGGTGAAGTGAATTGTTGACTTGCCAACTTCTTTGATGTCCACCGATGCAATCGTAATAGTTATTGGTGGCTTAAATTGAAGGGTTTTGCGAGCAATATTTGCTCCATTAGTTGTTTACTTGGTTACATTCTTGATTTTGACATTGCCCAACTGAACCCGGGGTGTAGTGGAATATAGGGTTTATGGTCAACAATGACCTTCTTTGTTTTATAACTCAGTTTGTTTTGAGATTTCTTTGGTTCTTAGCAGCTGGTGTGCGAATGGGGTTTTGTCACCGGAAAGTGAATTAACGAGGGTTTGGTGTTAGCACCTGAAGTGAATTGTCGATGTGCCAAATTTCTTTGGTCCATTCGATTGTTATTTGTTTGGGATGGTCAAATTGTTTCACCCTATTCTATAGTTTTTATTTTGGGGTAATTGTCGAGAATAGAAAAACATAAAGAACTTTGAAAAGCAACTAACCTGGAGCTTCTTGGAATCGAAGGGTTTTGTAGAACTAATACCTTGTTGGTAACTTATGATGCACTGATGAGAATCCTGACTGTTTGTGATTAAACGAATGAACGGTTACTTTTCCAGAAACCAACTATTGTTAAAGAAAATATATGGTTCTCTGAATTTTGGTGCTGACTCCATTTCTGCAGCAGTATTTCCTTTTATGTTCTCTCAGTGTTCGGCATCTAGTCGTGCAATTTGCTTATCTCGCTTCTAATTAACCATTATCTTGTATAAAAAAACTTAACCATCATCTCGATTCCCATGCAGCACATTTAAGAAGAAGGCACCAAATGCGATAAAGGAAATCAGGAAGTTTGCTCAAAAGTCTATGGGAGCCACTGATGTCAGAGTGGATGTTAAGCTTAACAAGCACATATGGAGCCGTGGTATTCGGAGTGTGCCAAGAAGGATACGTGTCCGCATTGCAAGGAAGAGAAACGATGATGAAGATGCCAAAGAAGAGTTTTACTCACTAGTCACCGTTACAGAGGTCCCTCCAGAGGGATTTAGTGGCTTGGGCACCAAGGTGATCGATGAAGAAGAAGGCTGAACTTAGTTTAAAGTTTAAACCCCAGTTTTTGTTCTAGTTAGGTAATCCCAATTTCGGATGTACTTTTATTTAATTGAGGATGTGTGGTCTGGTTTTGTCTGCCCTTTGAACTTCCAAATCAGAGTTTTTGAATTGTCTAATTAGTGTTTATCTGTTCAGTTTTTTATTGAAGACCCTTATACATTAAAACCCGAAGAATTTCTCCTTTTAGTATCTCTCTCATCACGTAATATACCCCCGGGTGTTTTCCCGTGTCTTGGAGAACAATATCCCTCGATTTTGGCGTACAATAGTATGTCAAGATTTCCGATAATCATGCCCGCTAAGCTGTGTACTACTCGAGCCAAACTCTTCAATGGGCAGTTCACATGGAGATTCAAAAGGTACAAGCTTGAAGGGGACCCAAAAGACTCTTCCAAGCAGTTCAACATACAATTCAATATCCCTCGGTTTTAATGTTCTTGTAATCAGGTAGTCTACCAAGTAATCCGACGTTTTAAATAACCTTCACCATATGGTTTTTTTAATTTTTTTTTTTTTAAACTAAATCTTAACTGTTTATTTTCTGAACTACTTAGAAGTCCTGAAATATTGAAGCAAAATTGCTTTTAATCATTGGAAAAAAAAAAAAAAAAAAAGAAGTTTTTCCACTCAACTGAAAAAGCAATCCATTAGACATTGTCCAACCTTTGGGCTAAAACTTAAATTTCCACTTCTTTTCCCAACACCCCCCCCCCCAAACAACAATAAAAAACCCAACCCAATGCTAAAATGTGGCCTAAAACCTAAAACTCAAATGAAAGTCAAATACTAGGCAGAAAATAGCCCAAAAGCACTGATGGAGCCCACCAATGTGCGTGGACTCGCCTGCTCTTCGGCCCGTCGCAGCCTGCCCACTCGCCCCACTTTCCACATGCAGGCTGAGGCCTTCTATCACATCCCGGCCCGGGCTCCCACCACATTCCAGGCTCAACTCCACCGTAGCACGATATTGTCCGCTTTGGGCTGCTAGCATACCCTCACGGTTTTGTTTCTGGGAACTCACATAAGAACTTCCCAGTGGGACACCCATCCTCGGAATGCTCCCACCCTGTACTCGCTTAACTTCGGAGTTCCTATAGAACCCGAAGCTAGTGAGCTCCCAAAAAGCCTCATGCTAGGTAGGGATGAGAATATACATATAAGGATCACTCCTCTGGGCAATATGGGATGTTACACTCCATCCCCGTTAGGCGCCCGACGTCCTCGTCGGCACACCAAGGCCAGGGTTAGGCTCTGATACCAAATTGTCACATCCCGGCCCGGGCTTCCACCACATTCCAGGCTCAACTCCACCGTAGCACGATATTGTCCGCTTTGGGCCCCTACCACACCCTCATGGTTTTGTTTCTAAGAACTCACATGAGAATTTCCCAGTGGGTCACCCATCATGGGAATGCTCCTGCCCCTTACTCGCTTAACTTCGAAGTTCCTACAAAACCTGAAGCCAGTGAGCTCCCAAATGGCCTCGTGCTAAGCAGGGATGAGAATATACATATAAGCATCACTCCCCTGGCGATATGGGATGTTACACCTTCAGCACCTGACATGGGAGGGGGGCCCACTGTCAGGCAACTGTCAGCCACATCATGAGCCCAACAGATATATTTTTAATTGCATGGTTGTAATCTTTGGACCGTTGGTTGATCCAATGGTCCAGATTCAAATTTTATTTTTTATTTATAAATAATATATTTTAAAATATATTTAATCCAACGGTTTAGATCGAATAAAATCAAATCTAACGGTAAAAAAAAAAAAGATCTAACGACCCAAATTTAAATCCAAAGGCTAAAATAATTAAAATTTTTATTAATTGTCCCTTGTATTAATTTCATATTCTTCCATAGTATTTCAAGTATCAATTTAGTGATTTTTTTTAATATTTATCAAAATTTAAATATTTTTAAATTAAAATGTTCATAAAATTAATTTATGACAATCTCCATAATTTTTTTTTAAAGTTAATTTTAAAAAAAGCCTAAATTTATTCTTTAATAATTTGGAGTTAAACTTTTAGCCTGTGACATCCCGTCCCGGAAATATCGAAGCGTACTTGTGATTTGACCGTTTTACCCCTAGTTTGTCTTGTTATGTTTTTGGTGTTTTGTGTGGTATGGACATGTGTTGGGCCATACACACACATCCACACTGACTTTCTCTCCCTCTCCCTCTGACATTTCTCTCTCTCTCTCTCCCCCGAGCTCCCTTCCTTCTTTCTCCTTCTTCCTCCGAGTGTACGGACAAACACCAAACTCACCCAAACCAGCACAGATCGGGGAAACCAACTTCACCATCGAACTCGTGAGGCTGAGGGGAGTCCAGTGGTACCATTTTCAGGTAGGAACTCCGACGTTTTCACGTCGATTTCACGAGCTCAGTTTTGGTTACTATTCATGCAAACTTAATTTAGCTTGTTTTTGGACTTTTGAAGCTTGTAGTTGTGTTTGTGAGGTTCCCAGGAGCTTGGGAGTGCTTCGTTGGACAAATTTGGACGTTGGGAAAGCTTGGTTCGAAGTTGGCCGAGTTTTGGAAACTTGGACAGGTATTTTCTCGTAGTTTTAGGCCTTAAAACTTGTAGGATCGTGTTCTACTAGTCCTAAGGGTTAAAATGGTGCAAAAATCTTGAAAAACGGTTGAAAAACGAGCGAGATATGGCGAGTTGCAGGTTTTCCGGCGACGGCGCCGGCGAGGGGGATTGGCCGGAGAAGAAAGGGGAATATTCCGTTGAGTTTAACGGAATATTCCTAACGGACGTTGACGGCGTCAGTTTAGGGTTAACGGAATATTCCGTCAGTTCAACGGAATATTCCTGACGGCGTCACTTGACGCCGTCAGTGTGCATGGCACGTGGCCGCGCGTGGGGGCGCGTGGGTCCGTGCCTGTGTTGGCGCGTGAGGGCGCGTAGGAAGTCCAAATTTTTTTTTAAAAATATGGGTGTGATCGTGAGGTTGTGTAGATCACGTTGGTATATTCATTTGTCCATTTTGAGCAATGTATGAGAAGTTATTTTGAACGGACGGTTATGTGCTTTAAAGTTAACGTTTTTATAGTTAATTCGCATATAGGTGACATGTATCCCGAGGACGAGCGTGCACATTCGAGGCAGGGGGGCTACGACCCTTCCACATACCAGTGAGTGGGCTTTTGTTTTCCGTATATACCTATGTACATATTATTCCCAGAATTTAGTATGAATGCTTCGTTACATGCCATTCCTTTTACGTTATTGATCGATATGCATGATTAGTGGCATATAAGTTGGTTTATATATTTATTCATATGTCATTTACATATACGTTGGTGCTGTGGCGGCCTAGGTAAGTGCCAGGTAAGCATTGTTTAACATTTGCATTAAATAGCGATTAGAGGTGCTTAGAGAGCTCATAACCTGCACCCCCGGTGTTAGTGCTCCCACCCAGAGTAGGGCACAGTCCTTCACGTGTTGTTCACCTCCCGCACCACACGCTCAGCTTGAATCCAAGTTAGGTGCACAGTCCTGTCGTACATACCACTATAGATGGTTCCGACTCGTAGGTGACCCGCGATTATTCGCACAGCCTTCACGTGATCGTAGCACTAGAGCGTTTATATGTTTTACACCCAGGCTTGTCGTACAGACCACTCAGGTGGTTCCGACTCGTGGGCAGGTTTAGTCGGGGAAACTGAGATTTGAGCTCTAGATTCAGCCGTACAGGTCACTTAGGGGACTCCGGCTGCCAGATTATATGCTATTGACGTGATTTATACCTGAGCACATGCATGATATTATGAGGCTTTGTGATGGCATACCTGTGAGCATGATTGGCTTACCCTTGAGCATGACTTGGCATATCTACGTATATATGTTTATTTCTGGGAAAGTATACAGGTTTTACGGCGAGGGGTTATAATATGTTTTATGAAGTGATTTTCAAAGAGATTTGTTTTTGCCCACTCACGCTTTGTTTTGCGCCCCTCCAGGTTCTAGTAGCTTAGCGGGTTTGGTGGTTTTCCCGGAGGACGTCCCGGCATTCTGACAGACACTCACCTACGTAGGGTCACCTTCGGGTGCACTATGGTTGTATTATTTCTTTTGGACTGCTGTAGGCTTAAAGCTCTGAATTAAGCGTCTTACTTTTGCTAGCACATACTTTATCACATTATATTTGCTAGTTTTAAATTATTCGTACTTTTCCATTACTGTTTTTAGCTTCCGCACTGTGCACATGGCTACGTCACTTCCACGTGACGCCCAGCATGCCCTGATCTCGGTTGAGGTGTGTCATAGCCCAAAAAGATTAGAGCAGAAAAATTATTTCTGGGTTAAAATCTAATTTTTTTTGAATTAAAATTTTAGGTATAAATAAGTGTTGGAGATGGTCTTAAGCACGTGTTTGTTTTTTTGACAGTTGCACTTTGCAGCGCCAGTGCAAGTGCAAGCTAACGCGCGCCTGTCAATCGTGCCCGCGAAGCTTCGTTTCAAACGAAAGTATATAAAATTATAACGTCCCGCCAGTCTTCCTTTCAGTTAATTCATTTCCCCTCGCACCCAAGCATGTCCCCTCAAACCCTAGAATTTGCAGAGCCACTCACAAACACACACTGACAGAAAGAGCGAGAGCGGGCGATCGATCGAACGATTGGGATGCCGTTAATCTTCTGCATTTTACTTTCGGACGGATAGAGCTAATTTCCAGTGAGGTGACTTCTCTCTCGCCCTCCTTTTTATTACCATCTTTAGAATTTATTTTTGTCCAAATTAGGTTTATAGAGAGGGGAATTGGATTGTGATTTCGGAATTTTGAATTCGGCATTCAAATTTCTGTTGTGTTTATTTATTAATTTGAATCTTGAGCTATGTCAGTTCCTCGCAATTTTTTTAGCTTTCTTTTGAAAATAATTGAATTTCCTTTGCTTGATTAGTGTGGGTACTCTTAGGCATTACTCTTTTGATATTTCGGAGATTGTTTGTCACTTGCATTCTGATGAATTTCATTGTTTGTCACTACAGAAATTTATATTTATCGAACACGATGATAATTGTTGCTATGGCTACTTGTTTTTTGCTTATTTTTGTATTTGTATTTTATTTGTTATGTAAAAAATTCAGGGATGGACTCTCTCAAAGTAGGTTGTGACCCCATTGACAGTGAACGGGATGATGTAGACTATGTCTCTGGGCTTAGTACTTTACTCGTTGCCACGATTCAGGAGACCAAAGACCGTATTTCTCAGATTGAATATGTTTTCTGCAATCAGCTCTATACATATTTCCAATCCAAGTGTAACAGCTTCCAGAAATTTGAAAACCATTGGAAAGAGAAAGAAGATGATCTCTTGCGTCAAATTGAAACGCTTCGAGCTGAAAAGCAACAAACCCTTGAAGAGAACCGCTTACTTAAGCTTGACAAGGGAAATCCGCCCAGGGTAAGTGAAGAGAAGGTGAACCAACTACTTGCCGAACTGAAAGGTGTACAGTTCAAAGGTAATGAGCTTGAGCGAATGCTTAAGCAGAAGTCTGCGGAAGTAGATAAGGGAATGGAATTGGAGAGTAAGTTGCTTGGAGTGATTCAATCCAAAGACGCTGACATTATGGATAAGAAAAAACAACTGAAAGAGAATGAAAAAGGTATAAACGTGCTTCTTGCTAAATTGATTGATCTTCAAAATAGAGTTGATGAACTCCAAGAGGAGCTTGGGGAAAAGATTAACCGAATAGCCAATGGAAATGATCTTGAAGAAAATTTATCTCGAAAGATTGAGCATCAGTCTTCTGAGATCGTGAATAAAGAAAAGGTTTTGAATGATCAAGAAGAAGAGAAAAAACTACTTATGGCCAAATTGGAAATTTTGGAAGAAAATGTTAGTAAACTCCAAAAGGAGCTCCTCTCAAAGAACAACGAAGTGGAGGGTTGTTTGAGGGAGAAAAAACTGCTTCTTGCCAAAGTAATTGGTTTAGAGGAGAAAGTTGATGAGCTTCAGGTGGATCTCAGAGGCATGGCTGCTGAAGTGGGCAAAAGAACGGATTCACGTGAAAAGTTACATCAACAAATTGAATCAATGACCTCGGGTTTATTGGCTGAGACGAAGAAGTATACAGATCTTACTGTTGCTTACAAAAATTTGAAATCTCAGCACAATTATCTCCGCACAAAGCTTGGTCTAACTAGGGAGAATATGCAACTGCAGAAAAAGTTGGAAGATAGAAGTGATTTGTTGAGAAATGATCAGAATCCATCAACTTCCCATGGTACGATGCTCTTGCTTTTTTCTTCTTTCCACCTTTATTAGTCTTTTGAATATAAATTTGAATACTCTAAAGAAAATATTTGTTACTACAAACTTATGGTCATCTGCCAAATGTAGTTTTACTGGATGATTTTGGGTCCACTGATCTTCGTCTGTTACCTTTTAATTGACGTTGTTGTAAGAAATATGTATTATGGGAATTTATGGTGATTTTCCAAACATAGCTTTACCAGATGATATTGGGATGGTTGATCTTTGTATTTTACTTTCGAATTGAAGTCCAATTGGTATCTTTTACTTTTAAGGACATTTTCGATTCCTAGGTTTATGTAATTGGGGAATAGCATGCATGCACGTAGCTTTAGTACTTTAGTACTTTGAATTCAAGTGGTGTCTTTTACTTTTAAGGACATTTTCAATTCCTAGGTTTATGTAATTGGGGAATAGCATGCATGCACGTATCTTTAGCCTGTGGTTGGGTTCTTGTAATTTCACTTCTGGCACCCTAGTTTGAATGGTTCATCTATTGCAAATTGTAGAAATTGTAGAGAAAAATCAGAATGGTTCTGCCGCAGCTTTATGCACAAAAAATGTGAGGAATGAAATCAGTTGTAACAATAACTCAGAGGATGCGAAAGGAGGCAAGCCAATTCAAGCAACTAGTCCTATCTCTCCTACTTCCTTCTTCCCCATTGCACCAAAATGCCCTCCCACATCAAAATCTACCCTAGTAGCTGGGAGAAAACGGCCTGCTTATGGCTGGGTGGATACTAGGTCCCGTCAAGGCCAAGATGGGCGTGACCCACACGATGATTTTCTTGATACTCCACTTGAGAACATCAGAGGAAACTTGAATAAAGCCACAAAGGAACAGGTTCCTGATCGTTTGGTTCCAGCTCCAAATGACATGAATCTAGATAGCTCAGATGATGAAACACAGGATGTGAATGCTGTAATTAGGCCACTCAAGCAACAATTGCCAGTTCCAGTGCACGGTAAAAATGGCTTCAAGTTTGTGGAACCTGTGAGAAAGAAAGCTGAGCGGGAAAATTTGAAAGGAGTTGAATGCAAGCAGTGCAAAAAGTTCTATGACGCTGTCCTTCCCAACAACGGCGGTGGTAAGGACACTGATAATAATAAGCCTAATTTTCGCTGTGAGCACCATGAAGGTGTTTCTCGTCATCGGTATAGGTATGCTCCCCCTCTTACTCCAGAAGGATTTTGGAATATTGGATTTGAATCCGAAATGTGATAGTGAGAAATTTCTTATTGATTTTTTCTTTAATAGAGCATTGACTTGTATCGATATTTACTTTCATATAAAAAAAGGTCCATACTTGTCAAATAACTCCTTCCCCAGAAATTTGTCAAGTCTATAAAGAGTAGTTTCGTAATTTGACATCCTATTGTAGTATTCGAATTTTCATTTCAGAATTTGGGAATATAGAATCATCTGCTAAGTATTTTAGGTTGAGAACAAAACACTATGGAACTTCCTTGGTTTTGAAAAGCTTAATTGTTCTGATAATGCGTCGAAAGTTTGCAATTATAAGACTCTTTAGCATTGCTTGCTGTTTAGTGTGTACCATTTATATAGGCTTAAAAATACATAATTACGTGTATGATAAACAGAAGCCTGGGCGCGTTGCTGCAACAGTAACACCGATCCCTCTTCTGTGCTGTGGTAGACATTTTGACAAGTTCGGAAAGGGGTGTTACTTGTTAGTACTTGCCTGTTGTATGAATAATTTAATAAAGACTAGAATCAAATTGCGTTCATAACTAATCATATTCTGTATTATGATGAAATCTTATCTCGATAAAAGCTCTTCGGGTTAGCTCAAGTGCTAAGAAAGGGTGGGATAACAAGTTAGGATTAGGGTTAAGCCTGTAGTTCGATTCCGGTTTGTTAGGTAATTAGGTTGGGATTAGGACAAGTCTGTAGTACGTTTATGATGAAGCATGGGACGAGGAAGACGTCCCCATAACCGTATTTAAGGACGTTGGGTTAGTTTTACAGACTGTCTATGCTGGTCTCTATTGAATTATTGAGAGCCATATTCCTTTCAATTATCCAATTTTGGCCTCTGTGAATCCAGAGTGGTCCTGTGACTCTTGGCCCCCAATGGGGTATGGTGGGTGGGTGTCAATGAGTAAACCCGCGCAAGTTGGCAAAACCATGGTCGTATTTGGTACCGTGCGGCTGGGAGTTTACTGTAACTGTCTGTACTGTGAAGTGATGGGGCAGTGTCAGAACATTTTAGTGAGTAAATTCAATGGGAGAGTGGGCCGCAAATAGTTAAGAGGAGAGCATGTACTCTGGATATGCATGTGATGTGTGTTTATTTGCTGTGTGAGATCCTTGACCTAAATGGAACATAAATGGTGGCAGCTACCCTTCTTACATGTGTTGAATTTTTGTTTGGGTATTTAGTAAAGTAAAGAGCAGTGTTAAGTTGGGTTACGCGGCTGATTTATGACCGTTGATGCACGTGCATAGAGTACGTGTGTGTGCATCAATAGTTTATCCATGACTGATTGACTGTAACATTGCTAATTACAATATCTGTCATATAAGGTGACAAATGCATCAGTGGTCCATGCATGAAAGTTTGAGTGTAACATTGTTATTGTATCTAAATGTCTAATAGTGTGACAAAGCTTGTTGTGTGTTAACAGTGCATGAACGACTGACTATAACATTATTAATTACTGTACTAGGGTATCTAAATGCCTCGCTTTCTGTTCTATAGCGTAGCAAAGACTGTTTCAAACTTTTTTATTCCCTTTTTTAATACATGAAAAGAAAAGAAGGAAAATTTTGAAGGTTTGAGATTTGTAGCATCCTAACTTTCCGAGTCGTATAAAAGCACTATCCCATGTCCCTCAATTAGTCCATGTCATTCATCATAGTGATATAAGTTGCTCGCAATCTTTTCCCACCCAATTCGAATCTCTCTGTTGTGTGAAACTTATGATGCCTTTCACTGCTCTCAAGTAAGGAAAAAAAAAAAAAAAAAGCAAAAAAAGTAGTTACTCTAAATTCTCTCAATTTGATCGTTTTTTGAAATGTTATGTTCTTAAATTGCTTTCACATTGGTCATGTTATATTTACAATTGAAAACATAACGAGCAATTTCATACACAATAACATGTAAACCGCATTTAAAATTTGAGAGTTGTTATTTGCATTTTGAAATTAACCATCGTGCACATTACTCCAAGAAAGAGACGAAAATAATAAGAGGCATTTTATAATCATTTGAGATTAACAAGTAGATAATACCATTTCCCATGCAAATAATACACAAAATATACAAACAAATAAAGTAGGTGATGGATTTGCCTACTGACCTCACTTACACTCGCTTCTTATCTCTCTCTCTCTCAATCTTACGAAAAAATTATTGTACGTGATGCTCTATTAATTCACGTGCATGCATCTGCATTTCTGTTTTTACCCTTGTCCTTTTCAACCAAATTGTATAGAACTTAATACTTTTTTATAAAATTAAAATAAAAAAGAGATTAAGCCACGTAATAAATCTTACAATTACACAGAAATTATATAAAATTAAAATGTGCATTTGCCCGGAACTTCGGAGCGAGACGAACCGATACGATAACTTATACAATCCAAACCGGCCGAAACCATACGATCAACAGGTACTCAGCGGGTTCCCGCAGAGGCAATCATTGTTGGCAAACGACGACGCTCCGAGGTGGTCGAACGGGTTCCCCACAGGAATCGCCCCGCACAGGTGGTTGTGGCTCAGATCCAAGTGCCCGATATATTTCGCCGACGATAACGAACCGGGAATCGGACCCTTCAATTTGTTGTAAGACAAATCGAGCACCATAAAGTACGAATTTCCGTGGAAAACGTCCGGTATGTTACCTTCAAACCCGTTTCGGCTCATATTCAAGATCCCCAAACCCCGATTGCTCAAAAGGGACGCCGGTAATTGACCAGAAAACGAGTTTCCGTCCAGATTCAACGTCGAAAGAACCCGCATTTTTCCGAGACAATCCGGTACGCGACCCGATAATTGGTTCCTGGACAGGTCCAGGTCGGCCAACCGGTTCATGTTGCCGATGGAGTCCGGGATTGACCCGGTGAGCTGGTTCCGGTACAGCAGAGCCCGGCTGAGCATCTTGAGTTTTCCGAAATCGGCCGGTATCTCGCCCGAGATTTGGTTGTTGCTGAGGTCCAGGTGCATTAGCCCTGAGAGGCTCACGAGACTCGCCGGAATCGTAACCGGAGATCTGGTTATCGGCGAGGTTGAGGACCGTAAGCATCTTGAGGTTGCCGATATCGGCCGGAATCCCGCCCGAAATCTTGTTTCCAACAAGGTCAAGGATTCGGAGATTGGAGAGGGTGGCGAGGCATTGGGGAATCTTGCCGGTGACTCCCTTCCAGTCGGCTAGAACGAGGGTGGTGAGACGATCGAGGCTGCAAATTTGGGGTGAGATCGAGCCGGACATAAACCCGGACTGGCCTGATTTCATGAGTATCGGGTCTTCCGACTCGCCTCGGAGATTAATGTCGACTACTCGGCCGGTTGTGGGATCGCAGCTGACTCCGTACCAGTTTACGCAGCAATCTGTTCCGACCCAGGAGTTGAAGATGCCCAAGGAGGAATCGGTGAGGCCGGTTTTGATGGATTGAAGTGCTGCTAGGTCTGATGGCGAACAAGTAGAGCTCACTGTTGAGACAATGGCACAGAAAGTTGCCACTGAGATTAAGAGCAACCTCACCATCTTCATGGCAGAGAGAGAGAGAGGTTCTCTCTAGATGCTCACTTGATGAGAGTGGATGGATTCTGTGACTGTAACAGTTAATTCATATGAGAGAGAGAGAGAGAGAGAGGGAGAAAGAGATGGGGGTTTGGAAGTTGATGGAGTGAGAGTGATAATATATGCAGGAGCAGCAGCAAGGATATGGGAGAGAGGGAGGAGAGGGACAAAGGTTCAGTGTGCATGTGATTAAAAGCGGTTTAAGGATTTAATTGAATATGGATTAGCACATGCAAATGCTGATTAACAACACATGCATTGATGCATGGACACTAATTAATACATTTTAGTTAGTTTAGGTGAATGAATCCCATGTAATCTAATAAGACTCATTTACCTAAGCAAATTGGTTTGGTTGTGAAAACTTTGTGCTAAAACTAAAGCCCTAAAAGCCCAAGGTAATTTTAAGAGAGTGATTTCTGTGTTTTCACCATCCACCTTTTGCACATTCCTTTCAAATCTTGTCATTGTCTCTTCTTTTTGTTGAATACAAAAGTTGAAAATAAAGAAGATAAAAGTGAAAAACGACGTGCATGAATCATTTGTCTATATATAAAAAAAAGAATCAATGCGGAATTTGCAATAAAATCCTTAACCCAATCGATATAATCACCTTTGTGACCTTGTGATTTCCTCAAACAAATAAGCTAAGAATCCACCATAGGAAGAGGCTCCACATTTTTTTTTTTTTTAAATGGACTAGCTGGTGTTTTTGTTACTGTACTCTACCTTTTCGGGAGGTAAGAAGACTCATAGAGGCATTTCACCCACGACATCCTCAACTACTGAGTCATCTCGTTGTAGTTTCTTCACATTTTTTGAGTTCCTCCCAATTAATCACAAGACATGTTTGAAATGAAATCACCAAGTTTCCATTAACTAGCAAAGCATGATAAATTGATAATCCAATCCACATATATGTCCCCACCATGATCTCAATGTCAAATCAGATTTCAAATCCAATGATTGAAAGGCTTTTTCTCTACTAATTATATTTGTGTCCCTACCTTACCTTAGTGTATATAATCATCATCCAACTAATTAAACAAGTCCTTTTAGGAATTTACTGAGTAATACTATACACATCATATAATGTCTGTAATCCGTTATTATCACCCTAATTATTTCTGACACCGAAAGATAATTTTTCTTACAAAAACCATAATGGTTTTAATTTTACTTTGTCAATTAATCACATCCCCATCTGCTTCTCAAATGATGCAATGATCAATTCACCTAGGAGGTATATACTCCTTTCTCATTTGGCAATTTTGTTTGACATTGGTCCATTATTCAATTTAAGACAGTTTATGCATCTAACTATTTTCCAAGAAATAAATAGACCAAGATTTTTAGTTACACACTGCAATTATAAGTTATAACAATGTTAACCAAACCATCTAACGGTTTATAATTTGGTAAATTTTCTACAAAGTTGATTTCTAAAGAGTTACCTAAACTGTATACGATTTCGATCATGAGGCCACATAGCAAGTATACGAAGATGGTCCAAATGAAAAAAAAAAAAAAAAAAAAAAAGCTAAAAAAAACAGTCCCAAATTGATCACATCATGCATGTAGAGTCTAAAATTCTCTATATATTATTCAAGACTTATTCTTCCCATAGGTCTTATGTTTTGTTTTCTTTCAGTCCACTAGCAATTTATATGTTTATGTTTATGAAGGTGGGTAATTGGAAAAGAAAAACAGTTGAAATATTAGACAAGGGAAAAAACGACAAGATCCCTAAGCTAACTATGCCTAAGAATTTGTTAAATGATTGCGTTTGCCATTTTTTTTTGGCTACTACCTTTTGGAAATAGATTTTCCAGTTCGTGGAGTCTCTATTCGTCTTACCCTATTGTGTTGTGTTTGTATACAACGATATTCTTTATACTATGTGGATGGAAAATAAATCGATTTTGAACTCGTCATTTACGATACTCAAATTTAAGACTTCTTCCTTACTACTAAAGACAAATATTACTAAACTGTAGTACAAACTGACCTGACCTTTAAACTTTTTTAGCATTATAATATGGGGATAGAACATGTTTTGGTCGTTGGAAGTTTGTCCCTACTGCTGCACTGCATGTTTAATCAGTCATGCATATATGGCATTGGTCGGCAGGCCAGACGGGAAGTGCTGTATGGAGGTTCATTTATTTCGGCTTTCATTATTTATTTGCTCTTCTTTTCCTTCCCATTTTATTCTTTCCCAGTTAAAGGACTGAAAACCATTAGTGCAGGTTCACTTAATTAAGCAAGACTTATTCTCTTAATTTACCAATGAAACGAATACCTTAGATTTGAGTCGCTATATATATCGTTCACTCATATTATAACACTTGTAACAGTACAATACGTGATAAGTCCTTCAAATACACGTAAAAATTTCTCCTTGTCAATGATTGGTTAAGTAGAAGTTGAGCTTTTGGCACATACGCAAAAAGATAAGTGGTTTAAAAGTTAAACCATACATGACTTTTTGGTACACATAATTTGATTGGAATAGATAATTCTGAAGGTGAAGGAGAAAAAGAAGTTAATTACCACTACTACAAAATTAGCTTAATATGTCGAAGAGTGGTGGCAATTTTATACAATATGTTGCTGGATGGATAAGACCTTTCCAACCCAACAAGATCCTCTTCAGATCCTTTTGGTGAGGATCCTAAGGATCTGTAAATCGTGTCTGTTCATCGTACATCGTGCAATCAAAATTTTCTTCCAGGTACTGTTTATATTTAATTTCAAATAAAAATATTTAAAATGATGTATGATCGCACAATGTACGATGATCGAATATGATTTACGAATTCCTGGAATCCTCACAAGGAGGATCCGACGAAGACCCGGATTCCTTTCCAACAGGTAATTTACCTAGTGTCAGGTAATAAAGCAATAGTGTCGGTTAGATTAGACATACCAACAGGATCCTCTCCAGATCCTTTTGGTGAGGATCCTTTTGGTGAGGATTCATTATACATCGCGCGGTCAGTTTTTGTCAAGTACTGTTCGTGTTTAATTTTAAATAAAAATATTTAAAATAATTTCTGACCGCACAATGTACGATGAACGGACACGATTTGAGAATCGTACGGCCAATTTTTGTCAGGTACTATTCATATTTAATTTAAAATAATTTTTAATCGTACGATATATGATAAACGGACACGATTTAATGATCTCTAAGATTCTCGCAAAGAGATCCTCACTCAATATAAACAGCAAATGTCGGCTGTAACCGACGTTAGCTCACTTTTAATCTGACAACAATGTGAAGCGGCAAAATTCCCGCCCATATGTGCCCTAACTTTGAAGAGCGCATTCATGTTGGATAGTGATTTATTACAAAGGATTTTTTCGGTATTTTATATTCTAGTGTGTCGGATATGAGGGTTTATCCGACATGAATTCTGACCCTAATTCAAAACCCTCGAGCATCTCCTTCTCCTTCACCGTCACTTCCCTTGGAACTGCGCTGCTGCTCCTTCCCTTGGAACCCTCGGGCATCTCTTTTCCGGCCTCGCCGCCGCTGCTCTTCATCTCCTTACAAGGTATTCTGCTGTATTTTGCTGCCAATTGGTACAAAATTAGGGCTTTCAGATTCTACCTAAATTTCGTTATTGATTTGGTACAAAATTAGGGTTTTCGGTCGTTGTTATTGAATTGGTACAAAATTAGGGCTTTCAGATTCTACCTAAATTAGGGATTGAAGGATTAATCTCATTTATCTTTCGAATAGTTATATGTACTATTGTGTTCTTTTTAAGGAAATTAAACTGTGTAATGAAAATCAGTGTTTTTTTTTTTTCATTTATTTTAGATGAGTACTAATGATGAAGCCGTGGATGAACAATTCGAGGAGCAATCTGAGCATTCCGAAAGTGGTGAGTTTTAGAGTATTTGTAGATGATTTTTATTTGCTAGTAAAACACCACAAAATGCTTCGTTGGCGAAACAAATATATATGAAGTATATTAATTAGTATACTTTCCATTCAAATGATGAGAATTATACTTGGTCATTCATTCAGCATCCAACCATATTACTTTATGAGGATCATAGAATCAATATACTTTATATATATATTTCTCGTTCAACCACGAGCTAGTGGTCCAGTGGTAAATGACGGATTATGAGGTTTCCATAAAACTAAAAACTGGAGGTTTTGGGTTCGAAACCCTCTGCGGGTGTGGAAGCCAGATTTATGGCTAGAGAGAAGCTGAAATGCCTTTGTTAGTCTTTCCAATTTTTAAAAGAGATGGATAACTGTGTACTTGTCATCAGATGTTTTCCTTTTAAAAAAATTTTTTTGTTTTGTCGTTCCATACACTTTTGTTTATTTATGCATTACAAATATTTGTTTTTATTATTAAGGAACGATGCTTCAATGGAGAACTCAACGGAGAACTCGTGGGCCTGGCAAAATAAAATGGGCCAGCAAAGATGGGAGAGGAAAAGAATATTGTGAATTTGGTCCGACTGGGAAATGCATTAGTGCCAACAGCGTCAACTTTTCTAAGTTGATTGCGTCTGAGGTCAAGGATCCCAAAAATCTTCCTTTGAAGACTGATTGGCGATTGATTGATGAAGATGTCAAGGAAGTTTTCTGGAATGCAATACGTGTATGTATTTTGTTTTACATTTAAAAAATATCATTAGCAAAATACTTATGAACATAATTAACTACCTTTTTTTTTTTAATGTAGGACACTATTGCTTTTCGTGATGAAGATCTGGTTAAAATGCCCCTTATCCGCCTTATGACGCTTTCTATTGCCGAGCATGCACATAAAGAATACAGGAATTATTTGAAGAAAATCTTCTATAGTCGCAGACAAGGGGAGGATCGCTTAGAGTGTCCTCCTAATGTAGATCCCGGCCAGTGGGTGGAGATGGTGCGATATTGGGATAATCCAAAAACGATGGTAAAAAATTTATGATTTAATGTGCAATATTGATTTACATTCGTTTGATATTTTCTTTTCTTACTTTTCAGGAGAAGGCTGAAAAAAATAGGATCAATCGTCAAACCAAAACTATGAACCACACAACAGGATCAAAGACATTTGTCAGAGTCCGGGAAGAATATGTATGTGTAGTTCGTTAGTAACTTATTAATTTACAATTTGTTTAATATTGACTTATATATGTGATTGAAAGTTATTTGTTTTGTTTTCATTGACTTATAATTTAAGAGGAAGGAGCATGGAGAAGAACCAGATCCTATTGTTTTCTTTCGCATGACCCATTCACGGAAAGATAGTACATGGGTTGATGAAACGGCTCAACAAAAAGGGGTATTTGATTTTATAAATATTTGTGTTTTCATTTATCTTATGACTCATAATCTTTCAATTTATTTATCTTTGTCTTATGACTACTAATCTTTCATTTTTATTTTTAAATATTATACGATAAGGCATCTATGGAGACTGTCGTTCAATCTAAGGTTGAGGATGGAGCAGAAGACACTCCTGAACTTCGAACTCTAGTCTATGTCGAGGAGATGGGTCCAGAGAATAGGAATAGAGTTCGAGGTTATGGACATGGGGTGACACCTGTGATGGTGCCGTATGCTGCTACTAGTTCATCAAAGAGATCATCGAGTAGTCGAGAAGCCATTGTGCAGGCTGAGAACCTTGAATTGAGGAGGAATGATGAGGCTCGTACTAAAGAGTTAGGGGAGTTACGGACCCAGCTTCAGCAAATACAGGCGACGCAGCAGCAGATGAACCAGCAGCAGCAGATGATGATGATGATGTTTATGCAAGGTATGCAGCAGCCACAGACTTACCTGCCCAGCGCCCAGGCACCGCAGCAATCGGAGAGAGAGGGAGGGAGAGGGGGGGAGAGCAGTCGTCATCTTCAGCAAATACAGGCGACGCAACAACAGATGAACCAGCAGCAGATGATGATGATGATGATGTTTAGGCAGGGTATGCAGCAGCCACAGATTTACCCGCACAGCCCTCAGGCACCACAGCATTCAGAGAGAGAGAGAGGAAGAAGGAAGGAGAGCAGTCGCAAAAAGATGAGAAAGAAGAAGTAGGGAGGAGGGAGGAGAGAGAGAGGAGGAACAAGAAGGAGCGCTTGTCAAAAGATGAGAAGCAAGAAGTGGGAAGGAGAGATTTTCCAGTGTGTGTCCGGTTCACGGAATGGCTATGATCTAGTAAAATTTTCAGCTCCAATATTATTAAACTCTTAGATTCTTAAAATATGTCTCGAGTTTCAACTATACTCCACGTTTTTTCATTTTCAAGATGAGCAATTCTCTCTGGATCAGGATCCTCTGCTGAGCTAAGTTAAGGGTGATAATCCTCCTGAGCAAACCTATCAGCTCATTCAAATTTTATTCAACGGCTACAAACATAGGGTTCCTTTAAAAGTTATAATAACTATAATCGTTGGATAAAATTTGAATGATACTTGCTCAAGAGGTTCCTCACTTAGCTCAGGAGAGGGTCCTGATCCATTCTCCCCAATAACAATTTTAACACGTGCTGTTAAAAGGAATATTCCACCAACGAAAACAGAAATTTTTTTTTAAATTTTTGTCAAATGATAAATTTTGTTAAATTAGTCATCGATAGAATTTGAATCTATATTGTGGTACAAAGACTCAAAAAATTTTCACCACGATGTTAAGGGACCACTTGCAACGAAAATAACTGAAACTCAAATATTTTCCGGATAGCAAAATACTTTTTTGGTAATAAATTTTCAATAAATCAAACAAAAAGAAATAAATTCGGCAAAAATAAATAAGGATTATTTCTTTTCTTTTGGTTGGAAAAAAGAGAGGAGAGTTTATGTAGTAAATCGTAAATGAAGCCTATATATATATATATATGTATATATATATATGTATATAACGAAACCGACCCTGCTATTGCAAAATCCAGGCGGTCTTTGCTTTTCGTTGTCCTCTAGCGAGAGAGAGAGAGAGAGAGAGAGAGAGAGAGCATCTCCGATTCCAGTCCCCAATTAGGTAAAACATATCTCCAATCGACCAATCGGAGGAGGATCAACGATCTGAGATTGAATCGATTTCGTTCTGGTTAGTTTCCAGTTGGTTGCTCCATTATTAATTTTGTTGTGTCTCTCGTTTTGGGATTCTTTTGTTTTGGCTTTCGCGGGTTGATTCGTGGTGGTGTTTGGTGTTCGGATGATTCTTTTGATTGAACTGGGTTCGGAAGTTTACATTTTTGTATTAATGGAGTGGTAAAATGATTTTAATTTTATTAATTCGATTTGGTTTTAGGCTTTGTATTTGATTATATCAGGGTGTTTAGATTTTTATGTATACAAACCGCATAATAAGACTGAGACTTTGTGGATTATGATGATTAATTTGGATGCTTTGTTGAAATTAGTGGTTCTTCTTTTAGGTTTAAAACAATAATTAAAGTGGATAGGTGAAATTAAACTGAACTGGAAGTTGTGGATGGCGCTTCTAAATAAGTTAATTGCATTTAGATTGTGGTTTCGAAACCTCGGAATATGTTAGAATGGTTTGCAAGATGGAATTTTTTTTTTTTTTTTTTTTTTTTTTTGTGCCTTCTACTCATGAAGATTGTTAGCTTAAGTTCATTTCATATGGTGCACCATGCATCCATTCAATCACTTAAACGTTTTTTGAGATCAAGTATCATCGATATCAGTTTGTTTAACTTTTGTGATGTATGTTGATTTCAGTTATTAAGAAAACATCACCTAAAAAATCACAAGCTTTAAGGTTTGAAATAATCTAATAAAAACAATATGAATTTGGTTTTCCATGGTGTCGTCGGAGTCCAAGGTGTTCAGTGTTTGTTTGGGTATAATGACTGGGAGTTGGCCTCATTTTCCAAATGCCCGCACTGGGTACTAGTCGGTAGATCCAGTGTGGTTGTTTCACTTGGGATCCACTGCACTGGTTTTGAAGTTCCCACTCATAATCTGTGTGGATATGCACATTGTGGTTGTTTCTGAAACCATCCCCATACATAGCATTTTGCAAAAATGTGGGATTATCATTGTTTTATTATCCTTTGAGTGATAGTTTGAACGACATACATTAACCGTAAACTAACAAAAATAAATTGCTAAGATCAGATAAAAGAATCACTTCAATGTCTAAATGCTTTGAAAGCTTACTTGTCAAACAGTGAATTCCTGTAAACAGCCTAAGCAAACTTGGCTCTTTTCCAATGGTCAAGGGAGTGACTCCTAGCCTCTTTGTTAATGATGGTTCATTCATGGAAAGGTTCAGACAACTTCAACAAGAGAAGGATAAAGATAAAGGTTCCACAACAGACGAGTCTAGACCAAGTAAAGTTGTTCCAGGGACTTTGACTCCTACCACCACCGGTAAAACCAGTGCTGAACTGAAGGCTAATGATGCACGCAAGGTTGCCACTGCTTCAGGTAGCAAACTTGCTTTCAGCTTGAAACAGAAGTCAAAGATTGTCGCACCACCTGTTAAGTTAGGTGCGGATGAGGATGAAGATGAAGCAGATGCTGCAGATGTTGCAGCTGGTGCACCAACTAAACGGCAAAAGTTGGGTCAGCCAGATGCCGTAGAGGAATCATACAGACAAGTGGATGTTGGTAATTACTGCTTACATGCATATCCTTTAACTTTGTTGATTGCAATTAAAAGTATTTCCAGTTTCAGTTAATTTTTTCAAGAACAAAATTGGAAGATCAGTTTTTTCTATTTTGCTACAATTCTATTTTATTGGCTGATAACTTTATGCTTGAATTTATTGACTCTGTACTTTTTGCATATTTTCTATTCTACAGAAAATGATGTATGACAAGAATTGATTTCTTCATACATCTTTTAATTGCACTTTTATCAAACTATTTTTCTGCCTTTTCACCTCATCGTAAATAGTTGTCTTATACTGCTCTTCCTCTTTCCTTAAATGTTTTTCTTGACTCGTTTAGTTTTCTTCTTATTTTGTTAAAAAAAGATCATGCCCCTCATTCTCGTAAGTTGTTTTAGTGGTGCATGTTGAAGTTATATCTCTTCGCCAATATGAAATTTTGTTGTATTTTTTTTTTTTTTTTACACATCTGTAAGGCGAGTTGGAGTCTGGATTTCTAGTATCCAGATAGAGCCTGTGGACTATTTTTTCTGTATGTGGTGTGTGGTGCCATTTATCACTCTTTTTAGTCTACTAGTTGAGAAAGGGAGGTGTAGGACTGTTAGGTGTTTGTATAGTTCTGGTTCTTCTTTAATGATCAATTAAAATTTGACAGAAAGAGATAGAAGTGGCCAGTAAAAACAATTTAAGTAATTTGAAATTGTCCCTCCGGTAAGTACCCTGTTATTGAGAAAGTCATCTCAGTAATTGTGTTCTCTACTCTTGAGTGGTGTAGATGAAAAGGACAAAACATTCTTGAATATTTCTTGTCTCATTAATGCAGCTAATTCCTTAAGTTCCTATCAACATTGGTGGAAAGAGATGTTCAAAGAAAGAATTGGAATATGTGGCACCCCTGCTACAAGAGTAATTTGCATTCCCTTGTTCATGCTCTCGGTATTAATCAGTTTTATAAGTGATATGCAGCACCACCTTTCCCAACTGATTCAACAGTGAGGATAGTTGCTGACAAACTAGCAAGTTTTGTGGCTAAACATGGAAGGCAATTTGAGCATGTTACACGTCAAAAAAATCCAGGAGATACTCCTTTCAAGTAAGTACCCTATGAAGTTTCCACCTAATTATTTTGTCTGTTATGTACAATCTGTGTGTAAATGCCAACGGAGAATGATGTGGGGTGTGGTTCACTATAGTTGTATGTTTGGGGGTATCACTTTTGTTGTTGTTTTCTGGTTTTGCTCCTTCCACTTATGGTAGCGCATATGCTATATGCAATGGGGGTTTATTTTGTTTTGCAGATTTTTATTTGACGAGAGCTGTTCTGATTACAAATATTACGAGTATCAGCTTGCTATTGAAGAGAAAGCACTTCAACAGACCAGGGATTCACAAACATCTCGTAATGGTGGGTACTAGATTTCCAGTTCCATGCTTTTGCCTTCTGTTTTAATAAAAAATTATAAAGACAAATTTGCCAAAACCATGCCTATTCAAAGTGAAAGTAAGCATCAAGCTTAGTGGAGGCATTACAATAGGTTTTGTGCATCTGTATTTTTGGGTGTGTATCTGAGTGGGTGCACCATCTGCATATGCTATGAGTATTTGAGAGTGTGAGTGTGTGTGTACTTGTTGCCAAAAAATAGGATTTTACTTTCGTCGATCAATCAAAGTTCACCCAAATAATTGTACTGACACTTTCTATGTGCATTGTTAACAGTTCTTGCCTCGATAGTGTGATACCATTGTCTGATTAACTTTTCCAGTAAGAAGTCATAAATCTTGCGTCAATTTTTGTTCTTTGCCTTTCATGCCCTAATAATAAAACATAAGTTTTAACTTGGTTGCTTTGAAATCTTGTTTTGCTTTAATAGAACACTACTAGGTTTTGAGAAATACAAGACTGTCAAATCCATTGGTTTTAATCTACTCAAGGTCCTTGTGTGCCTAGGATTCCTAGTATTCTCCCATTGTCAAGATTCAATATCCATTTTTGTGATTCATAATATGAAACCCGGAATTTGATTTTTGGCTATGCATCACTCATTAGCGCTTCCGCTGAAACATTAGTTTGGTTTGAGACTCAGATTTTGTGGTGTTAACATGTGTAGGAGGTACTAGCATGTCAGCTTCCAAATCCACAAGTAGTTCCCAAAGGTCTACTGTGTATCATCCGAACTACCAAACGCCCGCCTCTGCTTTATATGATGACACTGAGGGAAGGACAGGTATATGATATAACATCTTTTGATGCTCTCGAGTCTTTTCCCCTTCAGCTTCGTATTATCTGGAGATGACAAACGACATAAAATTGCTTTGTTATGGTGGTGCATAGTGCGCTTGTGATTTACTTCCTAGAATCAAAGTTTTTGCTGGATTTTCGTTTTTATGTACGCTAAGCTTTGTAGTGGCCATATCATATTATTAGATGGTTTCGGCACAAATTCCTATGTTCAAACATCTGTATTTCTCAGCTTTTCTATTTTTGCCGTGGTATTAGTTTAACTAAATGTTTTAGTGTTGATTGGTTTTACTGCTTGGTCTGAAACTTACTTGTATTTTCGATTATAGGTGAGCTCACTGCACCAACAGGTGCAGATCCTATTGCCATGATGGAGTACTACGTGAAAAAGGCTGCTCAGGAAGAGAGAAAGAGACAACCTAAACAATCGAAAGATGAAATGCCCCCTCCTGCTTCTCTTCAAGGTTCATTTTTGTTACTCATGGAAACCAGAAGTTTTCTTTAGTTATTAGGGAACTTTCCCTATTTTAGCTCTTATTTTGGTTAGGATAGATGCATGTAGATGGTCCAAATATTTGTTTTTCCTCGCAATTTATTCTTTCTTTTTATTTTTTTCGGTTCCTTTGCAGCACCTTCTCTTAAGAAAGGTCATCACATGGGGGATTACATCCCACAAGAAGAGCTGGAGAAGTTTATGGTTGCTTGTAACGATGCAGCTGCACAGAAAGCTGCCAAAGAAGCCGCAGATAGGGCCAAAATCCAGGCTGATAATGTGGGTCATAAACTCTTGTCTAAAATGGGTTGGAAAGAAGGTAAACCTCTTTCTCTCGTAATTCAAATGTACTGCCAGATTTTTTGGTGGTCGGTCATTTGTACTTCCAAAGGGAGAAACCTGATGATGTGAATGAATTTCAGGCGAGGGTCTGGGAAGCTCCAGAAGAGGAATTTCGGATCCAATAATGGCGGGTAATGTGAAGAAGGACAATTTGGGGGTTGGTGCTCAACAACCTGGAGAGGTGACTGCTGAAGATGATATATACGAACAATATAAGAAGCGGATGATGCTTGGTTACCGATACAGACCCAATCCTCTGGTATTACCCAATCTTCCATTTCCTCCTTTTGTGCGTCTTTCCAAGTTTAACATAAGGAGGGTTGTGAAGAATTTTTATCATGTTTCTGTGTCGTCGCCGATCCTCTGATACACTGTCTTAACATTTTGTGATGCGATGCAGAACAATCCGCGAAAGGCATATTACTGACTGATTTGGCTGCAACTCTGTCCCAAAGACATGTTTGTGAGGTTGGTAGTCATAACTGCATTGGACGTTGAACAACTTTATGATGGGGTAAAAGGAGATTTTGGATACGTAATTTTGGACACAACAAATTTGTCACTCTAAGTCCGTTTTGTTAATTAATCGAAAACCTTTTGTTTTTATTTTATTTTTCAAATCATACGGTATAAGCAAACCACTATCGTGTCGAACTTCTCCTCTCATAAGTGATGTACATCCAATGAAACATTACAATGCTCGTTGTATATAGATGTCGAAGTGACTCCTCAAAAAAGTCTTTTAAGTCTTCTCTTCAAGAGTCAACAAAACATGCATCATGCTAGCCTACCGCTCAAATCTTGCATAGGACTGTCATACCAGACTAGCCTTGAGACCTACCAACGCCCTATTGTCATAAAAAAAATTCATCCTTAAATTTGAAAAATTCACGAGAAAACTACTATTCTTTGTCACATTCCCGATCTCAAATTCACAACTCGACCCCTAAAAAAATATCTCATATTTAAGTTCCGCGTAAGTTTATTTAATCAGAGTGGAAATAAGATTACGCTTATTTGATCAGAGTGGAAATTAAGAACGGGACAAATGACAGAGTATAAAATGGTATTTGATGAGCTGTGAATATGCCCTCGAGGTCCTTGGGTTTTCAAGACAATCTCTAGGGGGGGGTTATCAATATTTTCAAGTCAATCTTTTATGCATTGAAAATAATATAAATTGCACCACCATATTTTAAATCAAATCAAACATAACTTTATAACTCTTAACTTTTGCATTATTTTTTGCTAATAAGCCTTGACATTTAAATTGGAGATAACCAAGTGCTAACCACACCATGAAATATGAATATCCAAGTCAAAAATACAAGAGGTAAAAAAAATTTAAAAAAAAAAAAATTAGGAGCTTTATCCATTGGGAAAGGACGATGACGCTTTGAGGCGGCTTTTGCTTCAAGTCATATATGTAAAATCGGTTGGATGCTAATTTTCTACTCCTAGGGTTTATCCAATCATTCCCTTTCTTCATGGACCAATTCTTGGTTAGGCATCAATCACAGCTGAGGGAGATCCATGTTTATTTCAAAGGGAAAGCAATTTCCATGCCAACGTAAAGACAACTTCCAAATTGGTTTTTCACTTTCAACTTTTTGGTTTATACGTTCTCTTTCGTTTCTGCCTCCTCCTTTACATCACCTTTTATTCGTTTGTTTCTCACATATACTTCTTATTATTCTCAACACAAAAAGCTGAAAACTAATCTCTAAATGATAATTGGACGAGCCTTAGCTTTAATCTTTGTTGACAATAAGCTAATATTTACATATATTTGTTTTAGAAAAAGGACAGGAATTGTTATGTTGTTTTATTAAATCAGCTCAGCTATGGTCATTTAATATTATTCCTCTTCATTTGTAAGTTGAACCACAAGCAAACCCATTATAAGATTTAATTAACTCTTCCACATTTTAGTATAATTACTATCGTTTGTTAAAAAACACAACTATGACTTTCTCCTAATATATTCCAAGAGAGGGAGGGAGTGGACGTTTCAGAAAAGTCAAAATTGAGTAGGAATCACGAGCAAAGCGTGATCATTTGTTTAAGTGAAAATATGTGGTTCCAAAGTAGGTGACATTGCTTTCATTGAACATCCATCATCTTGATATCATTATAAACCAACAAACCGAAACAGCCATTTCCTTAATCCAAAGGGCGGGATTGCGGTTTCTACAGCCGGCTTTGGCAACTCAACAACTTAAGAAACAAATCTTTGGAAATCTGAAGAGCCACGTAGGTATTTTGTCGTCACACCCACCCCGCGGCCCCAAAGCGAGGAAATTCAAGTCACACGCTAAACCGAATTTGACCAAACACATTTTTTATTAGAAAAATTAATAAAAATGATTTAAAAATTTTAAATTTTAACGATAAAGATAAAATAAATAGTAGAATGAATAATATTATGATTGACTTTTTAATGTAAAAATGTAATTTTTTGTTAAAGTGAACAGTACCAAGATTGACTTTTTAATGTAAAAATATGATTTTTTGTTAAAGTGAATAGTATCAGAAATTTTTTCTTAAAATTCCCATCACTTTTTCATATTTCACTCTTCTTTTATTCAAATTGATTTTATTAAAAAGAAAATTGGAGTTGTTTTTTCAATGTATCGATATATCCAAATTGATGACTTTACTTAATAAATACTTCTATATTTTCTATTTTGTCAAAAGATAGAAAATATTATTATATTAAAAAGCAAATCTTTATATCGTATGTTAAAGTATTAAATAATTATTTTTTGATTAAAAACAATTCAATCTATAAAAGTCACCCTCTCATGTAATAAAAAAAGCCATTATATATGATGTAATATCACAATTACAGAGAGCAAAGACAAATTCTAGGAACCTCAATTCCTTTTGTAGATAATATATGTCATATAGTTGAACTTCAATCATAGCTTCAGTCTGCAATTCCACCGGAAACTTTTTTTTTTTTTAGGGTAATATTATTAAGTTTAATAGTTGATGTCAACCAGAATGTCACTGATCAATGCGAAGCAGTTGACGAATAAAATAAAATAAAATGGTCCCAATTGCTGCGTGAAAGAAAGGTAACAATTTATCGCTTTTCAGCTGTACTTGTTTGAATGTCTTGGTCCTTCCTAGTCATTTACGTATACGCATGCATTCGAGCTCGAACATGAACATGTCAAGAAAAGGTCAACTTCATGTTTCTCAATGCCCAATCCTTCCAAGTCCAAATTTATAATGCGGCTACAGTACCAATTGTTCCAGCCCGTTATAAGAAGGAAGTTCAGGTTCCACTCTATAAATCGATTTGTAAAAGGAAGACTGTTGACCCTACTCTTTATGAACCATTGCAAAAAAATTTAACTTTCTGTTATAAGACAAGATAATTCACTACATTCTCGTTTGTGTGTGTCTGTGTGTTCTCACATGAGTGTTACAAGATGAGAATTATCATTTATCAGCATTGTAATCTAGATATATTCTTTTCCTTAATAGCAATATATGCCATTCCGATTCCCATTGGAAGCTCACTTTTGTTATTGATATACGATGTGTGTGTGAGCAGAGCAACTACTATTTTTTGTTTGGTAGAAACTGGAAATGCATTCCAAAACACAGCAAAAGTCAAAGTACAACTAGAAAGCCCTACAAGGCTAATGGGATAAACACAGCAAAAAGAGTAGCAAATACAAGTAGACGCCAAAATAACAAACCAAGCGTCATTCCCTACTCCAATAACCCATCTGCAAAGGAGGACATGGCAATCCATCCTTATTTAAGATTCTAACTAACGAAGATGGAGGTCTGTCAATCCTACATTCCTCGGTCATCTCCGTATCCACATAGGTTGCGACGAAATTTGCCGCTTCATTTGCTGATCTTGGCACCCAAGACCATTTACAAATCTAGAAAGATTTCCCAACATCTATAATGCGACTGACAATGGGAAAAAATTCCCAACCTACAATTTTCCTTTTCTGCACTAAGAGCCGAAATTACCTACCTTGAGTCAGACTCAACAATTATGCAAGGATAATTCCTTTGCTTTGCACTTAGACAACCTTGAAGCACCCTTAGCCTCGCTATCCAAAGCATTCAAAGCACATACTTTCTTCCTTTCTATGCTCTTACATCTTCCTTGTGAGTCTCTAATCACAATTCCCACATAACCTTCGTTACACCTAAGTTTCCAACTTGCATCAACAGTTCACTTTTATCATTTGCGAAGGGGGAGGAGACCAGGGTATCATTCTACTCTAATTTTCCATACCTGAGGATTGCTGGATTCTTGCCAATTCCTCCTCTATTCAAAAAATCGAACTGGCACAATTGGTAGCATGAATGATTTGAGAAGGAGATGGATTTTGATGATTAAAAACTGCTTTACATTGAGCTTTCCATATATGCCAACATGTGAAAGCCATTAAAGAACTTTTGGCACCTAAAATTTGCATCAATAGAATGAATGAAATTAATAATTATTGTTTTGGTGGTTAGAATTTTTCTTTTCAATTCATTGTCTTTTGAGTTCAATTTTTTATTTTCTCTTTGTGTAGTTTAGAGTAAAAATATTGTTTGTACTTAAAAAAAAAAAATAGAGAATAGCCAAATTAAAGCTCGTTTGAAAGTGTTTTTAAAATTGTTGAATGCGTTTTTGATGAAAATATTTTTGAAATTAATTCTTTGCGAAAATGCAAGTAAATTCTAGAACAATACTTGATGTTTTTTTACAGGAAGCACTTCAAGTGCTTTTGGAATAAAAAAAAAAATCTATAAAAACGTTTTCAGTCATTTTAAAAGTATATCCAAATGAGTCTTTATTCTTTGTTATTATCATTAATATTTTGCCACGTGATAAAATATAAGTAGATAAATTGAGGTGCTAATTAAATCAACATCAATTAATAAAACATAAAAGAGCAGAAGGGAGGGATCTGGTAGGCTATGTGGTTTACAGCGGCCCACGGTTTTGGTTTTAGACTTCTGTAGTTTTTAGCGTTGGAGTTTAGACTTTAAGATAAGACTAGCATAGCCAGTCGCTTGGTCCATACGCAAAGCACCATATACCAATTAATATACCACCGTTATCTTCTTATCATGCTCTAGTCCAAAGTTTATGGATAACGTTGTTTTCAGAATTAAACAAAACAACTTTATCCCAACAAAAAGGTGAAACTTATACTTCTAAATGATTAAACAAGATAAAAATAGTAAGTTCTAAAAAATGTTAGACGTTAGTCGAGTAGCAGATTAAGATTTAGTGCCTAGGCAGCTAGGTAAGATCTAGACATATACAAGTAAATTTATTATATATCATATAAATAAGTGTGCTTATACCTAAATATACATAATTTCATTGTAATGCATAAATTACAAAATATAATGAATGATATATAGATGATAAAGTATTAAAGCATAATGAAAACATGACGAACAAATATATAATGTGTTTTTATTTAAGTATTCAATAAGTTTCTTACAATTTATTAAAAATAAAATAAAATGCAAAATGAAAGTCATTTATTTTCTGTGTAAGTAAGAGCGGCGATTTAGGCGGTGCCTAGGTAATCTAGGCAGTAAGCAAGCACCTGGATAGTCTAGGTGGTCTAGGAAGGCGCTTAAGCAGGTAATAAATTAACTAGTAATAAATTATAACTATTCAAGTTTTTGAATCAGGATAAGTTTGGAATACTTGAGATTAAAAGAGATAGGAAATTTAGATTCGCTAGATAAATTCTAATTTTCATCTAGTTTTTTTGGAAATGTTCTGAATGGGATTCTTAGATTTAGAACGGAATTTTTGAGTTGACATTGGAATCTCCAATCCAAATTGCACCACTAGTTTATGATAGTGTTTGATAATCAAGCCGGTCAGACTACCTTAACTAATTAATTTCTCTATTTATTTAACAAACAAATAGTGAACACTTGTTTTTAAAGACGAGCGATTTTTGTGTACGATGGTATCACATCACCTGATGTTATTAAGTCACCTATTTTACTATACATATTTCATTTGGCAAGATTATACTCTAAATTATAAATTATGCTAGTAGTTATCCACCAAGATTATACACACATAATAAATTAATGGAATTGATTATAATACTAGTATGTATTTAACGCAATAACCATCTAACAGTAAGATATAATTCATAAAAGTATATCTAATACACTAATCATATAATTGAGGTGATAATTATATTAAATACAATTCAGTACTGTAGTCAAATTCAAAATTAATTAACGAGACCCAGCAAGCTTGATGTCACAGGATAGTTTTTTTTTGGATGGCTTGGTCGACAATGTGCTGGCATGCAATGGATGCCATCATGCCCCACCAATGGTACTAGGATAATAAAATTAGAAACAAGGGGTAGTTATGGAACATCTTCAGTACATATATGTGGATGTTAAGGATGTAGTAGGAAATGAGACTGTTTGGTTGCTGACTCAGATTCAGAAAAAATAATGAGAGGTAGTTTGAGTTGTAGAAACTCAAATCCTACAACTTCTTTATCCAAAAAAAGAAGTTTTCCTTTTTTGTTCTATTGTTTTCCTTTTTGTTATATTGTTTTCCTTTTTTGATTGCAGGGAACAGAAAAACATAAAGACTCTCATTTGCTGGAATTACAGAGTTCCTTTCCAGCTGCAAAAGTTCAAGTAATCTGAGGTGCGTAATCTAAATTTCCAATCTTTCAAGTTAGATCAAAGCAACCTGCAAAAGGCGCTTTATTTATTTATGTTTTTGGATTTTTTTTTGGTTATTTTTCTTGGTTTCTTGCAGATTTGTGTTCTGTTCAGATCAAATCACAAGTAGATCTCATCTGGGTTTTATCCGAAGAGTGAAGTTGGATGAATCTTGAAGCCATCCAAGTGTTGCAAAATCTTTGAATTTTCAAGAAATTAAGATTAGCAGAAAAGAATCAGATATGAGCAGTCTTCTGTACAAATACAATCCTAATTTTAAGGCCTCGGAGGGAGAGCTGAGGAAGAACCACGCGGCGGAGTTCATGGATTCGGATATTTTCCACCAGCAGCATCCTCAGCAGCAGCAGAGCTCCGGCTTAACGCGGTATCAGTCAGCTCCAAGCTCATTTCTGATGCAGCAGATGGACAACAATGGCGGCGGAACCGAGGATTTGCGGTATCTTCAACCTTCGAGCCCTGAAGTCGAAACGGTGCTGCCCAGGTTCATTTCTTCATGTAACGAACCAGGTCAACGTGACAATGGTGTGCAGCAGCATCAGTTTGAAATCCAAGAGACGCCGGTAAATGTGAAGGGAGAGGCAGGGGACTCTGTTTCTGAGCACATTAATGGTTACTCGAATTCTACTCATATGATGTACCAAGCTCCTCGAGGTCAGCAAGCTCATGGTTTAGACAGCAGCTCCTTTGCTGCAGTCAACTCTACGGGAATGGAGAATTCAATGATGCAGTCGAAAATTGGGGTCGGAAATCGGTCTAATATTGTTAGACAAAGTAGCTCTCCGGCTGGATTCTTCCCGGACTTGACCGTTGACGATGGTATAACAATATTTTTGTTGCCTATATCTTGGATATATTTGTTAAAGTGCTGACAGATGTGTATTGTTATGTTGAAATTTTGTTCTGGTTCCTCTAGTAATTTGTATTGGTTTGGTTGAAAAACAGGCTTTAACGTGATGAAGGACTCGGCAGGATATCGCGCAGGCAATGGTACAAATGGAGAAGCCAGTCCATCAACTTCTAGGTTTGGTACTCAACTGAGTTTCTCATCAAGGCCATCTTCATACTCAGGTCGAATGCCTCCGATTGCTGAAAATGAGAATGGGAACTTGGGAGAAGGTAGCCAATCGCAACCGGATCATAGTTTAGGAAATGCTAATGGTAGCAATTCACCTTACCAGTCTAGCTTCGCAAATGATTCGTGGGACGATTCTTCATTTAATGACCTCAAAATAGCCAGAGACAATGATGGAACAAGTTTTCTACTTCGACTGCATTCGAATCACAGGTAGGATTTGCACATTTTCTGTAAACTATATTTGGTCTTCAATTTTTACTTGGCCATCTGCTTGCTTATCATATTAGTAATGTGTGTTTTTCTTTCATCAGAACAATGATTTTGGACACCGCAATCATGGCTTGACGCAACACTTGAGGTTTTCCAAACATTTTGAGACGCCTGCTATGGAGAAGTATTTGCAATTTGAAGATTCTACTCCTTGTAAAAGTCGTGCCAAAAGAGGCTTCGCCACTCACCCGCGAAGCATTGCAGAGAGGGTAAATCTTCTTTTATTTTATTTGTCTTGTGGTTGGTTTACACTTGACAAGGATTCAGTAGCAGAGCTACATGTTACCGTAGCCAGATTATATCAAATCCGTGATCGTGAATACTGTGAATTTCAGAAGAGAAGGACGCGGATTAGTGAAAGAATGAAGAAATTGCAGGAGCTTTTCCCAAACATGGACAAGGTATTTGCTACGCTTGCAACTATCACCATTGTAGCGGAGTTTCTTGAATGCATGAAAATTGAATCTTGTATTGTGTGTTGTATTCTTGGCAGCAAACAAACACGGCAGAAATGTTGGACTTGGCGGTCGGGTTCATAAAGGACCTTCAGAAACAGGTTAAGGTAAAGTTGCAGCAAATGAAATGTATAATCTTTGTATCGAATTAATCCACACGAAACTCAACCAACTATTTCTTCCCTCTAAAGTGTTATGTAACTCTGAACGCAGACACTCAAGGATACGAAGGCGAAGTGCAGTTGTTCGAGCAAACAATAACAAATTCAACGCAAATCCTTGTGTCCGGTTCGTTCATGTAAAGATAGCAGTAGAAGATCGGAGAGGAAAAGGAAAGCGATTTCTTTTTTGTTTTCGGGTTTATTTCACTTGAGGGAGAATAGTAGGATGGTAGGATGTATTGTGGGTGTCGAATTGTAACCTGTTTAATGTTAACCTTGTAGGCAGGCTTCTGTTGTTTCAATTTCATCATGGACCTCAAAGCACTTAGTGATGAGTGAGAGTCGAGAAGTGAATTACGATGACAATATGTTATGTTTCGATCCCTTCCAATGTAAACTTTATGGCCTCTCAAGCTTCATTTCCAGAAGCAAAATCAATGCAGCACCCCGCATTGTTGAGTTGTTTGATGGTTAGATTTTCAATTATTTGGTGTAAAAGAAAAGATATTTTTGGATAAATTATAAAAATGAAATGCCTTTAAAAACTTGAGTGACTACTGAAAAGAAAATAGTAAAAAGCAATGATTTAGTACCCTAAAGTCACAATATTTTTACTTTTATACTTTCAATTGCCGGACCATTAAGTTAATTGCTATTTTCTTTTGCATGCTACTCAATGGGCACACTTTAGTTTACATGAACTGCAAAATTGAGGGCTTTTATTTACAAAATTCTTATTTGTTGTCCATATGACATTTTATATAAACATTTGTTATTAGAAAGATTAACACTAAACTGTTAATTACTCAAGACTAGAGGGGTGTAATGTGTTACTAACCTAATTTATAAGTGTTTGTGAAATTAAGCATGCTTTGAAATCATTTCACCGGAAATTATAGCAACTTAAAATCTGATCGTGTTAATGAAAAAAAGGGTTTTTGAACTTTAATCATTCAAGAAGATTAAAATTTAATAAAAACTTGGTGTTATATTGAATATTGATTTTAGTCTCTTAATGTGTACTTAATTCAAATTCATATTATATTTTTGTTTTTATATTTAATAGATAACTTATTTAATGTTATTACATTAAATTTTAAATTTATTATTATACACATTTTAATTCATTAATTTTATTTAACTTTCTCTAATTAGTGTACATAAACGTTGTATCATAATATATTTTACTAAAGAGAAAATTAGAATTAGATGCCTCATTTTAGACTTTTGTAGACTAAACATTTATGATTTTTGAGTTTTTGATTAAGCTTTTGAAACATTTGATTAAGATACTCAGACTTGAACTACTTCAGTTTAATTGAAATTAATTTACATTTAAATATCTGCTATATATTTTAAATAATTTCAACTATATTTAAGTCTAAAAATTTAAACTTTTCAAATCTAAATGTACACCCACGCCAAATGGAAACGTACCAACATTAAATGAAAACGTACCGACAGTCAAACAAAAACGTTCCAACCCCGAATTAAAACGTACCCAATTATAAACTATATTAAAATGAATATTCATCTTTTTGGAATGTTTAAAAATATGTTTGATTCATACACAATGCTCTAGATAATCTTGTTTTTTGGTGGATAAGTCTTTGGAATAACTTTTAGTTGATCGGAGATAAATCCTTATTATTGTAGATAATGCTAAATAATAACGCTAAATCATATCTACCAATTAATAAAACACTCATTGTCAACCAAAACCCTATGAAAGTACAAGTTTAACCCTCTAATTAAAACAGAATATGAATAAGAAATATGGGCAGAAATGTAATTTTACACAACTAAATTTTACTTTTTTTTTCTTCAAAGCATCACCTACATGTGATCCTAAGATATCTCTAATTAAAAAAAAAAATTATCACTCTCTTCCACTCTCCTTCTACTTCAAAAAGAAAAAAATAAAAATAAAATTCACACACACTTTATATGTGCCCATATGCTAGTATAATTTTGAATTAACAAAAAAGCTATTGTCCGTTGATTAATGACTCTTTTTATAAAAATAAAAAATAATAATAATTAAAGTAATTTAAACTTTTACATTGTTCACGACTCTTTCTATAAAAAAATAATTACTTAAAGTAATTCCTCGTTATTAGGACAAAAAGTAATAAAACTTATGTTTTGAAAACAAATGTACCAATAAGCTAAATGGTCTAAAAATTCAAATGTACCAAGTAACTAAATGTACCATTATAATCAAACGTACCGATATAACCAAACGTACCTAACAACTAGTTTTGTTACATTCTATTTAATTTACTAAAATAAATATTTTAATAAAAAATAAAAAAAATCTTAAATCATCATAATAAGAGATGTATAAAAATAGGAGGAAAAAAGGGAATGCTAACGTGAATAGACTTCTAATGAAATAAAATTAAAGTACCAAAATTGTAAGGAAAATGTTTAATCAAATTTGCAAAAGGAATAGATGTTTAGTCTATGACATTTAAAAACGAGGCGTTTATATCAAAACGTCCATTTACTAAATTAGTGTACCGAAATGCCCGTACCTAAATATATTGTAGTGAATTAGTGATACATAAGAAAATAGGGTAAATTATAAAAAACTACCTCAACTATGGGTCTCACCACACTATCATACCTCATCTTTTAAAATTGACAATGTTATACCTCATTTTTAGAATTTGGCCCAATATTATACCTTATGTTAGCTTGGTCATGAATTTATCAGTTAAATGCTGATATGACTTGATTCAGGGCCCACTTTTTATTAAAAAATTAAAAACAATAATTTACCCTTAAGAAAAAAAAATAAAATAAAAATAAAAAAAATAAAAACCCAAACACCTATCTTCCTTGACCCCTTCCTCTTTCCTGCAACCCTCAACCCCTTCCCCACCCACGCTAACATCTCCCCCCCCCAAGACCCACCTTTCCCCACCCTCCCTGCAACCTCACCGTCCTCCAGCTCCTCCCCTCATTTGTCTCTCTGTTCCTCAGAACATCGTTTTCTCTCCATGGACGCGACCGACTCGGCTTTCCCAGCTTCGAGTGGGAAGTTGAGGCTCGCTTTGACACCTCAGAGCTTGAATGCTGCTCGATCGTAAGCCTTGGCTACTTCAATCGCCGCATCGAAGGTCCCTAGCCAGACCCGAGAGCCTCTGCGGTTCGGATCTTGGATCTCCGTCGCGTACTTGCCCCACGGTCTTTGTCGGGCCCCTCGGTAGTGCTTCTTCTTCTCTTTGTTCGAACTCACTTTCTGAACCGTCACTGGCTTCACAACGGCCTCGTCTAAGTTGGCAAACTAGATCCACTTAGTTTTGTTGGGAAGCGAGATTATGAGTGAGGGCTTTCGGACTAGGTTAGTGGGTTTAGGTTGCAGGAAGGGCGGGGAGAGGAGGGTCTAGGGGGAAGATGTTGGTGTGTAGGGAAGGAGTCGGGGGTTGTAGGGAAAGGGAAGGAGAAGGGATCTGGGTTTTGGATTTGGGTTGCAGGGAAGGGGAAGGAGAAGGGATGGGAAGATGGGTGTTTTTTTTTTTTTTTTTTTTTTTTAGAGGGTAAATTATTATTTTTAATATTTTATTAATTTATTAATTTTTCAATAGAAAGTGGGTACCGAATCAAGCCACATCATCATTTAAATGAGAAATTCACGGCCAAGCTAATGGAAGGTATAATATTGGACCAAATTCTAAAGATGAGGTATGACATTGTCAATTTTAAAAGATAAGCTATGATAGTGTCGTGAAACCAATAGTTGAGGTATTTTTTTGTTATTTACCCAAGAAAATATGTAAAAACATAAGTGTACCAAAAATTCTATACCTAACTATATGATATTAAACTAGTGTACCGAAATGTTGGTACCTAAATATATTATACTAAACTAGTGTACCGAAATGCCCATACCTAAACATATTATACTAACCCAAAGTATCAAAAGGTTTGGACCTAAATATATTGTAATAAATTAGTGTACCAAAAAATCTCTATGAAAATATTTTCTTATATAAGATGCTTACCATAATGAGAATTAAAATTTATAATATTTTCATAAAATCATAAATAAAAAAAGATCATTGAATACATATGATGGCATTAAATAAAATATAGAGACTAAAATCAATTTTTAATCTTGTATAAAATATTTTTCTAAATTTCATGTTATTTAGGAATTAAAATTTAGTTTTCTAACCAAAAAAAAAAAAAAAAAAGTGCTTAGAGAAAACTGTAATTAACTGCAACATGTACATTTTCCTTTGGGAAACCTCCGCAGGCAAAGCCGTTGGTCCGCGTCTCTGTCTCCCCCTCCAACCCCACTGCACATTTTTCTTTCATTCCTCTTCCTTCCATCTCTTTTACAATTTTTTTTCGGTCCAACACATTTTTCTAATTACTTCATTTACGCGTAAACAGAAAACGAAAAAAAAAAAAAAGAAAACCCAAACCAAAACTCTTTGCTAGCTCAGCTCTGCGAGTTTTCACTATTCACACCACATTTCGCCGATTCGATCATCTTCCCCCACTGATCGATCGGTCTTCCTCCCTAAAAAAGCACACATTTTGAGCTTTCGTATGAAATTCGAGTTGGGTTTTGTTAAGATTTGAATTTTAGATCAACAGGGAGAATTACGATGTCGAATTTGGCGAGTAATTTCAATCAGAAGATCGACTACGTGTTTAAGGTGGTGCTGATCGGAGACTCGGCGGTGGGTAAGTCTCAGCTCTTGGCTCGCTTTGCTCGGAACGAGTTCAGCTTGGAGTCCAAGTCAACCATTGGGGTTGAGTTCCAGACTAAGACCCTCGTGATCGACCACAAAACCATCAAGGCCCAGATTTGGGACACTGCCGGCCAAGAAAGGTAATCACTTTTTCATATTTTTGTAAATTCTGGTGCATTGGTGATTGAGTTTCTGTGTTTCTTTGATGTGGGTTTGTTGCTGCTTTTAATTTATAATGTGGGTTTGTTGTTATTTTCAATCTGTGATGTGCGGTTAGGTAAAATTTTGATTTTATATTTTTGTTTGAGATGCGGATGATGGTGATCATGATTTTGCTGAATTTAGAAGGGAGCCCTTACTTTGGTAAAAGTATTTAGCCCGAAAGAGAATTGCTTTTAGGCCTCGTTTGGTCTCTAGTATTGGATTGGAATCCGTAACTCACTATATTCAAGGTATGTTGGAGAAAGAAATGAAAAAATTGTGTCCAACTTGAAGGTAGAAGACGGATTACTCATTAAGGAAAAACCATTCACCTCTATTTTCAAGATACCTTGAATACAGTAGGATATCCATTCCAATTCAATCCTAGATACCCAACGATGCCTTGAAGAGAAATCATGACCAGAACTCATAATTCATTAGATACTTTTTATGAATGTCAACTAAGTATCGTAAGTAAATTGCTCCCGGTTGTTCAATCATTTGATAACCAGAATCATTCTTTGATAAATGATCACTATGAGTCAGACTTAATAGAATTTGATCAATCCTTTTTTTTGTCGTTAAGGTGGAGAACTGAACCAAGAATTCTCTTTCTTTATCATCAATCAAACCACTATTCGAGACCCAGGATTCTATTTTATCATCAATCCAATCACCGTTCATGTTTTTTCTTATCAATGAATGGATCTCTTTACTTGTATGTCTTAGATGTCTCGTATTTCTCGAAAAAGCGATTCGATTGATTAGATAATGTAATACTAGGTTGATGTCAATTAATTAGTGTACATAGATCTTGATTAGTGGATACTGGTCTATGAGATGAGACACAATCCATGACAATGAAGGGCTGGTTGCGAAATTTCAGTTGGCTCAAAGCAGAGGATATGTAACAATGTTGAATCATGATTTAGTAATTGTCAATTTTAGGATGAGATAAAGGTTTAGATTGAAGTTGAGGTAGAGGAAGAGGAAGAAGCTGAGATGGATGCTGTCACAAGGTTAGAGTGGATGACTGCCAAGGGAAGCCAATCGTTTTGAAACAACATATTAGGCTATGAAGACAAAGCTTCTTCAAATGACTAGCATATAGGATATATTCTGCTCATTCTTTGCTTATAGGATATTTATACATACATATATATATATGTATGTATGTATGTATGTATGTATATACATGTATATATTTCAATTAGTTACCCCTAACATTTGTGTCTATTGTATAAAATTTGAAAGTCCTGTTATTCATATTTTTGCCACAAAGTCCATCTTCTTGTGCTTGTATGTCTCACACTTCTGGTGATGATCTCAGATACAGGGCGGTGACAAGTGCATACTATAGAGGTTCGGTGGGGGCAATGCTGGTCTATGACATAACCAAGCCTCAATCATTTGAACATGTAACCAAGTGGTTAGAGGAATTGAGGGGGCATGCCGACAACAATATTGTTGTGATGCTTGTAGGTAACAAGTCCGACCTGGGGACACTGCGAGCTGTACCTTCTGAGGATGCTAAAGAGTTTGCCCAAAGGGAGAACCTCTTCTTTATGGAGGCATCAGCACTTGAGGCTACTAATGTTGAATCTGCATTCGTTACAGTCCTAACAGAAATTTATAGAATTGTTGGCAAGAAGTCCCTCATTCCCAATGAGGAAGCAGAGTCTGGGAGTTCCTCACTTCTCAAGGGAACAAAACTTGTCGTTCCTGGACAAGAGCCCGAGCCTCAAGCAAGTAGCTGTTGCTGGTCTTCATAGAATTGTGGCCTTTTCCTCCTGCAACGTGGATTTCTGCTGTTTATACTTCCAGTAATAATTTTAACCCTCTTTCTTTAATTAGTTTGCATTTCTACTTTCATGTTTGTCATTTATTGACATGGTTACATATTTCCATCGTTTCAGGAGACGAATCTTATACAGCTCGTGGTAGAGTGGGCGATTAGGTTTACCCTCTTGTAAAAAGCGGTTGGCCGACGGACTGCACAGAATTCTCAGACTCAAAACATACCAGTAATATGATACAATTGACACATGTACTTGCCTGTAGTATGTTCATACATTTTTTTTCTTCTGATTTTTACCAGCATTTGGTGGCTGGAATAGTGAAGGTTCCTTTCAATTACACTGAAGAACACTCACCTACACACGTGAAACTAGACGGAGAGCAGTGTGGCGTGTGAGTAAATGAGCTTGAGTTTGGTTGTGGAACAATGCTGCACTTAAGTACTTTTTTGAGGTTTATTTTTTATAAACGTAGCTTTTTCTATGTCACGAGATGATGGATTTGAACTTGAGATCTCTTACAATATTAGAAAAGGTTAGATTGAATGCTAGTTGATCTATAAACTTACTCAAAGGTCTGCTTTATCGAATGCTATATATGAGTCAAGGTATTGCACAAACTCGGAAAGTATATGACTGCTTTATAGAATGAATGAATTCATTTGTTCCATAAGGTTATTTGAGGGATCAGTACTCGCTTTATAATGTATTTCAATGATCTAACTCCCTATCTTTTAGGTCGTCCTTTAAAATCATCTCTACCTCAAATCATCCAAATTCGGAACTATATGAACGTTTGATTAAATGATAATTATTCTAGTGTTTCTTTAAATAACTATATTAGGAAGTCACAATGGTTTTGAATTTCTATAATTTTTTTGCAAACATTCAATTGTCATGTGTAGTCTACCTAATCAAAATGGATGAAAAATTGGATGATTTTTTTTTAAAATCTAGCATCAAGGGGAAATTGGCTATTTATAAAAGTTAAGGGAATAATCGGCTAAAATTAAAATTTAAGGGGATAATAAGCTAATTAGGAAAGTTCAGGGAAAAGTTGGCAGCTCTATACAAGTTGGGGAGGCCAATTGACAAATATGTAAGTTGCAAAAGAAGAAGAAGAAGAAGAAGAAGAAGAAGAAAGAGAGATATCAGTGAGCTATACTAAGGCTAGAGAGGAGATATAAATAGTAAGAGTTACCTTTGTACTCATATGATTTTAGATAATGAAAAAAATTACTATTGCTGTCCGACAACATAGACATATTTACTGAACCTCGTAAATATTGTGTCATATTTACTTTATATTATGCTGTACTCATATCGTCAATTTCACAACACATTATCAACACGACAAAAACTCTCGTGTCACTAGAAAGCAACCTGCTCTCCATCGCGTGCAAGAATGTGATCGGCTCGCCCCGCGTGACCTGGTGCATCATGTCGTCGAGTAGCAGGAAGGAAGGAAAGATGAAGGTTATATAGAAGATCCAAGAATCAATGGGAGGAGCTGTGACCCTGCTGGTGCATAGGAAAAGACTAGAGTTTTGGGGCGGTGCGCTTTTAGTTGCACCATGGGCAAAAGCGAAAAAGAAAGAAAGAGATACAATCGGACATGAGAAATACCAAAAAAATTCTCTCAAAATTGAGTCTCTTCATGAACTCTTCGCAATCTCATATGATGTGGCGGAAAGTCTATAAAGATCCCACTTTTGAGAGTCTCTTAGAAACAAAAAAGAAAGAAAGAGACACAATCGGCCATGAGAAATACTAAGGAAACTCTCTCAAAATGAAACTCTTCATGCACTTTCCACAACCTCATATGATGTGGCGGAAAGTCTATAAAGATCTCACATTTGAAAGAGTCTCCTAGAAAGCAAAAAAGAAAGAAAGAGACACAATTGGACATGAGAAATATTAAGGAAACTCTCTTCATAAACTCTCCGCAACCTCATATGATGTGACGAAATATTTATAAAGATCTTACTTTAAGAGAGTCTCCTAGCATTTTCCCCCAAGAACACAGGTTTGGTGGATGGTCAATGAGATGTAAAAAAAGGGAGGGGGGTGGTTTGTCGGTGATGTGAATAATTCACCTACCTTTTGCACCAGAGGCCACAGAGCCGAAGAATAAGAGAGACGGTCTCACATGTCGTCGGGCCAAAGAAAGGAAGGATAGTAAGTTGATCTTTCATTTTATACTAATATATTATAAAACGAATGGTGCATGTTAACACTCTCAACCTTTCTATATCTATATATGTGTGCGTGTGAATGGCACGACATTGTTGCCCTTATCATAACAACATTCATTATCTTTAAGTTTTAATATTAACGTGAATAGTGCTGAATTAAAGCTCTTGTCACAATCTTTACTTATTTAAAGCAATGATGAAGTTCTTTGATTCTCGTCATATAAAAAGATGAGTCCTGAGGTTCCTTTCATGCTATATTTGGAAAACCTATCCTCCTAACAGCATCACATTGAATAAATGATCGCCTCTTATATAGAGGAGAAGTAAAAATTGGCCTGCAGGCTGCAGTAGCAAACTGAACACATAAATTTTTGCTTTGCATAATCACTTTTCTTTGTTAGAGCATTATATTTCTCGTTTCATCGTTAACCCAACACTCATATCATCAACAAATTAATGATGTTTGAACAGGAATCATCGATCACCTGTTCTAGAGTTTTAATCGGAGTAGCAGAGAAGAGTCACCTCATCAAAATTCGCCTGGCAATGCTGCCACCAACACTAGCCTATATCCTTGGGGATAAATCTTGATTCATCCTCTAAACCGTCTTTATACAAAAACATGCCTGCTAAGAAACGAATACCAAGTATCAATTTTACAGAAATCTTAACCTTATATGACTGAAATGAACTCAAGGATTCACTAAAAAAGAAGAAGAAACAGAGATAAATTGGAGCAGACTAACCCAAACCCATAAACCCTCTGTCTAAAGTGCATGGGACTCACGGAAAATCGCAACTAAGGGTTTATGGTAAAAGCACAAATTTTAGAACATGTTACTATTGCGTAGTTAACATCAGGCACAAGGGCTGAAGTGAAACTGGTACATTTTAAATGTTGGCGGGAGTGAAATCGTGGAAAGACAGCAAGTTACACTTCCAAAAGCTAATGCTGGCAAAAATTTTCTCGTTTCATACAACCACAAAAAACAAAGAGCAAAGTCAATTCGCCTTTTATCTTAACGTAAAATCAAGCTTGATGCCCTCATTATTCCAGGCCAGATAAGTGTAAGGGGCTACAGTCAGAAAACGTAAACTTAATTAAAAGATAAAGCATTTCAACCACAAGAAAGATACATACTTCAGAAGAAATGGCTGGCCATTAAAAGTTGTGGCTTCTCTTCGTCTTCTTCAACCTCGGCCGAAGCTTCAGCTTTAATTTCTTCAACCCTTTTATCCCATATGCTATCTATTAGCTTCCAAGTTTCATCATTGACCCTTTGGGTCTGCAAAAAGAATCAAACAACAGTCAACTAGCATGACAACAAAATGTTGCCAGGCAAAAACCCCAGTAAGCATAAATCTTCAGATACCTCCATAGGGCGGGGTGCACCAAAGGTTGAAAATCCAGCATTCCCAGGTGCAAATGTAACTCTTCCAGGAAGTGTAATCCCATGAATTCCCCACCTCCCCGCATAAATTAGGGCACCATATTCATCAACCGGGTTCACTTCAGGCTGATAAATGAGCGAGAACAAATGCTTCAAATACTCGTATCATATGGACTAACATGTAAACTTTCTCACCCTTGTAGATTCCAAGCCTAGAAGAGTTGAATAAATGTTGGCATATGGATCAAACATTTACATAAATTAGATTGAGAACAATTTGTATATATCTTGGGTCGGCAAGGAGTGTTCAAAAAATCACGTAAGGGTTAACTCGCATTTAATCTAGATCACTAAATGATAGCATTTAGTGGTTAATTTGTCAGCTGCATTAGAATAAAATATAAACTACCGATGAATGAGACAGACATGGATAGCACCTATGAGATAAAAAAAAAAAAAAGCTTACAAATGCCTCACTCTAATTCAAACTATTTAGTTCCAGAATTATCTCAGTAGAAATTAAACATTTATTCTATCAGAAGAAGTACATCCAAACACAGCAGTTCAAAACAATCACTATCCATAAAAAAGTTCAACAATTACCTGTGGTACTTGAGGAGACCGTTTATATATGTCCCAAATTTCTTCAGCTTTAATCTCTCCATGGTCAAGTAAAATATCTGCACGACATGAAAGCTTTCAGCCAACCAAATAGTATAATTAGAGTTTGACTAGAGTGATACTACCAATCTCATATTATGTACATAGAAGCTCAAACTCTCACACAAAACAGAACGTAACCAAAAAAGATTAATAACCTGTAATTGTCTCTACAGTTGAATGATACTCCCTTAGTACAGATAAACACTTGTCCTCAGCATAACGCATATATTCATCTCGAAGTGCTTCAAGCTTGGCTGCAAGCTATTTAAATTCACAAATTACTGATACTATTTGCATCCTCAAAGTTTTTTTCTTTTTCTGAAAATGATAAATGTAACTCAGATTGAGTAGGCATACATTTGGCACAAGATCATTTTGATTTCGGTAGTATGCTTTCCCATATGCTGTCATTCCTGTCTGCAGAATCAGAAATTCTGCAAGCCTTGAAGCCTCCAATGTGGCCTTTGCAGAGATCCAACACAAGTTGTCAACCCCAAACATCTCCTCCTCAATAACTCTAGCTACAAATTGGAGCAAATCAGTAAGCCATAACACTTCTTTTCTGCATGTCTAGGATTAGATTTACCAAGAAAACAAAAAAAATAAACAAATAGATGCAGAAGAAATTCAACTAGGTGCTTAATAATCAGGTTTATACAACCAGAAGACATAGGGTCCCTTAAATTCAACTGTAGGCACTAGTTTGATTTTATATCAATAACTTGTCACTTCCCCTAACCACAGTCCTAAAATCTTAGCAGCAAGTAGTTTGAATATTTTTTATAAAAATTTGAAGAAATATGAGTAAAGTATCAAAGATTGTTACGATTGCAGTAATTTGAGAGAAGGCCGAGGGATGGAGAATAATAAAGAAGAACAGAGAGAAGAAATATGATGGCACCAGGCATTAAACAAACATTTTCATCCAATCCAATTTGATCTGTTTACAACAAATTGTGTTAAGTAGGTCATCTCCCATTGGTTCCCTAAATGAACTCCTGAGTCCAAATTTAGAAAGAATTTAGAACATTTCAACTCCAACCATGCTCTCTAGTTAGGGACTCCCTAAACTAGTGAGCATGGTTGGAGCCACTAGTATCCCATTTCTCTCTCCTCAGATTAAGGAGCACATTTCTCTTTAAATCATGGGATTCCAAATAAGGTAGACTTCTAACCCAAGCTATAGCTGCCGCATCATAATCTTGATATTATGATGATAAGTGCAACTTAGAGAC